GGTCGTGCTTTTATGTTTTCCGTCGAAAATCAACAGTCGGCCCCAGGCCGACGAAACCCTTCTACCTTTAGTTCTTACACTGGCAACAAAAATCACTAGATGTACTCGGTGAAGGCTGCAGCGGCACCCGTGGCCCCAAGAAACGTCCTATATTGCGGCAACCGGTCAAGAGGAGTGTAGAAAAACTCATCTTTACTAACAAACCGGAGCGTCCCTACCGGACGCCACCGGCGCCGCGCATGCGCGATGGAGTGTGGGCAAGAAGCTCGCCGTCGCCAATAAACAAACCATTGGAAGGCGATGTTGTCGGACGGTCTGAGTCCCCGTGCTCTTTTTCGAGTTGGATTTGTTGATTCTACGTCTTCCTGACAATGTCTGACTACTTGAGCGGCCTCAGCGAAATTACCGGGGCTCGTTACACTGCAAAACTCCGCGTGAATAGGTGACATGCGGCGATTCATTCCGCGTGGACGCCGCAGAATAGACGCTAAAGACTGGTTCCCATGATGAGGTTCTGCTCGCTATTTTCAGTCATAATGGCGTTAGGGCTGCAAAAGCATAAACCCTACCTGAGATGGTCGACGTCGATACTGAAAATCGCAAGCAGAATCGGACCGAGTGAATCGGGCATAAGAAGTCGGTGATGGCCACTGGTAATTAACACTGGATCTATACTGTTTACACCAAGCCTACTTACCCCAACCAACCCTCAAACATAAAAGTACTTTGAGGCCTGCGCTTACTCCTTATCGCAATTACCGGGTCAACGTTTGGTCTCCGGGCCGCTGTCGTTTAGACGAGCAGGCGGCAAAGAGCAGACGACAGTTCGAACGATCAGGCGGCCGTTTGAACTTGAAGACGCACTGAACGTAGTCCGTAGGTGGTCCGTACAACTTGGCGGTTTTCCCGCGTTCGGAACAAAACCAATAAATTTGGCGGCCACAAGTGTCCGTGAATTCAACCCAAAGTGCTTCCTGCACAAGCAGTCGTGGTCCGACGGCGTCTGGTTTTCCTTTTTCACGGCCCCTATCCACGTTCTGGGACGAACCGAGCGGGCAGAAAACACATAAAAGCTGACCTTCAAACCCTTCACGGCTCTTTCGGTACAGTCCCGGTCGCTGCGCTTTGACGAGAAGGCAGATTTCTGTCTGGTTTCTTCCAAAACAACAGGAATGCACGTCCCGCATGGTGACTTCCGCCCACTGCCCCAGACCAGAAGTGCGCTCGACGCGCCACCACCGCGCCGTGACGTAACAGAGCTGAGCTGGTGTATAAGATCACAGTTGCACGTTTTCCACCTGGAGCCTTGGGCGTCATCCCGGTCTTTCTCCACGCTGACCTCACGGGTCGGCCCTACCGTGCAGTTCACTTTCACGATGTATTTAGAGGAGGCGTCGATCTGAACGAGGTGGTGTCTCTTGGACAGTTTCAGATGAGCCATGTGTGGACGCGAAAGAACTCAGCGTGAAGGGGGAAAAAAAATGTTTAATCATCGACCCGAACTTAAAGGGGCGATGCAACAATTTTTGTACTTTGCGCAAATACCGCTTAGAACAGACCCCTGACATTAATGACATATGAAACACGCGTTCGTTTTTCACCCCACGCAATAGGAGTCCCAGAAGAAAAAAAAAATGAAAGAAAAACGAGCAGCGTTCACCCCCTCAACTCGCAGTCAGAACAAGCGGCCGCGTGATCTGGAGCCGATTATATGCCGCCAATGTTGATGATAGCCGCGTGCTGGGGTCGGTAAAGCACAGGACGCGCGTTGAGTTCCAGACATTGTTATGGCTCGGCTACTGTCGTCGTTGCAGCGATTGGACACGGGCCCCCTACCCGAATGCTTCTCGAGCAAGTAATTATCACGAGCCCCAATCGAGTGCCCACGCAATGCTCGGGTCCAATCTATGAATTGCATTCAAATATCGTCATTTGGGTGTACGTTACGTTACGTCATCAAATTTTGTTACGTTACGTTACGTCATCAAATTTTGCAAAGGAGAGATTGAATGAAAATGATCGCTTTTGTCCTTGAAATTACACCGCAACAAAGGAGTTTCTTGGCCAGTGGCGTTGCATGCGAGTATCCTTGAGTCCCACCAGTGCCAGTAAGCTCGTGTGAAGTGAAAAACATTCCAATTGAATATCGTTGCACCGCCCCTTTAAAGGATGTGGAACCCAAGCTACTACGGCTGCCGGCCATAGTGTCGTGCACGAGCGGTGAGCACGCGCTGACGGCGAGCTTCCACAGTTCTTTTGCGACGTGCATTGCGCAGCGTCGAGACTACCGGTCTTAGCAGCCCAGTAATGCGAGCTCCTTCTGAGCATGCGCTCTTAAGCATCACCCTCAAATATGGCGTCCAGTGAATAACCCCCCCTAAAGCGCCGAATGTTCAAGGTCAATTAATGTTCTAATTTCAAGGACCGGTGAAAAAAAAAAAAAAGAAAGTTCGATATCTCTCGGTATCCATCTATGTGCTAAATAAATTAAGATACTCGTACGCGCATTAGAGGTCGGTTCGTTTGCTTCTTTATCAAAACGGAAACGCGTCAAACCCGAAGGTCACCGTTTTCTTCCGTGATACCCATGCTTTTGTAAGAACTAATTCGGCCATTTCATGAAATATTCGCAAACCTTTCTTTTTTTCTTTTTAGGTGACGAATGATGAATGTGATTTTTCTGCGAACACGTTCGTACGATAGCCGTAAGGTCGCCATTAATCGCGCGCAGAAATCAGCGCGTTGCAAGAATTACGAAAAGCAGGAACAAGCTTCTCCCCGCAAAGCCCTCCGCCCTTTCCAGTTTAGCAGAGCGAGCACTGGAGAGGAGTCCAGTCGCCTCCTCTCCACGACTTCGCTCTGCTAAACTGGAAAGGGCGGAGAGCTTTGCGGGGAGAAGCTTGTTCCTGCTTTTCGTAACCTGCAACACAGTATAGATAGCCCCATATGTGCGAGCAGGTGCAGCTTTCCCGCGGCTGTGGTTTCTCTGGAAAGCTCGTAGTCGTGCGTGCTTCCTTCGCCAAGACGAATATACGGCAGCAGCCCGAGCTCTTTGTAGTCTCTTTGGGTTTGTTTATGCCGACCTTTTAGAAAATGTGGCATCATTAAAAAAAAAAATACTCGTTAAATTTTTTGTAAGTCTCCCGGCCCCATTGTACTCTTTTTTTTTTTACCTTTTCACTTGTGCAGCTGTGCGACTCGGAGTAATGTGCCCACTTTCACGTCGTGCCTTCTGCGTGCTTGCCGCCAAGTTTGTGGCTGGTCTGTTCGAAGGGAGCCTGGACATGGCGCAGCTCACATTTTCGAGCTCAATAAAGTTTGCTCTCTCCGTCTGTCTTTCTGTTCGGAATTGTCACGTGTTGGAAGGCGGGGGCTTGCGTATTTTCTTCTCATACGGTTTTGCAGTAGTTTCCAAACTGCGGGTCACGGCCCCGAGAGGGGTCGTATACACATCAGCGGGGGTCGCGAAGCGGCTGGGGAACTTTACGAGACGCGAACTTGGCTTCTTTGCGGTGGTGCCGAGGAAAACAGGGTAGAGGTGGCAGCCCAGCGTCGAACCAGAACTAAGAGTAGCGGTGTCCAAACCCCGTCCTCGTTTTGAGAGGATGTGCCCTAACGAACAATCGACCCTGTTGGCACGCTTCATTTTTTAGATTGTTTTAGATTATGTCAATAGCTGTCAAATCAAAATTCAGCGTCAACTCCCGGTATTGCACTGAAATCGAAAGTTTTGTGGCATCGCGAAAACCCAAGTAACTTTTTTTTTGTTTTTCGTTTTGTCCGTAGAAGCGAACTCTTCGGTTTGAAACTGCGCAGAGGGGTGGAGTGAGCTTGGAGTTTGCGGTGGTCGACGGTGGACATTCGTCCCCTCAGGGTGGACAAAGTGGGGGGAAATCGGAGGCTGGGTATATTCGAAATGCGAGGACCGCGAGAAGAATGGCTCGAGGGCACAGACGCCGGTTGTGCGCATTGTTCGCACGCTGCACCAAGTAGTTCTTACAATATTCTGTGACGTCCACGTTTTGGTGAAATAGCATATAGCTAATCTAAAAGGCAGCTACATATATCGCCATTCAACACGTACAGAGAAAAATGAATAATTATCCGCAAAAAAACCGTTTCTTTTTTTTTTTTTTTGGTTTTTGGGGTGTATATCTCGGGTTCGATCGCGCAAATGAAACCCAGATTTTTTTTTTTTTTTTTTTCTGGCTTGCACAACTACTCTATGCATTGCCGAAAGGTGGAACTCTGTCCAAACGTGACCTGATCACACGACGTTACCGGGATCAAACATACAAAAGTGACAGACGAACTTTCTCCATGAGCCTACGTCCACGTGCCTAATTTCGTCGAAACAAGACACGACCCGGGCGCTTGTGTCATTTATTTCGGTGAAACAAACTTGGTCCCCGAGAAATACGATGTTGTTGTCTTCCTTTGCTGACAAGTTTGTTTCGCCGAAATATATGCCACAGGCGTCTCCTCAAACTTCCACATCATATCCCCACCACCATTGGCGTTTTCTTCCGAACAAGTTTGAGCTTTCTGCAATGTGTAGTTCATTTATTTGGACCGAAAAACTGCGTATCATTTATACTCGATGGAACCCACTGTGCTTTTTGTGGAATGCACTGACACGCACGAGCTCCAGCGGTACTTTGCTGGCACAGTTTGCTACCAGGGTACATTTGTTTCTTCCGGTATTTCAGCCTTTTTAAAGCACTCGTGTTTTTACTTTTTAAAATACCTTACGAGACGTTTCCAAAACGTTCGACAACGACTGGGGAGTCACTTTAAAATGCGGCTTCGGCATGCCCGAATGCTCGCGCTTCGAACATTGGCTGCTGTTCGTGTGAGATTTATCGTATACCGATATCTCATTTTTCCCGGAAGAGAGGAAGGGGCGATGGGCGCCTTGCGCTGTTCCCTCGCTCGTCATCATAAGCTGGTTCTCATCGAGACGCTCGCATCATGATGTTCGAGCAGCACTAACGACCTTTCCTTTTTTTACGGCGGATAATGCGAGTTCCGGCCGCTCCGTGCGCCTGTCCACTCGCTGCCCTCTTGTTGGTGCGATTGTGCGACGCTCACTTATTTCTCGAGCTATTATTGGCGGTGTATAGCTTTTTCTTTTTGCATTCCACGTTCCTTCGTGCGAAGCTCGCTCGCGCTTAAACATGGCGCGAGGCTGCATCTGATTTTTACTCCGTTCTCGCTAACTGCGATACGAACCAAATAAATGGGAACAAAGAGGCGGTGGCGGCGGCCTGCTGCGGGCTTCCATTATATGCCACGTGCGCACACGCCTGTCTGAGCGCGAGCTCGCGTTCTTCGAGTTCCCCTCTCGCGTGTGTGCAGGGGTCCGGCCTGCAGCTTTCCTCTAGTTGCTGCGGCTCGCGTTTTCGCGCTTGCTTTTCGTGTTCGCTATCGCGGGGGCTCGGCTCTACGTATCTCTCTCCCTCCGGCACCCCTCGCCGTCGTCATCAACGCGGCAGCGGGGATCACGGATTCGGGCTCTGCTCTACCTGGACGTGCTGTGTGCTTCGGCAGGCGTCGCGGGGAACGCGCGTCGTCGGCGTTCCGAACCCTCCCCTCTCGTTGCTGCTGCGTGCCACGGTGGCAGCAACCGATTCGAACAGCCGGTGGTGGTGGTGGTGGTAGGGACGCGTCGCAAACGCCGTCGGTGTCGCGGGTCGGCCATGCTGTCCGTGTGGTCGCCGCCCAGGGAGGAAGACGAGGAGGAAGAAGGGCAGCTGTCTTCCAGTTCGGGGTCGAATAACCCGGTGGCGACGAAGACCGTGACGATGACGAAGACGACGGCGAACGCGGTGGCGACGTCCGCGACGAGTTTTGTGCCCGTGGCTTCGGAGGAGCGGCGTCCGGCGAGGACGGTCAAGCCTTTCACTATCGCCGGCACCGGTCGCAAGATGATCCGAAGGTAAACTGAATCTTCCGCCATCGGGGTAAGTGTAGGAAGCGCGCCGCTGGGGATTCTGAAGTTCGCTCGTACAGCGGGGTTCCACGATAAATCAAACGCTTAATTCTTCCTTTTTTTTTCTTTTTTTTTTGTGGTGAAAGGTTAAGGCAGTTTTGACCTAAACCACACATCTAATGACGCATCATCCGCGCGAGAGAGTTTTTGTCGGATGAAGGGCGCGTGACAAAACGTGATCGTGTTGCGGTACTTAGTGTTTTTCAGCAAATCAAGTTTTCCCTCGTTTTCTGGAGTTCTTTTTTTTTAATTTTTATGTTGTTTGCGGTGGTGGCGGTCTTTCGAAGTTGTCGCGATTTCGATCGATTGATTCGGGCGCAGACTGGCGGTACCTGCAGTTTGCTCCTTTATGTCAGGTAGTTCCTGGGATCACATTGACGACGGAATGCCATCGCACGCGGACATGGCCGAGGAAACATACGCAGAAAGACACGGGGAAACACCACACGAAGCTTACAATCTTGCGTGGACACTGACTCCAACGGGCATCTCGCTTGTCATCTGTGGCGGACGTTTCCGACTGGCTGTTCGAACTCGGCGTGCTTTTACCGCCCGATGTATTCCCGTACACTAGTCTGCGTTGAAGATGGGTCAGCCGCAGAAACAACGCATGTAACTTTTTCTATCGCCTGCGAAATCTAGCGCTCGGACACCGTCCGCTGTAAACGGGGGATTCGAAAGAACTGCTCTCGCGACAGCGTTCCGCGGCGTCCCTGAGGAGTTTACAACGCCGATTGAGTAGCGTGCCACTTGTACCGTGACTGTTTACTGTCAGCTGTATACGAAGGTAGCCATGCTCGGCGTGTGCGCGAAGAAGCCGCTCCACACAGGCCCGACAGCACTATCTGCAGCTCGCACCGTTATTCTTGGTGCCGTGTGCGTTTGTTCACATTCACGTTGAACAAAGGCAAGGATAGCAATGTGGTAAAACATCTCCATAAAAAAAAAAAATAGAGCTAACAAATGTTGCAAAACGTTGTTGGGTGCGTACCTTGTTTCTCGTTTTTCTCTGGTCGGGCTCTAAAGGCTAGTTCCCACATCTGCGTTGGTTGCGTTCTCGTGCAATTGAAACGACCGTAACGACAAAGTCACCGGGGCAAGTGTTCGCCGTACACAGCGTGACAAGCGATGCAAGGGGTAGCTTCGCGAAGCTCACGGTTGTTGCGGTGTTTTGGTCGGTACGGTCGCCTGCGAACGGAACCGTCGGAAATGTGTGAACCAGGCTTTATACTTGCTCACTTCTAACTTCGAAGCATACAGTAAGGCGAGTGCGGGCATTCTTCGAAAACAAATTGTGCCCCTCCTCCTCTCCACCACCACCTTCGTGGATACGGGATCTAAAGCTTCTCGATAGAAATCGCGCTTCGCCTTTCTTCCAAGTACACCGACAACCGTTGTTCTGGGAACGCGCAAGACACGTGCAGCGAGCGAGTGCTTTGCCGCCATTCGCTTTCAAGCGCTGTTCATTTCTGTGTTTCGCCGCCATTTACTTCCGAGGACCGCGCACAGTGCCCGGTTCTCGTGCAGTGGCGCAGTGGACGCTACTTCCCTCCTAAACTGGGCACAAACACATGAAGACTCGTTGCCGGTGCGAGGTGCGCGATTCCTCGTCGGCGCAACAGACCGCCGTCGGGAAGTGCAACAGCTGTTCCGAGCCCCGGTGTTGTGTTCGAGGAGGAGGGGGTCACGTGGGCGGGTACGGTTGAATAGGTCCGCGTGTCTTTCCGCTATCGCCGCCACATGTCTGCTGGGGCCGAGCGGCAGGTGCGCGCGGCGAGGAGGAGGCCCGGGCACACAGGTGGGCAAAGAAGCCTCACGAGGGGGTCTCGGGCCGCCCCTGTTTCGGCCGATGTCGATCGTCGAGTTTCTGCAATTAATAGAGAGAGTGTTCATTGGCGGCCGCAGTCCAGAGCCCACGGCTGCTGAGCACATGCCAACGGCTGACTTAGACATTTCGTTTTTTTTTTCTTTTTTGCAACGCATGTTTTATATTGGAGGAGCCATGAAATGAATTTTCAACTTCTTCCTCCTTAACTTCAATCCTTAACTAAGAAGCGAAATGAGAAATCGCCTGGTCGTGGACACCGAGGCGACGACTCCAAGCTTCCACCGTGTTTTTTAAGCACGCCGTGAAACCTGTCCTTCTCAAGTGATGATGAGCGCCGTCACAACACTCCTTGGCATCGTCGCGACTCCTGCAAAACGGACGTCACCTTGCGGGAAAGCACTCAACTGTTCGGAAGAGGTTCTTTCGTGATTTCTGCTCGTCTCCCGTGGCCTCCGTGATTCCATGTTTTCGGCGGTTCGAGCGATGGAACAGTTTGCCCGGGTGACTCTGTCGTAACTCTAGTACCAGCTTGTTACCCAGGTTGCTCTGCACGCAGCTTATGCATCCGCGTGAGCCAGACATTCCGCGTTTATCAACATTCGTCGCTTCCTCGAAGTCGAGCCTCTGGAAGCTCGCTGACTCCAGCACATTGCCGCAGGTTCGAAGCTTGGAGGATAAAAATCGGGGCGAACCATTTTGAGCTCAATGCTCGCTTGCTGATGCCCCAGCGTTGTGCGTTGAGCTGGCACATGGCACGGCACGACCTGTTTTCGACCGCCATATTGGCCCGATAGTGGCGCCCTCGTAGGCCGCTGGAGTCGCGAATTCGTCGACGGATTGATTGTTGACGATCTCATACGTCCGAGTGACTCACTGCTGGTGTCCGATGCCGGTGGTATTGCGGTAAAAAGGCGCATAGCTTTCGAAGCAAAGGAGGTACGAAATAGTCCGCTATATTTTCGCACCTTCGTGCCAATAAGAGGGCTTTTGATTTTCCACCCTCTTTCATTTAGCCCACTAAACGATATACGATTAGTAAAATCCTAATCTAAAATCTAAAGTCTTAGCAACCTATTAATGTGAGCTTTCTCTGAGAACCCGCTATAAAGCGACGTCATGCCCTGGCACTGGCGTGACGTCACACATGACGCGTGTTCCTGTTCATGCGAGTCCCGAGGGCAGCAGGCTTGTTTACGAACACTTTAGTGTGGCACGGCGGGTTTGTACTGGAATGAGTTCGCTTGTTTGTTTCTGGGCGGTGACAGCTCGTTGTTCGGTCGCTGCCCAAACGCACACCGCGCCGCCATTTGAGTTTTCCTGATGCGCTGCTGGCCCCTGGAGGATGCAAGAAATTTTCTGGTACGATCGATGTTTAAACCGCGAGAAGTTAGCAGCCTGCCTTTAAGGGGCGTCTCACGTCTCCGTGCTGTAGATGAGAAATGTGGGCAGTTTGGTGAGACATCTAGTCCGTGTTTCGAGTGCATCACGGTTTAACGGGCATATTTTGTAAGTTAACGCAGGGGATTCGCCTTGTTCTGTCCTGCCTGCCCACCCTCCAGGGTTAAATTTGCTCTCTTTTTAATATATTTTTGTTTTTTGTTTGTGTGTGTGCGTGTGGAATGCCGCTGTTGAGATGCATGTAGAGATGGCTCTTCAAAAGAACTTTAGAAATCGAAAATGCTTGGTCCTGTTTTTTTTTTTTTTTTTTTTTTGGGGGGGGGGGGGGGGCAAAACCGAAATAAGAATTAAAACTTGTGTCTTTATTTTCTTTGTTGTGTTGCGCTTTTTAACCTTTTAAATCGAAATAAGAAAGAAACTTAAAATTTCAAGACTAATAATTTTTGGAAAATCGTCGATTGGGGCTTGAACTTCTTTTTTCTTTTTTAAATAATATACTGCGGATGGTCTCGCATTATTGGAAACGCGCGGACAAATAAGATAACCCGAATTTGCGACGTGCAATATTCATGTATATAATGGCGGCAAACTGCCCGCTGTTTTTTTTTTTTTGTGTGTTAATTACTAAAAACTTAGCAAATAAAAGGAGCGAAAGGGTATGCGTAGATAATCCAGCTTTCCTATTCGATTAAAAACGAGTATATGATTGAGGAGACCCAACTTCTAATTATGCGGTAGAATCCCCCGAACCTCGCAATCGCATGAAAATCCCTCGTTTACAATCTCGGCCGCTGTCTCCTTCCTTTGGAATGTTGTCGCTTTCCTCGGGCTAGTCCGCGTGATCATCTGATATCGGTCGGTCGAGCGCTCGGCCAAAGCTTGGGGAATTGTGGAGCGAAGAGGTCTCAGCCGAGCAGGATTACGATGAAATATTTAGCAGCGGGTACAGCTTGAGAAAGAGCCTGCCGCCCTCAGTCGAGCTGTCGTTCCTCGCGATGTTTCGTTTCATTGTTCTGCTAGCTTCTCATTGTTATGACCGAAACAATGTGTCTCGGTCACACAACACGTTGTGCGTTTGTGCGGAGAGCTGCAAAGTTCTACGTGCTGTATTTTGGCGTCACGTATGATTCGTTTCTTCTTTTTTTTTTAAGGGAACAGGGTAGGCCCTATTCTTCCCATGTGTTTCAGCCTATGTATGTGACCCTTTTTCTTAGGATCTGCTAGGGTTAGAGCAGAGCCGTTTATACTGAGAGAGTTTGGCCTTCTTAAGGAGATTTTGGCAGTCTGACAACCACAGCAGCGTAGTCTGACAACCGGGGGATGACTACTTCCGTCCGCCATATTGTGGATCTGACTCATAGGAACTCTACGCGATTTCACAGGAATGAACAAGACAAAGAAGTAACGCCATATTGTGTTATCGCGAAATCCGCTGGTTCTAGCGGCCAACAAGCTCCGCCCATCGGCCAAACTCTCTCAGTATAAACGGCTCTGGGTTAGAGGATTCATGTTGGTATCATTGTATCTAGCTTTCTGTGTTCTCTTTACTGAACTAGATTTATTGTTCTATATATTTTAGTTCTTTTTTGCTCTTGTTTTTACTGGACCCTTCTAATTTTAATGCCAAAATAGACAATAAACAGCTTGTCAAACAATATTGCCTTGATTAATTTCCATAATTCTAGTTCAGTAGACTCCCCCTTGTGTTGTCTTGTTAGTGGAAAAAAATTATACTTCTAGTTTTTATGGTTTCAGAGAAAAAGGGTCAAACGTCGCAAAAAAGTGATGTATTGAGATAATCGACTTTGAAGTGAAAAAAGGCACTTTATAATAAACTTGCACTCTTGAAATGCATGCTGATGTATCCGTTCGGTAGCCACCAGCCAGGTTGTCACCTCCATAGTCAATATTTAGTTTCTTTGTTTGCTGTCTTGCTTTTTGGGCCTCTTTTGTGACGAGCTGTGTAGCCCTGTCTGCCAAGTAAAGTCGTCGCCGGTCAACGTCCCGCAACCACTGCACCATAAATCATCCTGGTAAAACGCCAAGTAGAGGCTCGAAGTTGTCCGTTTTGACGTCTCTCTAATCAGTGTGTCCAACAGCACTTTTCACAGTTCAGAAAGTAGGTGCAGGCGACGCCAGCTCTTAGTGCTGCTTTTTTAACCAGCTGCAAGTCCCCACCACACACTTTTCATACCCAGCTTTCGGCGACGGTACAGGAAAGAAGGTCGATGTCAATCAGTGCACAGTTGCAGTCACTAACACTTGCCTTGAGCTCTTCAAAGCGTGCACTGGCGTGCTACCGAGTGCGACAGCTTCGAAGAAGACGCACACGTGGTAGCCGCTGCGTCAGGCATCAGAATGCGTTGCGGGGACTCCGCGGCATGAGAAATTGACCTATGCCGACTACTCTGGAAGCGATGCTTTTAAAATATCTTCTTCGTCTTCGTCATTTTTAACATTCCAAACCTAGTGTTAAAGTAAACAATAAATTACCTTGCCCGTGGAAGCATGCCGAAGCCGAAGCAAAAGTATGCGCGTCGCGACTGACACCGGCAGTGTCTGAGGATTTATGGGGCTAAAAAAGTAAAAGCTAGACAGCTTTTCGCTCTTGCTGGACGAGCAATAAACATTCCGCTAAACCTAGTGAAAATCTGCGTTTTTTTTACGGTTTTTTTACAACATAGGAGAGATACTGATCGTGCATAGGTGTAAAAGGGAGCGTGGTCGGTCACCACCTAGGTTTCGGAAAAGGTAATTTTTCCTGTAGATAAATCGCGCACGCTCAAATTACACAGTCAGCATTGTTCAGGAAAGACTGGGAAATCCAAATCCCTAAAAAACAAAAACTCAAATTTTTTCAAAATTTTGCCCTACCCTGTTCCCTTAAGAGTGTTACGCTCGAAGGCATTTGTCTGTCGCAGCGCTAAACAGGCAAGCTCAGTGCCGTGAGCAAAATGAGATCAGTCCACCGAAACACATGGTGTGCTGCCTGGTAAAACAGAATAAAAAAACATTCCACGCTTTTTTTTTTAAATTTATTTTCACGAGGCACGAGCGAGCTCGCGCAGTGTTAGCACGCGCCTTATGAACGCGTGGCTCGAAGGTTGTTCCAAATCTAGCTGCTAGCGTTGCGAGAAAGGAAGAAGAAAAAAAAAAAGACACCTTCGCGTGGGCTTTTTGACTATTAGAAATTAAAACAGCGCAAGGACACGGACAAGAACAAGAAGGCAGACGAACAAGGCGCTGACTTGCAACTAAAGTTTATTCCTGCAAACATCAAGTCCGTGTCCTTGCGCTGTTTTAATTTTTAATCATGAAATACCAACTAGCCGAAACTTCCACGTTAGTCAACTTCTTTTTGACTAGTTTCCTTTCGTCGGTGTGGCTGAAGCGGCTGGAGCACCCGCTGGTCCGGAAAACCCGGGTGTGCGTGGCGTTCCAAGTCAGCCACTGGGCGTTCGGCCGCGGTGTTTCGCGTCGGGGAGGGAGCGCTCCTCGCTCCCACACCACGCGCTTTCAACGACGCTTGCATCGATCTGCGCCACGCGGCCGCCGCCATGATAGCGAGCAGCTGAACGCAGACGGTGTGTTCTGACGTCGCAGCAGCCCGGTCTCTCCCTCCCCGTCGTCCTCCTCGCCTCGCGATCTTACTCCGGGCCCGAATTTTACCGGGCAAGCTTCGCGGCGTCGCGGTTTTTTCTTTACAATATTTTCTATTACATTTTTTACGTTGTTCCAAAAGGTCGGACCTTCGGTGCGATCGTCGTCGCGGCGTTTTCGCCCGTCTGTCTATGGAAGTAACAGCGCTGCGTCTTCGAGGGAGTGTGTTGCGTGCGTCGTCCGTGGGTGCCCGCGGTTCGGAGCCCGGGTTCTGGCGTGTGCGGCCGCTGCTTTGACCGCTTCCGCGACGGATCGTGACGACGGAGGTTCGAACCGCCGGTGCTGGGTTCGGAGAGCGCGAGGGGTTGCGCCCGCGCTTGCGTCGTGATATGCGGTTGCGGTGGGGGGCCACTGCGAACACGTGAGGAGTGTGATGCGGCTTGCGAAGTTTGTTCGTGTGAAAGAAGGTTTGTTTCACGCCGTTTTCAAGATGCGACTCGGTTCCCTCCGGATAACCCCGTGGTCGGCCCAGTGTTCTGATTCCCGAAAAGGGGCCGTACGCCAATAAGCCTTTCATGCGTACAAATTGGTTTGTGAGGGTTCCGTCTCGGGAAACAAACACGAGGCATTGAAGTGCTGCATGTTACATGTTGCGGTGGATGCTGTGCTTTCTGAAATGTTGCAATCGCTCTGCACCGGAGTACATTTGTACTTTTGCTCATCCTCAATGTTGTTTTTTTTTTTTTTTTTTTTTACCTTGGGGAAGGGTATAAATGCATTGTTACTGGATGGAGCCATGGTGTGATTTGCAGTGACTTAAAATATTGTGTATACTACTGGTCTATCTGCTAGATTACAAATGTAACTTTTAAGGGGCAACATTTAAAGTGCCTCATTATCTAGTGAAATGTGGTGGTCCTGATGACTCATCTGTGCAATGTGAAGATTCCTTGTCTAAGTTAATAGCTTGCCATCAGGCACAGTGATAGAAAAAGCGTAAGATGAGACTGGAGTATGGTCATATGACACAATGGTCATATGTGAGGGAACATAGTCTTGGTCATGCAGTCTGTAAAAAATAATTGCAGTATCATCCTTTTTTTTATACAGCCTTTTAATTTTTGTTGGGCATTTGAGAGGTAGGTTACAAGTTACAGATAATGGTAAACATTTACTTGTATCAGTTTTGCAGTGATTAATGTCACATTTAAATATGAGAGGTACTTTTTTCTATGTCTTCAAGTTGTATTGTGCATTTTGTTGCTCTCATTTGCCAATTGCAATTACCAAAGAGAACCCTGAAAACATTTTTTTTGTGTGTGTGAGTTGATTGAACAGGACTACAGTATATCCATCACAGGCAGTCTCTGCATACTCAGATGTCGAAAGAGCATCTTGTTTTCTTTGTTTAAGTAATGGGGTGCAAGTTTAAAAACCACTAGATCTAGAAGTTTTAATTTTGATATAGTTCCATATGAAACTCTGTTCTCTCTTTGTGCTTGCTTGCTGTAGAGATAACTAACATCACACAGCATATCTTTCTCTTCACATAGTTCAAAAATACAATAATAAATCAAAGAAGTCCTTTACAAGGTTGGCAATTTTTCACCTGAATTTCTAGTACTGCCCGTTTTAAGTGACAAATCTTGGGCCCACTACTTCCAGCACTCTAGTACAGTTCCAGAATAACAGAAAGACACCAAGTCCTAATTAGTTTTTGGCTCTTCCATTTTTATTTGTAGAATGAAAGAACTGTCTGTGGAGCTTGATTTTAGATTCTAGAAATAAGCTTATATTTGGAAATCGGGGGAGCCTTGATAAAATTGCACCAGGCATTGGCATGTTTCAACCTTCCGGTTTTTCCTTCCACTCTTTCCTTCTGGTCTTTTCAGTGCTTGCTACATTTTGTGTCCGTTACAACGAGGGTGCTGGTGCTTCTTTGCATGTAAGAACATAGGGTTTCAATGTGCCATGCACAGTCAGGAAGAAATTTTTATAGAAGCAATGTACGCAGCCTATGTCATCCTTGAGTTGCTAATCATCTTTACCTGCATTTTCTTCATTTTCAGAAACCTGACACAGGTACTTTATTTTGCATTGAAATTAAGCATTTATACCCTGGTTGCTCAACTTCTTGTGTGATTGAGCAAGCTTTGAAATTCAATCTAAGGCTGTGCATCAGTGAACCTCTTTATTGGTGGTATGTGCGTGTATTGAGGCGTGCATGGAGGGACTCCCTGCCAAGATGCCATTCGGGCCTCTCGGGAGAACAGGCAGACAGTCTGTAGTGGAACGCACAGGGTGCAGTGACCGTCTGCAATGCCTGGGCGTGGTGGCCGGTGCACTCAACATGGCGTGCCTTTCCCTGGTCCTACATGCAGTGTGAAGGAGAGCCACCAGATGGCGGAGGCCAACGTGGAGAAGAACCAGAAGCTGAAGGATGCGCTGGGCATCAACCCCTTCTTTGTGGAGGGCAGCTCCCTGGACCCCGACCGCAAGGCCAAGGAGGCACAGGCCGCCTCCGAGGCACACAAGCAGTACAGGTGACTCTGGGGCTGCCTCATCCCAAGACCTGTCTAAACGGGCCCGACCAGTAGAAACTCGCAAGTCTCCTTTAGGGGCTGGATACAAAAAGAAGCCTATAAATATTGGCACCATTGCTTCGCGAAGCAAACGAGTCTTTGCGAAGCAATGGTGCCAATTGCTTCGCAAAGACTCGGTAGAGCGTTTTCAGAGACAACTGCAGACGTGGCGGCCCGACCGGTGCCCCCGCGCGTGCAAGCACGGGAAGCGTGCGCATGGACGTAGCTTTGGCTAGCTTGCAATTGCACGGGCATGTTCGCACGAGTCCTGAGACATGGTGGCGGCCAGTCATTCCGCTTGCAATCGTCTGTACTTGTACTCGGTGATAGGTTAAGATTGCAGTGGAAGCTGTTTACCTTTGATGACACTTTGGGATCTCATAAGCACGCGCAGCCTGTACTTGAGGGAAGGCGGCAAGGGAATGCCGGATACGGAGCTTCTGCTGCATTTTTGACCCGTCATCGTCTATAGAAAACTTGAATGTGGCCCTCTAAAGGAATCTGGCAGCTGGAGCAGACTGGTCACATGGAAATTTCCTAGAAAGATTAATGCCTTCCGCCTTTTTCAATTTTCTTTTATTATTATTTTTGGCTATTCAAGAAACTGTTTGTGGGTGCACTGTGCTCGACGCCAACTTCTCTGGGCTGCGTTGTCAAGGCTAGTGTAGTTTCCACAGTGCTGCAGCCCTGCCCTGCTTCATGATCACATCTTTTGTCTTGTTTCATGTGCTCGTGCCAAGTAGGTGCCAAATGAGGCCATGCGCTCGAGTAAGTCTGTGAGCACTTTATTTAGGCAGTATGCTAGCCTTGACAGTGGCATGCAGAAAAGTTGACTCCATAGAGTGTCCACATTTTCCGTCATCTCACCTGTTGCAATGTGAAGCACTGCTTCAAGCGTTTGCTAGTAACTGCAAATCTGTACTTTGAATTGTTGAGCTTCACCGCTCAAGAGAGTCCTTTCACGTGTGTACTTAAAACCAAAAAGACCTATTGTCCTGGTATTGCTCCTCTTTGAGCACTTTAGGAGTACATATTGCACGGAGAATTAAGATAGAATTCTGAGTAGCATTCATAATTCCACCTATCGTGGAACTGGCAAATGGCAGGACTATCTATGTCCATCTGTTGTCTTTCTAGCCGCTTTATCCGTAAACATATGTAGCTATGTCCATGAACATTTAGTGTGTACCTTTCGTTTTCTGAAACTGGTATCATATTTTTGTTAAATAGTGGAAACTTTCTTGCTGCTTCATGCTCAAGATATCCAAGCCTTCACAGGCTTGCCGGGTTCTTCTGTAATGTTTGAATGCTTTTCTCTTTTGAAATGCTTTGGCACCACTCTTTTTTCGCCACAGATATTACACCAGGTTTGATATAATATGATGTACTTAAATTGCTGTTTGAATATGTGCATTGCCATTTTTTAACATTGGGTGCCTTATTTGTTGTAGTTAAGCCATTTTCTCTACCTTTGCTGCCTTTTTAAGGAAGCTGTGAGTGTTGCTTTGTGTGTTTTAAGGGATGGTGTGTACGAGGCTTCTGGAAAGAAATCCTTAGGTGATTAGCATAATTGTTTTTCTTGAGCACGATGAAACTTAGCAGAGTTTGACCATCACATAGATCCTTCGAGCATGGCTGCATCCAACGAAGCACTTTTGAGAAAGTGTTCTTACGGAACCATAATGTTTCGTCTCTTGTGCAGCCTTCTTCCGGACTCCGAGAGTTCCCCGGAGCCCGAACAGAAAACGAAAAAGAAGAAAAAGCCTGAGAAGGAAGTTGTGAGCAAAAGGCAAGTTCCTTTCAACGTTCCAAGCTCGAGGGAGATGCGGGCGCCGTAAGAGACAGCTCTACGAACGAGGCCGCCCGTTGCCTCGGTGAACATAGTCCTTGTTACTCTACTAACTGCTTTGTGCATCCAATGTTTGTCTCATGTCAGTAACTTGCCCAATATTTCCAGGGTCACACCGGTGAGTAGCCTCTGTCTCCCTGCTGCTTGTTTTTTTATGCTTTTGCACTTTGTCCTCTCTGACCTTGACCTTTCCTTTCATTGACCTTCACTCGTTCGTGGTCCTGGCACACTTGATCAGATTTTTTCCGATTACTGTTTTGTGCGCATCTTTTTAATGAACCTTGTCTGTTTGTTTTTTGGTGCTACTAGCTTGCTCAGGTTGGTCTTTTTCCTTCCCAACTTTAGCCTTGAAGGGGTTTCTGTCGGGGCGTAGGTAGTGCCACCGGGTATTCACAGAGAGACATCAGAGTTTTCTCCATGCCGTCACCTGACGGCACTGGCATCAGACCTATGTCACAGTGAAATCGTCGTGGGTAGCTTCTTAATGCAAGACTGCACCTTTTGGCATGCAATTACTATGCTAAATTTTCAGGTAGTTGGCACTTGTTAAGTCTATGCAAAGATGTCGGAAGAAAAGTAGCGCATGGATTTAATTTACCAATAAATATTTCACACATTTGCATTTGAGTTTCTTACTTTTAATGCAATGTACTGAAATATGCTAATGGATACAACTTAAAACGATTCCTCATAGCTCTAGTTGACAATGAATATGATGTTAAACAGGCCTACATCTGTTCTAAAAGAAGCTAGAGGATACAGACTGGGAAAAGAGACATATTTCCAACTAATGTTAAATAAATAAGCATCACGGACTGGTTCATACACTGTCTGTACTTAGCCGGTTCAACTCTGCTTGCTTGTATGCCAGCAGATTGGGTTTAATGAACCCATTTGTGCGCTCTATTCTTGCCCCTGGAGACTCCGTAGAGGTACTCAAAGCATGCAAAGTCGCCCCGGTTGTAGCTAGGCCGACGGAGAGCGAGTTTGAAAGCAAAGTTGTCTGTGCCCTGATGCCATTTTTGACGTGGGGCTTTGCAACGTGCAGGAGCCCCACTCCAGAGGCACCCAAGAAGAAGAAGATCTCCTCCTCTTCCTCGGCCAAAAAGCAGAAGCGGGACAGGTGAGTCATCCGCTCGGCTTAGAACCTGGTATTGCTGTGTACTCGACTGCCTTCAAGCAAGGTTGCCCCCCTATATCCGCTATAACAGCCAGAATTGCCTTGCAAGCCTCACTTCCTGAGGAAGTAGCCAAACCCTGTACTGCCATTTAAATTCTGAAAGCCTACAAACTCGATGACTGAAATCCTAGGGATTTTCAGTCATGTGGTTGGTGGTGTAAAAATCAGTGGGGAAATAGTGTTAGCTATGTTCATCGTTAACCTAAATGTCATCCATAATGCATAACTCCCATTGTGCTTGAAAGTTTCATAGCGCATTAAGCTTCGAATCCTGTTACTAAGTTTTGTGGCAGTCAGATGGTAACATTCGTTACGGAGGCAGCATCAGTTGTTGGGGAGTATGCTTGTGGTGCTTCATTTTAAGAGCAGCCATTCCAGTCCACGATGGCATAGCTTGCTGAGTACTGGTGCTGGGAATTACTAACAATGGTAAACTGCGAGGTGTGGTGCTCCACTCTTGTGTGTTCTAGAGTCTTAGGTTTACTACGGTTAACTACTTGCAGCTATTTTGTATTATTACAGGGCTCGTAGTAGAACCATAATCCATTCACACAATTGCCAACAGAGGGGTGGAAGCCATGTGCTTATTGAACTAGTCGTGCGTCAACCTTCCGCCACGTGATCAAGCTCCTGCTCGTACCCACGGGCAGAGAGCAGTGTCAGGTGACAAGAGGAAGCCTATCGATTGGTTTTCGATTGGTTCCAAATTCTTCACAGTTACCTCAGTGACACGCTGAGTGGACCTCCATCAAGAGTTGCTGATCAAACCTGATAGTGGCATCCTTGCCCAAAGTTTTGTCTTTTGTCATTGGGGTCTTTGTTCATAGTGCTAAGAAAACACTGTTTTCATTCTGCAATCTGAGAGAGCCAGACTTCTGTCCACGCAACTTGTCATAAGTTTTACATGCTACTTTCCATGGCACGTGGATTTCGAGGAAAAAAACGGCGCAGGGATGCTTTTGCAACATTCTTGGATTGGTCGGAGCAACTATTAAAACCGACTTTTGGTAATAAGATTCCAAGCCTTTTCCAGTGAAACCAAGTTTCTAAAGATTCATTTATCTTACATTTATCTTTTCTACACTGACACATGGAACCTCGCTATCTTTTTTTTTTGCTTTTCACCGATGTCAGGTCTGCGCTAGGAACAGGAGGTAGACTGGGTTATTAAGAATGGCGTCTTGCAGGTCAGAGTCCCCAGAGCCGAAGCACAAAAAGAGCAAGCCAAAGAAGAAACAGCCTTCTAAAGTGAAGCGCAGAAGCCGGAAAAGGTAAGCAATGGCGGCCAATTGACCTGACAGCACTAGAGGCGAACTGCAGTGGCTCCATAGTGTTTGACCCAAATCTGCAGTGTTTGAACCCAGTAAGTGCTCTGCATCGAGCGCAAGCTCTCTGCCCCCGACGACATTTTGGCGTGCTGTCCAGCCAAGGCCCGGTGGAATGCAATAAGTGCGCGGTGGAGGCAAAGCGTCCACTGGGCTCTGAACCCGTCGCCGACGACGAGTGGTTGCGATGGCACGAGAATCTTGCAGAAAGCTGGAAATGGAGGGGTCACATCGGAGATTGAGCGTTCATCTGTGGGTGCAAGCAGTAATAAAAGCTGGCATCCTTAATTTAGTTTCCTCTTAAAGCTCCCATGTCCTCAAAAAGAGTCTACATATCATTGGCTTTATGACTTGCGAAAAGAGCAGATGCTTCTTTCGCATGATGGTAGAATGCTAATGGGAGGATATGCAGTGCCTGTTGGTCCAAAGCCCTGCTAAGTTGAAGCCAATTCAAAATGTGTACAGGCGACTTGCTTCTGTGGCTGCTTCTATAGCCAAGTGGTTTCACAAACTCTTATTTTAGATATGTGTAAAAGAGCTCAAAGGAGGTACGTCTCGAGTAATCTGTGTAGTTGGTAGGTTGTGGCAGGATCTAAAATGCAAAGTTGTCCCTAATGACTTTTCTCGCAGGCACGTGCAAATTGTGATTTTGAAGTTCGAAGTGAATAGTGATTTAGGCCAAATACTCATACTGCCGTCGCACCTGGCCTGCACCATCTTGATAATGTCAGTGCAACATTAGTGTTGTAACGAATGCGATTAAACCATTCTTAATTGAGCCAACGAACAAAACTTTTATTGTTTAGTCACACGCAACGAGCTTTTTTTTTTTTTTTAAATGAAAAACATTGCACAAGGGTCTTGGTGTCGTTCTGATGAGATAAATATCCATTTGCAGAAAGAATAGTCACCTGGTTGCCAGAAGCTAGCTTCTGTTTTTAATACGTGCCGACTCGGCCGTGAATTTCGGTGAATCTGGGCTGCAGAGCTGTCAACGAGGCGGACCTAACAGAGTCCTTACTATACCCATGTGCTATGCATTGTGCCATGCATTGTGCTTTGAATTGTACTATTTCTTATCCTTACCGTATGGGAAACCTTCTGAAATGAAAAGCTCCCTCGTACAATTTAGGCCGTAAGTGGGACGGAGGCTCAAACAAAGTATACCATGCTCACGCCGTGCTCATCTTACTGCCACTGCAGTCCCGTTCCGGAGCCCAGGCACAAGCGGAAGCGGGCACACTCTCCTTCGGAGTCTGCGAGCTCGGACGAGGAGAGCAGCGACGAGTCGTCGTCTTCATCTTCCGACAGCGACTCAAGCGACTCCGACTCCAAGCACAGCGCCTCCTCTCGCTCGTCTCGGGAGAGCAGGTAACCATTTTATCGCTCCTCTCAGCCGTGCTTCTTGCCCTGCGACACATGCACATTAGTTCCTTTGTCCTTTGGGCAGCGTGCATGCAACGCCCATACCTCCATCTCTCGTTTTGAGGAGCCCATTCAAAAGTTGGACAGTCTGTAGTCGCCGGCAAATCTCGCGAATGCACAATTGAGGCCCATTAGATGACGGAGCGTTGTAGACCTTTCCGGAAATATGTGGTGCCCCCAGCATCTGCTTCACGCATTGCAACGTTCAGACGTACGGCACGTGAAGTCATTTAAGAAGCGAAGACGAGGTTGATATTGCTTTAACAGTCTGTGATTTCAGAAGGCAGAGAAGCAGAAGGAAAGCAAAACAGTGTACTGTAAACTCTCACTTAAACTAACTTCAAGGGACCCAAGGAAATAGTTCACTTAAAGACACACTGAAGACAATTTCAGTCTTTTTGTAATAACCAGCAGAGAGCACAGGACAATGTAGGCTTTCAGCATGACCATAGGCACAGGCATGGCAGTCGGAGCACTTCAGCAAAGCACTTCAGCAACCAGCCTGTCCTTCCTTTGTCATCGCATTTCGACAGTGTCTCCTTGTCAGTTTTCGTTCACTTTTCATTAGTAGTGGGTGACTACCAAAAATATAGTTACCTCAAAACCTAAGTGAGCCAATGGAATTTTATTGTATTGAAATTGACAGTAAATAGCAATTGGGACATGATTCAGGATAAACTGTTTCATATGCTTCAGTAAACTGCTTTGGTGCCAAACACATTTCACTAATGTAGGACTGCCATAATTTTTGTACATATCTATAGCCAAAGAAAAAATGGGTACATATCTATTTCTTTTTCTATTCCTGTTGACACTATCTTTTCTGCCCACAACTTTCTGGGTCGTCCATTTACACGTCTTGGTGGCATGCTATGCTTGCAGATAGGCAAACACGTTTGATGTCTACGGTGAGTATGTTTACATTAGAATCCTAGTGTCTTCCTTGTACCTCTTGGTTCTTGCACTGCTTAAAGTTTGTTGAGTGGCAAAAAGCGTGGTGTTGCATGACAGTGTGCCGTAGCCTCGTACTTGGAAGCAAGGTAGCTTTTACAAACTAAGCCAGGGTGTCTACTTTGCCGGGAAGCACATGGAGGACCGGTTATTTCACAGGTCACACCCTCGTGCACAAATGTGATGGGTGTCTCCCACTTGGGCAGTCACGTTCCGCAAAAAAAGACGATTAGTAGTTTCCCACGCTTGGCGTGAGAACATAGACTCGCAGGCTTTGTTAATTAAAAAATGCCTCGCTTTCGTATAATTAAACAGCGTGTGCTAATTCTGATTTTTCGTTGTTTGTTCCGTTTGACTTCTGCTACCGAATGCTCGGGTCTGTGCGCAGTTATAGTGCTAAGAGATGAGAGAATACTGGGTATAGCCCCTGTTGGGTTTCCTAAGTTGTGTGGGGCGGGCCTTCTTTGTCTGACACTGCAGGTAAAATGGGGTATCGCAAGTTACCATTGGATTGTGCCTTCAACGGCAGCGCAGACAGCGTTTCTTTCGTCTTGCACGCCCTTGGGACGACTTGACTGACTTGGTCGGTGCTCTAGTTTTGTGCGCACTGTCGACTCTCACAGATGGTCGATGCAGTGTAGTCACCGACACGGGTGAATGGCGGGAAGGAGCTTCGGTGTTCCCGCCTCCAGTGCGAGTGTCCTACCTCTGACGACGCTATAGAGTTTCAAGCACCTCGAGTGCGTGCGTGCAGCCAAAGTACAGCAAAAGGCATTGGAGCGCGTGCCAGTGGTCGGCTGTTCGCGAGACGCGCCGTTTTCACTCTGTCGGGGACTACATCAAAACGGACAACGCTGGGGACGAGCCAAAAGAAAGAGACAGCACTCTGCTGCCGTCTTTTTTGTCGGGGTTTAGTGGCGGCAAACAGCTGGCGTACCGTCAACTTTGCGCGTTTCCCGGTTGATTCGTTTCGGACCTCACTCTCGTGTCTGAGTTAAAAGATCTGTTGTATTCTCTGCTGAGGTGCGCTGGTTCGTGCTGTAGATAAGAAATTTGGCTGGTGCTGTAGTGCAATCCACTTATAACGGTACCACATATAATGATATACCGCTTATAACGATCAGTGTATAGGGTTTCTAGACTGGAAACAATTACTTTCTAGTCTAGATACAGCGACAATCGGTTATAGCGATTGCATTTTCGAATTTTCTCATTACCGTTATAAGTGGATTGCACTGTAGAACTGCCCGCCCGAGGTCTCTGGCACGCACCGTGCAGTAGCGACTCGCAACCTCATTCTGTTGCGGCACTCGTCGACATTCTGTCGCGTTTGCTGAAGTTGAGCCACGCGACATAATGTCGAGTGGCTTGCTAAGGCACGGGCACGAGCTCATGGTATCTGAAAACAATTTTCAGTGTGCAAGTGATTGTGTATATTAAGCATTCAACAGAACAACCCCCTCGTGCCTGTGCTTTTGCCAGCGCTGAAGACAGCTGGTGACATGGAGCATTAATTGCAATGAGTGGAGGTGGGGTTTGAACTAGTGTCCCTGAATTCTGGAGCACAAGCTTTCGTCCCACATACTCCAAGCTGCACTGTGCTAACAGACTCGTCCTCCAGTCCCCTTCGAATGCGATATTCCTTTCTATTTGTATTCAAACCACATTGCATTCTAGACATGCTAATTTGGTTCTAGTGCGATAAGCATTCTTTAGCTACCCTGCCCCCCCCCCCCCCCCGGATTTCTTGGACTTTCTGGTCTCCTAATGTGCAGTAGGTATGCACCGTAGACCATTTCAGCTCACATTCTCACACTCCTCGACATTCGCACCTTCTTCGAAGGACCTGACGACTTGGATGTTGTCCTAGAGGTCGTCCCAGACGTTGTCCTCTATCATGTTGTCCTGGATGTCATCCTCTAGGACGTCATCCTCTATGTCGTATTTGAGGTCATCCCGGAGATCGTCCTTAAGATCACCTTAGATGTCGTTCTAGACGTTGTCCTTGATGTCGTCCTTGAGGTCGCCCTAGATGTCGTCCTTGAGGTTGTCCTAGACGAATACTATCACAATTCATAGACAACCAACAATAGTGGTTTCTGCCGAATTTTTAGTCAAGCTTCTAATGTTTGCTTATATAGCATAAAAAGAAAATGGTGGCAAACTGGTAAAAATTGGATAGCTGTGGTTAGGCGGGTGAGGGGTGGATTTTATCCCCTTTCTCGCTACTCTTTTCTGCTCCAGCCTTAGAGATGTCGTCACGTAAGGACAAGCTTATAGATAGCGCCCCATGTTTTAAAGAATAGTACAATTGTAAATTTCTCGATACTCGAGCAAAATTGTACCCATGCTGTGTGGCTGCCACGTCAAACTAGAAGCAAGGACCTGCCGAAAGGATTGGCATGCCTCTTTTCTGGGGAACCAGCACAGCACCTACATTTGCAGACTGCGTACACGTGACTGTCGGGCTGGCGATTCCCGCCCAGCTAAGAGCTCGCCTTTGGTTGCATTGCAGCCCAGAGCGAGGCAAACAGGAGAAGAAGAAGAAGCCTGCGAGCAGCTCCAAGCGACCTTCGAGTCGTCGGAGGTCACCGAAGGAGAGCAACTCCAAGTCACGCAAGTCTCGCAAGAGCCGTCATGGGGACGCCAAGGTGCGTTCAAGCACAGGCTTCGCGTGAAAACCTGGAAAGTTGTGTTGGCGTCTGTAGTTTCGTCTTTGGTGAAACGGGCCTTGCTTATTCGTGCAATGATCTAGATCAGTGGTTCTCAACCACTGATGTTTCGCAGACCCCTTGTGGATAGGCGGAGATGATGGAGGACCTCGTTGGTGGTGAGGGGAAGGTAAAGGTATAAGTTACTTATGACTATGATTTAACAAGATGATATAACTAAGGGCTAGTGTACAGTAGACGTTTTTCATTGACATACGCACAAGAAAACTCGCCCAAAAATTGGAACATTTCTTCTCAGTCTGAAAAAAAGACAACTTCTATTGCTGGGTTTGACTGATGAGGCAGGGCTCCGCAGACCGATGAAAGCTTTGCAGACCCCAAAGGATCTGCAGACACCCATTTGAGAACCACTGGTCTAGATAAAGGCTTTCTTTAATTGAAACCTATGCTGGATTTCTGGTATCCATTTTAACTTGTAAGGTATGTTCCAATGAAACATAACTTTTTTTTTTTGCTAATGCAGTTTCTTTTTTAGTTTTTTTGTGTGTGTATAGGCATGGTTGAGAGTCAGTCTAATTCTTTTAATGAAGATTGCCATCATGCGGGGATTTTTGGTGTCTAAAAAGATGTGTGCATTCGGCTCGTCTTTTTTTCTACCGAAGAAGCAATGTGTAGTACATTGTGCAATGTACTCTTTATCTCTTTTTCCGAACGGACATGAACATTCTCGTTTTTCTCTTGGCACGCAGGATTACTGCAAGGTAACTGTGTTGATCCTTACTTGTAGCTATGCTTGGGCTCTTTCTTATAAGCCCAGCGGATTAGCGGTTGCTTTATGGGTCTTGTCAGGTGGTGCATGACATTTCCTATGGTTCCATTAAAGCACTCTTCCGAAAGTAGGGGAAAGGGGCATTCCATTTGCTTCTGCATTTATGAAAGTAAGTGCACATTAGCTCGTGTAATTTACCTCATAAGCTAGTCTATGACTTCCAAAACTGTGTTTTCAAGTGGTCCCTAATTATACAACTTCTTTTAAGTATCTTTACCCTACTTGAAGAGTTTTTCTAGTTTGTTCACAATCTGGGAAATTTACCTGAGGCATAGCACAAAGTCTTCAGAAGGGTTAGCAATATACTTTTTGATGTTACACTTCAAGTCTGGGTTACCTTGCCCAGTACATATTTTGAGTGTCTTCTTGAAAGCATTGGCCATGCTAGTGGACATACAAATTAGCCCGTGAAGACTGGAATTCCTAACTGCCTTTGTACAAGCTTTTCCAGTGCCTCTAAGGAAACTACATCAAATGAACTTTGGACTAATTTTAATTGAGCGAGCGAGTCTGGTTTTAAATTGGCTGGAAATTGTAAGTCACGAGCGGTATAACTCTAACCTTTAGGTTGGTAACATTATGCTGTTGCTCTTTTTTTTATTCAGCTGGCCAACTGTCTTTACCTGAAAGCATGGAAGACAACCTGGAGAGTAATTTAACCGGAGGGTTCCCAGTTGGCATAGGCTCTCTGAGATAGAATTTTAGATGTGAACTTTAACCACGAAAAGTCTGTTGAATAATGGGTATGGGTAGTGGTCAGTAGATGTGTCAGTGGAGTGGGGACCAGTGCAAAGTGTGCATGTGCTTTTGGAAGGAGGGGGTCTCTTTTGGCGTCCTGTTCCACTCCTCAATTAAATGTGTGCCCCTTCTGTCTGTCTCGATGCCTTGATCGCTACCCGTAGGAGGCAAAGCCAGCGTAAGTACACACGGACACAAACTTTTGTCGAAGGAGTCTGGGAGAGCTGCGGCTTGCGTTGGTCCTTGTTTGTGCATGCTCACCATTGCTGCTTCCGACCCATCCGCAGATGTTGGTTCACTCCCACCGAAAGCGTTGGAGTTGTGTGGTGGTTCTGTTCTGTCCTTTTTATTTTACAGTAACTTGCCATATTGGTTAGGTTCCTGGCAATTCCAGGGTGTTCCGAGGTTAGGGCTAGGAAATTTCTTCGTTAAATATGACGGTGTGATGTCACTGCGGCGCGTTACACAATGACGTCGTGCGACATCATGCAGTCACGCAACACTGTGACGTGGCATTGCGACATTACGTTACGTGATGTGACTGCGCCGTGCAACATTATCGTTAGCGTGCGGCGGAGCGTGCAACACCTCAGTGTGGCGCCGCAGTTAATTTTTTTCTTATGGAAGGTTTGAAAGTTGCGTCTTCGGTTGTATAGTTTGCTGCTATACAAGCAGTTTCTTTAAAGAAGGAATAAAAGTTTGAAGTGTAGTGGAAGCTGTATGACTCGTAATTGTGATAGTGCCCAAGGATGCGAACACCTCAATAAATAATCTAACGAGATTGGGCACATGCGTGCAAATTCCAGCACTCTTTTGGTTTTTGTTTACGTTTTCTTCCGAAAGATACTGCACGCAGATGCCAGAGGCAGTGCGCGTGCTGCTAACTAGTCGGCCAAAGTTTGGGCTCTTCACGAATCTCGGGAGAGCACAGTCCAGTCGGGGAAGCTCCTTTTTCCTTAGAATAATTTACAAGTAAGGCGCTCTACAGAACGCGTCTCCGAAGCGATTTCCGCCCGCAGTGCAGATCGTCTGGCGTGCCGCACTCCGATGAGCATTCTCGAATCTTGGAGAGGGCGTAGTTCTTGCATAGTGGGAACCTGCGACAAAGCCCGAGGCTGGTGCATTTCCGTCCAAAGCAAACAACCACATCTTAGACAGCCCGTCGAAGCGCCTCCTAAACATCCAACCTCCACCTCTATTTATAGTCGCTGCCCGCACATTCACTTCTCTCTTTGTTGCGCTAGTGCAGTGCCTAGACCGCGTCTTCGGCCGGTGTTTTTGGTTTCCTGTCGTAGCGCCCGTGCATTGAAGGCTGTCCCGACGGGGCGACAAACTTTTTCGCGGAAGCCGACACATCGTGCCGTCGAACGTCGCAATCCCAGCTATTGGTCGTTGAAGTCCTCGCAAAGAAGGGCGAGGGAATGCAGACGTCGCCGTTGCCTCAAACTACCGTGCTACAGAACGACCCTCTGACACGTCCGGCTACACTCCCCCGCCAGGATTGTGGCCGGCCGGAGATCGAGGGGTCACAAACGGGGATGCGCGGGCGGGATAGGACACCAAACATGCCGCTCGGAGACGCGCGTTCCTGACATATGGGGCTAGCGTCGCGTACGGCGTCTCAACCCCCCACTCTCTCCCCCTCCGTAGAAGTCGAGAAGCGAGGAGGAGCCCGAAGAGGCACCGCCACCACCCCCACGCCGGAGTAAGAAAGGCGGCGCGGTGACAGCGGAACGGGACGGTTCCGCAGACAGGCGCAAGCGCGTCGAGGAGGCCCCTCCGCCGGCGCACCGGCGGAAGCACGCCAAACACCACCGGCGTCGCCATGAAGACGAGGACAGCGAACATTCTGACGTCGCCCCACAGAGCTCCTCCGCGGCCAAGAAGCAGTCGCGGAGCGGCGCGTCCTCCCGTAAGCAGACAACCGCCGCCAAGGCGGAGAGGCGCCACCGTTCTTCGAGCAGCGACTCCGAGGAAGAGGAGGAGGAGGAGGATTCTGCATCCGGGAGGAAGGAGAAGAGGAGAAAGCCTGCGGTGGAGAAGCGGCGCAGGAAGAAGCCCGAGAAGAAACGGAAGAAGAGAGGGGGCAGGGGGAGGAGGGGCGCCTCAGACTCGTCGGAAGAGTCCTCGTCGGAATCGGAGGACGACTCGGAGTCGGGCTCGGACTCCGGGTCGGAAGACTCGTCTTCCGGGTCAAGCTCTGGGGAGGAGAGCGGCCGCAAGAAAAAGAAGTGAGTGGGGCTTTGTCGTTTCCCTTTCCTGGGGCAGTTTGCCGGTCTCTGTGGATATCTCTGCCGGGTCGTAAAACAACCGGAGGAGAGATTTCCTGGTCACGTGACCAGCTATCTAGGGACAACAAACAGGGTACCTAGCATTTTGCATAAATTTGCATGTTTCCAGTCTTTTTTTTTTTTTTTTTGATTTGGTGTTGTTTTTTAAATAGGTTGAGTTATATCCTATTTTCTCAAAGAAGACCAAATCTGTAGGAAAAAAAATAAAACCCTCCCCAAAAATATACCCCAAATTCGAAAAAAAAAAAAAAAAAGAAAAATTGGAAAACACTGAACTTTAGTTATGGGCAAATGGTTGCTGTAATTCCTTCTTCGCTGTCATGTTCCCCACACAGAAAAAGGACGAAGGGGCTCGAAATGCAAGTGAAATTAACCGAATCTGCGTGCTTTAGGTCGTGTAGAGTCATTTCGAGCAAAGGTAGCGTTAAGTGATGATTGAAGGACATGACAGGCAAGCCTTACGTCTGTTGAGTGGAATCGGCTGAAAGGCTACAGTCGGCGACAGGTTAAGTGTGAAGTTGAAGCTCCTTCTATCTCTTTCCACTTAAGCAAAGTAATTGCTGGGGAGGAGGTGATCTCCTCTCCAGCATTTGCTCTTCTAAAGTGGAAAGAGGTAAGAGGAGCTTCCACTTCTCTTTACCTGCCGCCGACTATGGGCCCTCCTTCCCCACGGAGCCGGTCCCGAAACCTCAAATTCTCTCTCTCGGATTTTTCATCTGCCGGTTCAAATACCAAACTGGCCCAAGAGGTGTCGGTGGCACTTGTTGCATGTTCTTGAGTTATTACTGCCAAAGGCTGTTTGTGTAGCAATCTCTATCTTTACCATGATATACGGACTCTAGGGATGTGTTCAGCTGTTGGCAGGTGTAAATTCTTGGTCTGTGTTGTCGGCTGTCCCATGCAGAGCTGCAGGTGAGCTCGAGACGTCCCGTTGCAGTCGGCATGCACCGAGCACGCTGAAAGATCGTGGGCAGGTGTTAGAGTAGACTCTCGGTAATCCAAAGTCACGTTATTGGAATGTACCACTAATTGTAAGCGCGTGCACGGCCTGGCGATTGTGCACACAGTTGCACAGTTATTTAACTGAACCAGATACTCGGCCTACCTACTCTTAACATGTTTTTGTCCTCATTCATGCTTTTGCGCTAGTGTAAATTTATTTTTCTTCTCTATGTTCCATTGCATTTATGCAATGTCTCTGGTTCACATAAATAAGGCCAAGTGTTATTATGCTTTAGTTTTTATTGTTTTTACATTAATGTTCACTCCCACGCTCCATCCAAGTGTGATTGCATCTGTGCAATGCTGTGGTAAAAGTTACGCCTTGGTTCCAAGTCTAAACCTCACCGGGGTGACGTGAAGGCCCTCTTGATTCTCCTAGATACCCAGAAACTCCCAAGAGCGCAGAAATCTCGTGACGAAAGTTACTTTACCTGCAAGTCGTAGCCATAATGATATCAGCCACAGCTCTATACAACCAACAGCACCTTCAGTTATTTTGTTGCTACGGTCACTGCTCACAATCTTCTCGTAAAGGGTTCAAGCTGCACAGCAGCGCAGATGCAGCCTCTCTCCTTGCCCTTTAGAAGGGAGGGAAGATACAGACGACCAAGGCGATATTTGCACGAACGAGAAGTCCCGCAAGTTTCTCTCCGGAGCACGCGTCGCGTGACGTAACATTTTAGCGGCGACGTGAGCTGCCCGCCCAAGGGGCAGAGAGGATGCTCGGCCAGTATAAATGTTCTATTTTGTGACTGATCGGATTGCTTTTAGCAATATTTGAATGTTGAAATCTTGGTCGCCAAGTGTAGAAACCAGTAAATTCGTCTGCGGCGATGTCGGAGGTACAAACCACTCCATTGGTCTGCTACTGCGGAAGGACAACAAAGCTGAGGGGGGTGTTGCGTTCGCTGATAATATTAGGTGCATCCCTCTGCAGATATCTCCCCCGTGGGAATACCTTGTTTATGCATTAATATTGGCTCTTCCTTTTTTTTTTTTATTACTCTTAATTTTATATATATTACGGTCCCCGTGAACTTTGAATTCTCGAGAGTCGACTGCCCACGTCGAGCTAGGGTGACTTCAGATGCCGACGGCACCCGATGTCAAGCATCCCTTTTCTTTTTTTATAGACCGACACGCTGTTTACAAACAAGCTGCGCATGCGCAGAAACCGAATTCACGGAAAGTGAAGCGTCTGCGCATGTGCAGTGCCGTCGACAGCGCCACCGCAGCCGCATGATGTCAGTGCCACGTGCTGGTCTATACAGGTAGCTTTCACGCAATTGTGACCAGCAAGCTTTGTGCCCTCGGAGCTATTTGTTTGTTGACAGTATGTACGGGGATCAGGCCTAGCGTCCGATTTGTTCAAAAGCATGTGCAAGCCAATTGCTCTCTCACTATTACGCGCTCGCACTGGCGGTCTTGATGGCGGTGTACACTGTGTTCAAAACAAAGAATAATCCCATCGGCAATGAATTCATCCCGTGATTAGTAAGAGAGGGAAACAGAGTGGCCACGCCTACTTTCACTGCGAAAAAGATGCGACGATAGCCCCCGCCTTGTTGTCGTTGCGCCAGGACCAGAAAGGGCCACTCCTCGAGGACGGAAAAGGTGGCTCGCAGCAGCGGCAGTCGCAAGCACGCCGACCGCAAGGGCAAGGACAGAGCGGAGAAGGTCAAGGACAGCGACGGTGGAGGAGGGGACGCCCGCAAGAGGGACCCACGGAAGCGAGCCAAGGAAGAGGCCTCCGCCAGGAGCGGCAGCAGCAGCAGACGGCGGCACAAGCGCTCCTCCCGCAGCGAGGACAGGGAGGGGGGGCCCCGCAAAAGGGAGGCCCGGGAAACGGCCCTTGACGAGGCAGACGACGACAGGGAAGAAGGGGAGCTGGCCAGCGAACGGTGAGTCCCGAGCCAGCTCGCTCGAAGCGGTCTCGGCCGAGACTGCGCGAAGCTAGCGCACGAGCGTGCCGGTACGTGGAGTCGAGTGTCAAGGGCTCGTGTGCCTCGGGTCGAGAAGGCTCTCTTTAGCACGGCCTTAGCCGAGACACAGTTTCTAACGAGCTCACCCCGCTGGTCACTCTGTTCGTTGCCGGAGTCGAACGTGGTTATGTGTCTGAAGGCTAGTCTTTATTTATGTACGGTAGACTAGCCGTAGATCGAATTTGTAGTTCCGGAGGCACGGGTGCAGTTCCAAAAACTGTGCGCAGCCCGTAAAAAAATGTTACGCCAAGAACTCCGTCACTTGGTCGTTCACACTTACGAGGTGCCAGGGGGAGGGGCAATGGCAGTGGAGGTCCAACTTGGCGGTTTCCACTCGTTACACTGCCACAGACGAGTTTGGCGGTCTCTCTTGATGCCGAAGCATTTAACAAGAAACTCTACATATAACCAACCTGATCTGCCGCCGAACCGGGATTGCTTTTACTGCCTGAGCATCCCTCCCTCACCCTGCCGAGGAGCCAATGTCACGGCGCCGCATTGCAAGAGTGCGACGTGTTTGTCGCGCGATGCGCGCGTCGGAGAGAAATCCTTGGTATCTCTCTAGTCCGAGTGCCACTTTAGATTCACTTGGAGACCGTGCACAAGGGGGACGTTTCTTGCCCCGTAGCATCTTTTTCGAAGAAAGCACAAATTTCACGTCACGACTTGGCCACAGTTAGGTCGAGCGTCGATTCTCCTTACACATTGTGCCCCGAAAAACGTAACCTTAAAAGGTTAGATAAAAATTTTTACTCAAACAACTAACCAATTTTGCCTCTTTACTAGCGCCCTCCATGGCCACCAACTTAACTCCGGGGCTAAAAAAACCCGAATGCAAGTTCGCTTTATTAAGTCGAAAGCCTTATATGTCTCATCGTTCAGTCGACTTTCAAGGTCCTGGAGCGAAAACATGTCGACGACACGAAAACAACGAAAACACTCCAAAAGTGTGTTCTCAGAGAGCGTGCTCTCTTCGGAAGTTCTCTATCACCAAGACCACAGCCGACGCCACGATCTGAGTGAGCCAATGAAACAGCTCCAAAAGCTCATCGTCAGAGAGTGTGCTGTCTTCTGAGGTTTGCTATCACGTTTTTTGACTAAGGCGAATTAGAGGTAATGAAATTAAGAAGGATGACAAAGTGAATTAAGAGGAATCAAAGTGAACTAAGTAAGTCTTTACGTCTTAAGGATAATATAAGAGACCCTGTGACTTTTTTATCTAAATTCCGGACTCGCGGAACAAACACCCCGCGCACCAAAACCACGGAGCCCCGCTTATAAAGCCGCCGTGTTATGCGAGTTTTGGACTGGCACACGAGCGGCATCCGACTTATCCGCAGGGGCAGCCAGGAGAAGACCGGCCACGCCGTGTCTTCAGAGGTGTCGGTGGCTCCTCCCCGGCCAACCGTACCGGAGCAGCGGGGCCCCAGCCCCAAGGTGGGTGCGGCCGGGACGGAGCGTGGGGCCCGCGAGGCAAGCCGCTCTCCCGGTACGGCCCCCTCCAGGCAGCAGAACGGCCACCGGGGCCCCTCGCCCCCCAAGTCTCCCCTGCCCGCCGTCACGGGGCGCCGGGCGGCCTCTCCTTCCAGCTCCAGATCACGCTCACACTCTAGGTGAGTTGGTTTCCTCAGGGGAAGGCGGGCACACATGTACGAGCCTTGACACCCCCAAAAAAAGTTTCTCCTTTCATCTGGAAGTATCCCTTCACTTTTAAGACTCTAACTCAGAATGCATTTTAAGGCTAACTTCGAAGTCGAGCACGCCGCAAAAGGTTGTAACGAAAAATGAAAGATGTTTACAGCTCCCTGTAATGCCGAATCAGAGCGCAGCTCTTGAAGAGGAGGAGGGGAGGGTGTGCCCCTCTTACTCCCTCGTACTCTCCTCCTCCTCTCATCCTTCCCCCCCTTGCCTCCCCCTCATGAAGGCCTCGTGAAGTGAAGGTCGTGACTTTCACTGTGACCGTCGTGACCTTCACGAGTGACCGTGACGTCACGTGCGACGTCATTATGGGAAACGTCCCATAATGCAACGCGCGGGTCACCAGTGAGACCTGCGCATTGCATTGTGGGAGGTTTCCCATAATGCTACGCGTGGTTACAGCGACGCCGCTCAAGTTGGAAACGGCTGCCTAAGAGCTGTGCTCTAAGACATGTTAAAGGCCAACGGCCAGACTCGAGATTCTGCAAAGCAGAAGGTCCTCCTCATCGTGGGAGAGGAGGAAACAGGGAATGGTGCTCAGGGTAGAAGGGGGGAGAGTAGGAAGCAAGAGAAAAGTGGAAAGTGCGAACCAGTCATTAGTCTTTAACTCTGCTAGGTTTCAATGCGAAAATCCCTGTCCTTGGCGGAAATGAAACGGGCAAACTCTAGCTCAGTGGTCCGACGCTCTACCCTTGCGCTACCGGAGGAGCTAAGAAGAGTGTTATTTGAGCTGATGCATACAGGGTGTTTTATATAAGATGGAAAGCAACTTTTAAGTAAAGAGCACTGGTAGGAAAGAAATTATTCCATTGGGATAATGTTATTGATTGTAGTAAATGTCTGATTCTGAGTATAAAGTGACAATTAGCAAATAAATTACCTAAAATCCACTACAGTCGCCGACCAATTTTTCGGATGCCAATAATTCATGCTTAGTCAATATTTTGGACCTAAAGGAGGAACCGTGACCTATTCGATAGAAATACTGCACGGTCATGACCATTGTTTCGGACAGCTTGAAGCCCGAAAGTTCTTTTTTTCGGATAAAATCTTTATGAGCAATCGGCAGGAAACACCGCCGAGAAGCAGCCATTTTAAATTCTATATTGGCTGTACATGGATTGGCTCGGTTTGGCAGCACTACTGGAGTGCCGTTAAGTCCTACCGCTGGGTGACGCCATGCTACGGCTTTTTATCTCTCTAGCTGCGCGTCATCATCGTCATCATCATTGTTATCATGTTGCTTCATTAATTCGGCATTCTGCAGTCGTGGACTTGCACCTCTTATCTCGTCTCGGTGAATTGTGTTTTCGGACTATGCTGGCTTGGACGTCGTGGCCCCATCTGTTCTTCCCCCGCCGCGAAGCGTCGCTAAGAAGTGCAAAGAATACTCGACCATAAGGCTAGAAAAGAAGGTAGCGATTCTTAAGCTGATAGAAAGTGGTAAAACTGGAATGGAGGCGTAACCTCAAGCCAAGCACTATTGACGGCTTTTCTAAGCCCGCTTAGACGTAACAAAAGGCAAGTTTTTCAATCTGCTGATTTTTCAGACTGCCGTATCATTTGGGCGTCCCTTCGGTCCTGGCGAAGTCCGAAAAATTGGTCGCCAAATGTAATTCCCCTTTTAAGGAATGTTTTTAACTGGCGCATTTTGATTACAGACGTGTTACCTGTTGTCAAAATATGCCGTAGCACTTGTTAAAATTCTGACAAGTACAGTAGAACCCGTTTATAACGAACTGCATAAAACGCTACGTCTAGTTCGATATATCAAGTAGTTCGTTATGGAGATATTCGCGTATAACGAATTTCTACGATATGCCACTTACTGTTCAAGAAATCCATTTATTGGGAACAATCTATTCACAGTAGGCAGTAATCTTCGCTTGGGTTTTTGACTGGGCAGCATCCATAAGAATGGCGTTCTTGACGCGTGACACTGCTTGTACGAACTCCAGTCCGCTTCCCTCGATGTCGGAGCAGTAGCGACGGAGCACGTCCACCGCTGAAAGTGCCTCGTGAAGCGTCGGACGAGGTGGACCTTCATCTTCAGAATCCTCTGCTTCCTCGCAGTCACCAATGGCAGCAGCTGCCGCCACATCCGCAATGATCTCTGTGTCCGAAGGGCTTGCAGCCACAGCAACGTCGTCGTCGGCCGTCAAAAAATCTTCGAGGTCGACTCCCTCGGGCAACGCATCAGGGAGGCTACCAAGTTCCTGCCAGAGGACTCCTATGTCATCGTTCTCTTGCACTGGGCCCGATGTTTCGCCGTTTTCCACGCCGAGTCCAGCGTGCCGGAAGCAATTGCGAATTGTGTCGCTCGTGACATCACACCAGGCGCGGCTCAGCATCTGGATCGCGCCCAGCAAGTCGATCTTCAGCTCTCCGCCGACGCGCATCTTGACGAGAAGTTGCTCCACAAGACGCTTTCGGTAGCCCTGTTTGAAAGCACGGATGATGCCCTGGTCAAGTGGTTGGAGCACTGCCGTTGCGTTGGGCGGCAGGAAACACAGCTCGATGTTCTTGAGCGATACACCGCAGTGGTGAGCGGAACAATTGTCGAGCAGTAGGCAAACCTTGCGCCCACTTGATGTTAATTCTTCGTCCCAGTCGCGGAGCCACGTCTCGAACAACACCCTGGTCATCCACGCCTTCTTGTTAAAGGTGTATGTTACGGGTAGGGGGCCGCATCCTCGCAAACATATAGGCGACTTGAACTTGCCAATGACTAGCGGGCGCAGTTTCGATGATCCGTCCATGTTGGTCGTCAAAAGGATCGTGACGCGAACCTTGCTCAGCTTTCCACCATGGCAGTCCTCATTTCGGAGCGCCAAGGTCCTGCTTGGAAGCAGCTGCCAAAATAACGCAGTCTCGTCCGTGTTAAAAATGTCACATGGCTTGTACTTCTCAATAATTGCCGGCCAGTTGTCATCAATCCACTTCTTGACGCCTTCCGTATCGACGGAACACCTCTCGCCAGCCACGACTTTTCCAACAATCGAGTAGCGGTCCTTAAACCGTTGCAGCCATCCAGTGCCTCCGGTGAAACCTTCAACCCCCAGGACGAAAGCGAAATCTTTCGCCTTGCTCTGCAGCATGGGACCAGAGACGGGTAGGTTCCGCGCGCGAATGTCCAGGAACCATTGGTAGAGAGCCTTCTCCACAGCGTCGTAGGCCGGTTTCCGGATGCGTTTGCTGTCGGCGTTCGGCCGTTCGCAGGCTTGGTTCTTGATCGTCGCCTTATTCTTTAGTATCGTGCTCAACGTGCTTCTGGCGATCTTGAAGGTTGCAGCCACGTCCGATTTTTTCTCGCCGCGCTCGACACGGCGAATAATGTCCACCTTGTCAGAAATCGGCAGCGCTTGCCGCTGCTTTGTCGTCATTATTCTAGCGGACTGCACGCACTGCCAACCGCAACAAAACAGAAATGGCGAAGACTGCCAACGGCAACGACGTGCTTGCGAAAGGACATGCGATAGGCGCGATAGGACCCGTAGCCCCAGATGTGAGAAGGATGGCAAGGTTACGACGTTCTCCAACTCTCCGACAGATGGCGTTATGGCCGCGTCGCGGTTGTGCGGAGTACGCGGAGTCGCACGTTGATCGTCAGCTCCGTTCGCTCGCTGCCCAAGGTCGAAGAAAGCTGGCTCCCTTTTTCTCTTTCCCTCGTTCGTTCATGCGAGGCGCGGAGCGGGCGAACCGGTTCTGCATTGCGAGGAAGCCAGACTCCGCGGGCGCCCGGAGCCGCTCCTTTTTTCGGGTATTCGCAAGCGCTGGGAATTCGATATATCCAATGTGCGGTTCGTTATGCGAGATATATTTTGCATAGATATTGATCAGAGAATTCTGTGTGTTCGATATAAGGAATAATTCGCTGTATCCGAGTTCGTTATAATCGGGTTTGACTGTAAATTCTGCTCCATGCTATTTATTCTACGAGGATCCATTGACACGAAGCATTTGACCGTATTGTGTAGGCTTCAAGTTTGTTCCCGCAATGCCCTTTGCTTACGTTGCTTTATGTTAGGTGAGCTTATGTCAGGAGTCACTGGAACTTCCGTGCCTTGTATGTAGCATGGCAGACAATTCTAGGAGTAGCTTTGCACGCAACCTACAAACCCTAATGCCCCGGTGACTTTCGATCGTATCATAATGTAATACAAGGAAACATAACCAAACGTTGGTGTGTGCAGGGGTTTTTGCTTCGTAATGCATATACGAGTTAGCAGGGCAACCAAGCGAGGCAACGTTGAATTTCCGTGGTGACTTGCTGGACAGTCAAATGCTACTTTGTCAATGGACGTTGGGATTGAATACAAAAAAAATCACCATAAAGTAGATTTTTGGTAAGTAAGCCGCGTTTTTGGACTGTATATTCTATAAACTACCTCATTTGTAACTATCACTATCTATATCACTAAAAAAACATGATAAAAAAATATTTACAAGGTCCCGGTGGTTTCTAAACTGTGCTACAGGTGCAAAATCGAGCCAGACTTTTAGCGATTCCCGCTCTCTTTTAACTCGGCGGACAGTCGCCACCTTTGTCTTGTTTTGAAGCAGTCTTTTTTCTTCTTTTTGCCACCCATCAAAATAGTGTCCGCAGCGTAGTCCTGGCGTGATCAGCGTTTTCCCGCCTTATGATTGGGAAGTAGTGATTGCCTAAAGCACCCGCTCAAGTGAGCATTGGCTCAATGCTGAAAATGTGTATGCAAGTTTCAAATGCCATTTTCTCAAAATAGATTTTTCCTCTAGGATTACTTATCCCAGTGATATCTCGGGAGCAGTTTAATAAATTTGCATGCAGTTTTGTTTTTTTATTCTGTTACTAAATAAATAACTTTGTAAAGGCATGAGAAGCTTCCTTTTTTTAGAAAATTCTGTTCAAAAATTTATAATTCTCAAATTAAATTTGATGGATGAGGATATGACCAGCAACATAAAATTCAATGTTGCGCAAGATGTTTTTTGAACGGAAATGAATAAAAAGGGTTTTGTCATGCCCTGGTGTGCCTATCCAGGAATGCTTATAATAATTTTCATATTCCCACAATGTTTTGCTATTTCTCCAGGCGTGGGATAAAGGAAGCGAGTAAACCTTACTGAAAAAAGAAAATTGACTCAAGAACCTATGAGCGTAGCTTTATGAAACTTAGCAGTTACTCTTGTAAATATGCTATGAAAATTTCATAATTATACCCTTTGTATACCCTACCCTTCATATACCCTTCATACACTATTATATACTCTTCATATTCACTATACATATACTTCATATAGACGCTTTCAGGCAGCTGTGCATGGGCGCTGCCATAACTGACCTTCAGTATTTTTTCCCTCTTATTCCGTTCGCTTAACTTCATCATTACCACAGCAGGACAGGTTATTGCCATTTTAAGCGTCCTTCTCCTCGGCATACATCCTTGTCGAGATTCGTCAACGCCCGCTTCAGTGGCTCAGCATCTCGGTAAGACAAGACAAGGTCGGGTATGGCAGCCCAATCTGGCGCGCGCTGAAAGCATCTATACCCTACTATACCCTTCATATACATCATACTTCATATGCTATCATACACTATACACATACCCTTCATACACTATTATATACTCTTCATATACCCTACTAGACCTTTCATATACCCTGAAAATTTCATACATATAGCTCTAAATATGAAAAAGTTTAGGCTCGATGCCAGCTTTCTCCCTTAAAGGGGTCATGAAACGCTTTTCCAACTTTTTCCTGTTTAGCTTTCCTCCTCAACTCATAAATTGCGCATTCCACCTAAAGAGTTAAACAAGACGAAAAAGGGGAGACCCCTCCTTTTCGAACTGTCGTTTGTGTAATCCGGACACATCCATTCTCCCCCTAGAAGATTAGCCCGTCGCTCAAAATTCAGACAAAAGTTGCTTTCCCCACCCCGTTCATTCCGAAGCTGACAGTGCTGTTGTAGCTACGTGATCGTTGGGCCAGCCACACTTGCCACGTGAGCGTGGCAAATGTTGCTGCAGAGAATGAAGTCAGGTGATGAAAGGGAGGCGGCTGATTGGTCCGGCAAGCGCGTAGCTTCCACCACAATGTCAGCTTAGGGTTGAAGGGAATAAGTGAGGTCCGGTTGCGTGTGACGTCAGTTTGGACCCGATGACGCGCTTTTGGGACCGCGGATGTATCACAGTGAAAAGGCAGAGAGGTCGCGAAGGGGAGGAGGTACGAAATAGTCCGCTCTGTTTTCAAATTTTCGCACTGAAAGTCGGGCTTTTGACTTTCTACCTTTTTTCTTTTGGTCCACTGAACAATGTGCTATTAGTAAAATCCCAATCTAAACTGATCTATCCCAACCCAAAAATCGTTTCATGGGCCCTTTAACAGGTCTGCCTAGCCCGAGCGTCCTGACCTTAGTGGCAACCTCCCGGCGTTTGATTAACAGGTCCAGGTCCCGCAGCTCGCGTGGGAAAGGGGTGCCGTCCCGCAAGTCCCCCTGGGAGTCTCCCAAGAGGTCCAGGGCCCAGCGGCAGAGGTCCAGGTCGGGCAGCGGCACATCGAGGTCTCGCTCGCGAGGACGGAGAGGTCACTCCAGGTCCCCTTCATACGCTTCCTACCGCAAGTGAGTGTGTGCTTCTTCCTAAGAACAGGCTTAATAAGAGCGGGTAAAGTTGGTCTGCGTCTTCTTAGGTTTAAAGCCCGTTTCCTGTTAGGTAGCTTCGCTGCCACGGGGAAATTGTAACGTTTAACGTGAAAATATGCTAAAACATTTTTGAATTTACTCAAGCTGGTGAGTAGAGTGGGTTTGTAAGACCCACTCTACTCAAACTTTTCAAATTTTTGTCAGTGTCTCCACTAATGTAGTTTTCATTATGTTGAGGTAGTGAGGAGTTGTACGTGCGTCGCAGCTGGACTTACAAGTTTCTGTGCAGAATTTCCGAACCGCTAGTATTGCGTAAAGCTCACCGCTCGTAGATCAGTGTCAATTGGCCTGTGGCATGACTAAGACGGGGAAGGAAAAAAAAGACGCGTAAGAGGAGGCACAACACGCACCAAGTGCTGTCCCTCCTTTTACCCGTCTTCCCTTTTCTCCTCTGTTTCGGGTTCCATCGCACCACATTCACCAGCTTGCCCACATGCTCTCTCTTCTTTCCATTGGTGCGGGTTTTGTATCGGAAAAGGGCCACTTTGGTGAGCCGCGTCTCTTTGCAAGCCAGACAGTAGGACAGCATGCGTGTCTTTTTTCTTCCGTAAGACGTTGGCAGGTAAAAGAGAGGAAAGGGACCAATGCAATGCCTTCCTCCCCCCTCCCCCATTTGTCCCCCCCACCCCACTTCCCCGGTGGCTCACAGCAGAGGAGACAGCCGGGAGCGCAGGCGCTCGAGGTCGCGTGAGCACAGCCGCTCACGGGACCGCTCCTACAGCAGCCGCAGTTACTCCATGCACTCTCGAAGCTCCAGGTGAGGGGCCGCCCCGCCCGCCTACCCACCCTTGCGGAGAGACTATCTCGGGTTGCGTCATCTATGCCAGTGGTTCTCAAATGAGGTTCCGCGGTCCCCTTGCATCATCAGTGAAGCCCAGCAATAAAAGTTGTATATTTTTAGATTAAGAAGAATCGTTCCAATTGTTGGGCAAGTTTTCTCGTCTGTGTGTCAATGAGGAGCAGTCTACTTCACACTAGCCCTTAGTTTTATCCCTTAATTAAATCAATGTTATAATTAACTTACACCTTTCCCGTCCCATCACCATGAACGGGGTCCCCCATCACCTTCGCCGATGCCCAAGGGGTCCGCGAGACGTCACTGGTTGAAAACCTTTGGTCTAGGGAATGCACGCGTAGTCCGCAATGGCTGGGAATCACCCATTGAATTGGCACCGAGATAGTGCCACAGCACGGAGATTGCTCGCACAAGTTCTCGCAATCCTCAATGTGCTTCGCGCATCGGAACCTCGCCGTCGACTCTTTTCTGCTACGTCGTTGAGGCTAACCTAGTTTCTGCGGCATTCCAACGCTGTCGTAGCTACTTCTGCGAGCACGTGGCTTCGTTTGGCCTCTCTTTTGCGCAAGAGCCCGTGCGAGTGAAATGCAAGGTGAAACCATGTGCTCTTGCAGCAGTGTGGACCTGTAGCACAGTGTAAACTATAGTAACCTTGGCAATGTAGCGCAAAAGCGTCGACACAGAGTGTAGCACATACCTCCTTTCTGAACAGGAGGGGGTGTACCGTTGGGTTGGCAAACCTCTCGGTGAATAGCGACGGGCGTGCAATGTCCAAGTCCTTGTAACGCCGAAATAATCGGGGTTTTGGTAACTGCCTTGCATGTAGTTTTGTTGAATTTTAAAGAAAGCTAAGTTTACTTCACTTAGTCACACTTTTCTGTACCACATTCAAACCTTGGCCATGATTCAGTTTTAACTGGTTTGTAAAGTTTTTTGTGGGGGTGCTTTTCGAACTGCGGGATTGCAAAGGTGCCCATAAAGTTCACATGGTGCTTTCTGACATTTGGCTAGCGTTACCTGTGTGGTGAATTTCAGAAAATAAATATAAAGTAGATGTAAGCTTTAAGTTGTTGGTAGGGGCAGAACTGGGCTACAAGAAAAACTGATGACCGATTGAGAAGCCTCTGCAGTGTAAGGCATCCAAAATCCTGGCACTCTTTGGTGGAGTCATTTCTGCCAATTTGAAACCCAGCTTGAAAGCTGAGTGGAAATGGCAGTTGCAAGTCATAAATCCTAAAAAATGTGCTTTTGGTTGTCACTTTTTTGGTGCAATGTTGCATCCTTATGTTGGAGAAGCACTACCCCAAGCTGAGAGGTCTCGGTCAGTTTGAAAAGGCACTAGGGAGTTTTAGAGTAGCATACTCAATTCTAGTGCATGTTGTGGGCGGAGAGCTACAGAATAGCACTTCTCCACAGCAAATTAAATGCCAGCATCTCACACTTGCAGCGTAACCAAGATGCAGTCGCAGCCTTCGACGTTTGCTCAAAAGGCTGTACATTGAGAAAGGAAAAAGACCATTTTTATCCTGAATCGCATTAATGAATTTGTTTAAATAGGCAGATGCAATGCCAGTGGTCGTGTGCGCTCACGCCGACACGACTGGTTGAAGTTTTTGGGGCAAACAGTCACCCCGAGAAACGTTTGCCTGTTGCCAATTGCTGGTGATCGTCGCTCACCTTGCTGGGTCTTTACAACAGATGGCGGCATACACGTTTCCTAAGGGTTGAGTGTCGTCCTGTACCGATGATCGCAGTTGCGAGGGCACTGTTGTATTGGGAGCCACCGTTGAGCACTTAGCTCCAAGTCCGGTTTCGGGCACAACTCATCTTGTCTTGAGCCCTCTGCCACCTTCCCGCACCTTGCAAGAGCTGTACAAGTCCACTTTGGTGCAAGTCTGGACACGCGGGTGCGCACAAAATTTTCAAACTGTAGTGTGTGTTCATTCAAAGCCCAGAACGCAGTCTGGGTTTGGCCGAGACGCGGTTTTCTTGTGTGCACAAAGCACTTGGGCACGCTACTCTAAACCTCCCTATTATGAAGTGTGTATCAAGGAGATGAGGTCAGAATCCTTGGCAGTTACGGAGAAAGGGAGAATGGTTGTATCAATGTTGTCCCTTCGCTGCTGTGTGTTTGTGCTATTTGAAGTGCTTAGTACTAGTCTCGTGTTTGTGGATTTGTTATTGAGCTGCGTCTTGTCTCGCTAACTGCTCGTGTAACTGCATTTCACTAGTCATTTCCTCTCTCTAACCCACGTGACATTATGCTTGCGTGTCATGTGCTTGCATCGCCTTCTGTCTGTCTCTTTTGACTAACCTCCTTTGTCTCCAGAACTTTGTAACAAATACTAAATTATTTGCTCCTATTCACAGTTTTCTGTGAGCAGGGTTCTGAGTTTAGTTGCAGTGAGGCGCACTCACTCAGATAAAAAGACTCGTCTCTGGAAGTTTTCTTGAACCCAAGAGATAACTCGTAAACCCAAGAAATGAAACAGACTTTTGTCTAATGTATAGATTAAGTTTGCAGGCTTTCAGCTATTTCATTCTACATATTACGTACAAACATAGGTTGTAAATATTGCGATACTAGTAGGCAGCTAAGTGACCAACCAAATTGGCCCACTCCTAGACAGGAGACTGGAGACATTCCACATTATTGCATCAGGTCGCGTTGTGCAGCCAAGGATTGAGTAGCTTTTGCCGTCGCCCGAGACACAGCAGGCTTTCGGAGACACGAGAAAGAGACGCAGAAGAGCCGTGGAGACGATGACACGTGGGCCGGGCGTTGGGCCCATTACGTTGTCTGACCTTGAGGCGTTTGCATCTTTGCAGGTCTTGCTCAAGGTCTGTGTCCTCGCGGTCACGGTCGTACGCTCGTAGCCCTTCGATTCCGCGTCGCAAAGGCTCTCCCAGCTTTCTAGATAAGAGGCGCATCACCAGGTAAAAACAAAAGAGAGCAAACGAGCAGAGTCACACCGTTTAGCGACGGTTGCCGCCTCTCGGGAAACGTGGCACGAGACGAGTGCTTTCGGAGGCTGCTACGACTGTCGTTACTGCTTGTGGGTCCGGTGACGCCCCGTCGGTTCATGGCTTAGTTTGATCGCTGCAATAATGAAAGCGACTAAAGTGACGTATAGCCTTGAGCCAGAAACGGTGGAAGAAGAGTGCGTGCCGACGTGAGCCTCAATGATGCGCAATGTGCAGGAATGTAGCGACAGCCTCATAAAAAGCAGACCTCTTCAGTTGTGAAAGCGATCTGCTTTTTGTTTGGGAATGTCAGCAACCTTCTTCCTCGCGCTTAACTTCACTTTGCTGGCGAGGGAATGAACCAACAAGCAGTAATGTGAAACTACCTTGATTTTATAAACGATTGCGAATAACACAATCGTAATATTTCTTTTTGTTTTCTTAAATACCGGGCCGTTGCGACGTTGCGCTCAATCTGTAATTGAACCAAGGCAGCATGTGCGTGCATGCCGACGATTAGGCACTCGATAATAACTTGCGTCGCGCCGGCCTAGCCCTAGCTCGATGCCCTCGTCTCACGCCGCGTTTGCGAGTGGGCACCTGATTGGGCAGGGATTAGGGAACCAAAACGCTACTGCCCTGCACACGCCAGGCTGTGACGGTGGTGGCATCTTCCCATACTTGCTCTTCCCTCCCCCCACCCTCTTTTTGTTTTCCTGCCTCGTTTTTTTTTTTTCTCTTTCCTTCCTCTGCTTTGTAAGACGCTTTCGAGTCCATGGTGGATCTTTTTTGTGGCAGATAGTGCTACTCCCAGTCGTCGAGCATGCGGCTTCTGGCTTAGTGGTCTCTCCCCCGTAAAGCACACCCTTGTTCGCCGCTTTTCTGAGCACGTCTGTCCCGCTTGGCTGTGGTCTTAAACACCTCTTGCACCGCGAAAAACAACTCTGAGACTAAGTACATGCAGACGGCGAATACCCCAAGGAACTGGAAGGTTTTTCCCACTGGTCACTGAAGGCGTTCCTCGAGGCTGTCGAGTTTTAAGATTTTATTAGCTCACGTGTTGTGAAAACCAAGAATGAAAGACGGAACGGACACTCAGATAACCCAGGCATTAATAAACACTAGTTTTAATTGTACTAACTCAGCTTTTTCACCATTTTTATCTTACTGTCATCTTGGGGTATCAGCTGTGTGCATCGTGATAAAAATACCTCTATGAGGTATTTACCTGAGTGTTATTGAATATGACACCAGTATCAAATCTTGCAGGGTCTATTTTTGCATACATTCATTTTTTTGTTTTTTTTTTTCTACTAAACATAGGAGTCTTTTAGGTGATGCCTAATATATGTACCGTAATATCACGAGAGATAGCCTAGCTAAAATCGAGAGTTAATTTGGTGAAAATAGGGAGTAGGCTAACTTTGGGTGTGCAGTCAAGAAAATTTGAAAGAATGTTATTTTTAGATTATATGTCGCTGTCAAACATGTTATCACAGCGAGGGGCAATGAAGCAAAAATGACCGTACTTACAGGTCAGCAATGTTCGCTTATATTCTGCCATAGTTAACTAGCCATATTTACGCCGAGGCTATCATTGGACCCCAACACTACTATTACTAGGAGTGGGCTATCTTTCGGTGTTTAAAAAAAAAAAATAGCAAATCGGGCCAAAAATAGGGGGCGGGTCACCTCTCGGGGATGGGGCATCTCTCGGGATTTTACGGTGGTTCCCTCGCTCGACACAGTTTGCTCGATTGTCACTGCCTTTATTATGGCTTGTTGAGTTTGTTTGGTTTTGCTCTCACGTTTTTGCCTTGATTCTGTTTGGGTCCTTGGTTTTGGGCTGGTTTCCAGGGCTCCAGACGCAAAAATCAGGTACAGCAGCAGCAGGAGTAGAAGCCGTAGTGGCTCGTACCGTCGGCGCACAGACCGCCATCGCCGACGATGACCCGGAAGTGTTACTTCACGCACCTCAAAAACAAGAACACCCACCCTCCTTTTTATTTTTCTTTTCTTTTTTTTTTGACTTGTTTATGACCATACCTTTTTTTTTTTTTTTTTTTTCTTTGCTATCTTTCATTTTCTCATGTTATGTCAAGAAAGGACTGTTATACTCTTCGTTCTCAAGGGCCTTTTAGCAGCCTGCAGTCTTCGAGGCACTGGCCATCACCCCTTGATTGGATTTAGTTCTCATTCGTGTGCAGGGACGACGTGGGTTGAAGTGGTTTCAGTCTGTGTTAATCAACCTCGGCAGCATTCTGTTATTGGGCTCTATAAGGGTTCTGGTGGGAATGTGGAACTAGTGGTCAGTGCACCAACTTGAGCCCATATGGATTTGTTCTTGTGTAAGATAAAGCGTCGATGTGTTTGCAAAAGTTTTGGTGCAATAAGCGAGCGTGAATACTGCAGGCTGTTTGTTGCTGGGCATGCATGAAAAAATACATTCTGTGTTCATTTCTCGACGCACTTGTGCCCCCGCATCATTTTTGCACATTTGGTTTATTTTTTATGGGGAGCAGATTTTGAGAATAATAAAAGTGTCATCTCCTTGGTTCCTTTGGTTTCTGTCATTTACTCTGAGTTGCCTCCTTGGTTTCTCTTATGTTTCCAGGGCTTTGGTTGGGATTCAGCGGTGTAGAACGTTGATCGTCGGTGCTAAAGAATGTGTAGGATTGCTATTAAAATATCTACTGCTGGTGCTGTACAGGCCACACTGAAATCTCCTCATACTAAACTCTCGCTAAACGGCACGCATTGCATATAGGAGGTACAGCAGAGAGTAAGGTTTGCACTTTGTTGAACGCTGCGAATTTACATCGGTGGTGATTTCAGGCAGTTACTTTGCCGCATGGTCTGTTGGATATTGGTAGCGAGCCTGCTTATATGTTTCGACCTATTTTGATCAGGTGAACAAATTTGTGGAATGATATTCTTGGAAGCCAGTAATGCAGGCAATGCATGGAGTACCCCCTGTATGAAACCATGCCAGAATCTGAAAGGTAGCTGTGCTATTAGGCGCGTTTCCTTAATTTCTTTCGGAAGGTAGGCGGTACCGGGGAAAGCTGTGGCACTGGACATTTTTGCAGGTTTTGTGGGTTGATGCTTTGCTGCCATGCTTTTGTCCTCTTTTTTTGCTCCCTTAGTTTTGATTACATGGCTCGAATTCCAGCCTTCCCCCCCCTTTCCCGCCGTCCCACTCCCGACTAATGGATTCCGTCCCCTTTTTGTATTGTTTGCAAGCCAGTACCATGGAATGCAGAGGACGGAAACAGGTGGACCTCCCTTTCTTTTTTGGTTCTTGGCCTCGGAGTTTTGCGACTCCTCTTTTTTTTTTTTTTATTACTTGACCCTCGTTGGGCGACATTTTTGCAGGTTGTGCCCTTGTGCAGGCCTTAGTGGTCTCTCCCTGCCTCCGTGCAGTGTTGAGACCCTGCTTGTTTTGTGTAAAACCTCGATGTGGGATTGTTCATTTACGGCTAGTATGATTAATAGATTGATTTCACCAGCTAGTTTTGCCATGCTGCCTCAACCGATTGTGGAAACTTTAGAGTGTCTGCATGCACAATAACCACGCCGTGGGTCTGCACCACGAAACGGTGCCAGCCATCGCCCACCCCCCGTGAACCAAAGTTATGGCGACGTCCGGCTTGTGCAGACCAGCTGGTGAAATTGGTCTATCTGCAGACATGGTAGTTGAGTCACTTGTGTAGAATGACTGCCTACTTAGGTATTCAACAAAATTGCAGCCCTCAGGGGTTCTGTGGTAATGCAGGAGCTTTGCTGGTACACTCAGCTCGCACACCATTGGAAGCAGCTGTTGCTCAAAGTAGGGTGCCTGAAAGAGCAATGTGTTCTCACCAATTAAGTTATTTTTTTAACTTGACCAGTTTTTTTTTTTAAGCTGACAGCTCTGGAACTCTCTTGTGTGAAAATGTGCTTTCATACCACAGGCAAGGAGCGAAGGGAGGGATTTTAACTCGCATGTGAAATAGTTGCATTTTCTAATCCCAATGATTGCTGGTTGCGCCCGCTCTGTACTAGGCACGAAGATGGTGGCACCCACAGAAATCTTGGAATGGAGTGCCGACGCTCTAAGTGTTGCTCATTTAGTCACCCTAACTGCAACTAATGGCTCATTTACGTAGGTGGCATTGTGAACTAATAGTAGTCTTCAGTCGCAAGGGAAGCTCTTATGGTCGCCGAAAGAATGACAACGCCAAGGAGGTGGTTTAGCTGTCCCACCTCCGGCGCAAGCTTTCTACCTCCGATAATGCTGCATAGTCCCGTTGGGGCGTGCACACGCAGCCAAAGAACGCCGAAAGGCAACGAGCACGCGCCGGAGGCTGGACATCCAAAGAGACTCCCGCAGTTCTGTCGGCGACTGCAGATGTAAACTTGCGCTCTTAAGGCTCTTCAAGACTGCCCGCAAAAATCGAACTCTCCACATATCGTGGTGCGATTTACTAGAGGGGTGCAAGCAGTGGAGGAGGTTCACAGCGAAAAAATATTGAATTCTTTTACCTCGTTCGAAGGAAGAAAAAAAAACTGTTCTGGGCAATCTACGCCGCCACTTTGCAGACGATGCCCGCGTCGGGAGAAGTGCTGCCGACAGATGGCGTACGCAGTGTCGAGGGAGTGCCGGCCGATTCGGGTTCTTTTGCGGGATCAGACTGCCATCGTAACCCGATTCGCCTGGCGCTCCCTCGTAAAGCCCCTTGATCGAATTCACGCCTCGCGTTTCTTCCCAAGTGGCGACAACCATTGTTCTGTCTGCAGCACTTCTCTTTACTCGTGCATCGTCTGCAAAGCGGCGGCGTAGATTGTGCAGACCAGGTTTGTGTCCATTTTGTTTTGAATGAGGTAAGTTCATTCATCGATTTTTTTAATGTAGATTTCCACCACTTGCTTGCACCTCTGTAGTAAATCGCAGCACAATACATTGAGAAACTGATCTTTCGGGGGCCGTCTAAAGTGCCCTAAAAGCGTTAGTTTACATGCTGTGCAATAAGAGACTGCTTGCATTCATGGCAGTGTTTTACGCTTGCTGTTTCCGATTGGGCGAGGTTAGCCAACCACACCGTGGTGTTGAGTGACCAGGAGAAATGGCTCAAAAGATAGTACGCTTTTGCAAGCAGGTTTTTGCCTGCAAGAGAAAAAAAAAGCCTCCTTGATCTTTTAACCGGGTCATTTCTTGCTTAATTAAGCAAAGAAAATTATGAGGAAACCATAAAAGTGATAGTGCCTGATGCTGGAAGCAGTATCTGCCCTGCTAGGATTCCCCTGTAAACTTCCCAGCACGTGCTATTGTATGTACCCAATGAGATTTATCTCGACAAAGCTGCACATTGATTAAGAACTTGCACAGTTACCAGTGTTTTGGCTTGTGTATTGAAGAAACAAGACCCATTTAACTGTGCAAGCTGAGATTTTGGCACTCGATACCCAGTGCTACATTCGGTTTATGCAAAAGCTTTTATATGCAAATCTTATAATTTGTGGAAAGGCTATAAGGGAGTGAGGTTGAAAATCTTGGGTGTCACATTAATACTGCTGTATTTTGGAGGTCTTCACACCTAAAGATATAGAAGTGAACTATTTCTTTGTTGACCAAGCTTTTACAAGCACAGTTAGTGATGCACTATTGAAAACTCTATGAAATAAGTTAACAGTAAAGGTATTTGCAACACTTGATCTGTCCTAGGATGGATCACTATTTAGTTAACTTCACAAAGCAAAATTATGCCTATATAAACAATCTGGAAGCAAGCAGCTTAATTGAGTGCGACCTTTATCTCTAAAGCCGTGTGATGCATGGAATGTAGTATTTAAGGAGCGATTGTTTAAATTTGTTTAGGAACCATTCAACTAAATTCAGGGAGTGAAAAAGAACCAATTTCCAAATTTCACCGCTAAATTTAACTAGAAAATTCACGTCGCGCGATATCGCGCAACGCGACGACTTGCCACTGTGATGTTGCATCACAGTGGCATCACATCACAGTTCCCACTAAATTTGGCAGGCTAATGCGCAGGCGGATGGACAGACAAATTTCTGGGATTGGGGGGCGATTCATTAAAAAGCATTCCATGGTTCATTAATCTATAGTCCACAACTTCTTTCAAAACACTACATTAACATTCGAGACCACTTGCACGAGGGCACTGCCTGCCCGTATAAAGGATGAAGTGTTCACAAAACAATCTGTAGTCTGCACTCGTCCACACTCGCTCGTGTCCAATAATCGCAGAGGGCCAACAAATGTTCACCAGCATGCTGCGCTAGTGGTGCCGCATGTCAAGGTGTCGCCCTCGTAAGACGGTGGCCCTGAAGCTCCTGTACAGGGAGTGTTCACTGGCGGCCATAGCTGCGTGTGCGACTGCGCGCGGATGGCGAGCTTCCAGTTCTTTTGCAATGTGCATTCCACACCATCGAGACTACTGGTCTTAGCAACCTATTAATGTAAGCTCGTTTTGAGCATGCGCTCTGAACAGCACACTCAAATATGGCATCCAGCAAATACGAAAAAGTAAAGCAAACCTCCTCTTCATTTTGGTTCCTTCTCTCTCTTTTTCCTCCTGGCCGATAACATTTTTGAGCATGACCGTGCAACACCTAGGTAATAAGGCCCTAGTGCAGAATTTTCTGCGTCATCCAAAGAGGCAAACGTTGGGCACAAATCGGACCTAAACGCTGAGGCGACACTTACCACTTTAGGCGACGTAGGAAATTCGGCCTTCATACCTTGTTACCTAGGTGGTGTTGACCGGGAGGGTAAGGTGCTTGCAAGGAGGAAAGCCTAGTACAACGGTTTGCATTACTCTCGGTACGAAGCGGGCTTTAAGTGGCCCGAGTGTGGTGCCTAACGCCCCTCCGCGTTCTCTCCCTCCCCCTTGCGAGCCAGCGCGCGCAAGCGACCGGTGCCCTACAGGAGACCGACGCCACCGACCCCCAGCACAAGCGCCAGCTCGTGGTCTGCTCGGTCCTCCTCCTCGGGCCGTTCCTCCAGTTACCGGTCGCCATCACTAGACCGCCGCTCCCCATCGGAGCGCTCCCTGTCGCCTTGGTACAGGAAAAAACAGTCTTCGAACTCCCAGGACGTCTGGCAGTGAAAGGACGAGCGTTTTGTATAGCGTGGAGACCGGTCGTTTTTGCCTTGAGGATTGGATAAAACAACCTACCGTAATGTCCGGAGAGATAGCCCACCTAAAAGCAAAAGCGAACCGGGTCAAAATATGGAATGGGCCAACTTTCGGTATGCGATGAAGAAAGTTTAAAAAATGCTAGTTTTAAATTCTGCGACCTGCAAAACTTGCGACTGCAGGGAGGGGCGATGAATTACTGTCATCCCCAGTCGGCAATATTCTATCATCTCCCATTGCGGCTAAGTAACACCATATCTGTCGAGGTCACCATTGGCCGGACCCCTGCAATTCCTAGAAGAGGACTATCTTTCTGCGGTTCTGAAAAATAGCAATTCCTGCCAAAAATAGGGGGTGGGTCATCTCTCAGGATATTACGTTGCACGCACTGGTTCACTATCCCCGAGGCAGTCGTTCGAAAGCCTCTTGCATAGAAGGAAATGTATGCTAATAAAAGTAAGTAACTACCAACCAAGCCCTAAATCGAAGGGGGCCTAATGTTTCGAAACCAACTCTTGTTTCATCTTCAGGGCCAAGTGGGTACTGCCATTGAATCCCAGTAGTAGATCCTTCTTCCAGGGGTTCTCCTTTCTTTAGTCAGGGGGCAGTGCATTGGTGCATACAAAGGGCCAACTTCTTTTTTTATTATCAACTAAACCAAAATGACTTCTGTCAAAATCCACGCTTTGCATTGTTAAAATGAACCATGTGCAGCCAGGCTTTTGGTATTCTCGAGGTTAAAACGACTATAGATTGTACATACGACAGCTCGGCGAACATTTCAACCTAGATGTAATAGTGTTTTGCCACACAAACCAGTCACTGGATATATTGCGACATTTGGTGAGCCAATGAAATGAAACATCTAAACAGGTAACCCGCAACAGTAGTTGTCGGCGGCACCTGAAGCTTATGCACGGCAGCCTAGCATAAAAAGGGACAGACTCTGCTTATCCCTCAAGTTTAAATACAGCTACCCCGTTGTCTGGAGCAATTTTAACGAGTGGACCATCTTGTCAAGAAGTTGCCCGTCGCAAGCAAACAAGTTCCCAAGCTTCCCGCATTGGCTGTTTACTGCATTTGCCGTGGAATATAATGTAAGAAATAACGCACATTACAGACAGAATTTTTTAAATAAAGGAGGTAATCTGCAAATACTGTGTAAGTAGATGAGTACTGATTATGCTTTTAATATGGCCAATATGGCATGTTAGCATGGTCAAGTAGGAGAGTCATTGATCAACTTGCACAAACTCCAATTTGGTTGTGTTCATACAGAATGGTGAGAAACCTACGAACTTCCACAGCTCCTTTTCCAAATATTGGCACAACTAGCAGCCATGAGACAGCATTTAAATGAGTGTACACGTTTTGAACGAGGCATCAACACTTTCGTTCCTCGGTATTTATGTGTAATTTAATTGTTACGATAAACGGTATGTCTTGTTACTGTCAAAGCACCTGTTTTCTTTGTTTCCAGCTGGTGTTCTATCGTTTGTAGTATTTTGCCTGCTCAACTTGCGTGCACAATTAAACACCGTTTTACAGCCAGCAACTTGAACTATGTTTTATTTGGGAAATCATTCGGCACAAAAAACCATTCATGTTATTTACAATGAAAAAGGGAACAAATCTTCATTCGTCTTCATCCTCTCTAGGCAGATTTTCTCCAGTCAGATCCTAGAACATGAGGGAAAACAAAAAAGGTAATCAAAATACAAGTTGGCAGACAAAAGTGATACCGGTTCCCGTGAATTTAAGCACCTCCAGATTGAAAAGAGGCTCCTGGTTACTCATAATGCACTATTAAATGACAACCAAGGGAATGGTGACAACAGGAAAAATATGCCGCCTGTTATGTCCACCTCTGGGAGGCAGTAATCAAACCATGATGCCCGACGACTTCTTTGTACTGCAGAGTATGGAGATGAGGTGAGAAAGCTAAATATTCAGTATAGTAAGTTAAGGCTATGAATTCACTAAACCTTGGATCATTCACTTAGAGACTCATAGCAAAGCAGCACCAAAAAAAAGACTGATAGTTAGTTGGGGTAGCACGACAGAAACTGCAGCTGGTTGGACTAAAGCAAAAAAAGCATGCTTACCTTCACGAGCTCGGCCAATGGGAGAGCTTGATCGGCGATGGTTTGAAGGTGCTTGTTCTCTTCTGTGAGCAGTTCGACCTGTTCGTGGAGCTGAAAGAAATACAAGAAAAGTGTTATGGGAATGCCAGCAGCAGATCAATGCAAACCAAACGAGCACACTCACCTCTTCATTTTCTTGCAAGGCCTTCTCGAGGGCGATGCGCCTCTGCTCTGCAAGCTCCTTCCAGTACTGAATGGGAACCTCATCTTTAAAAAAAGAAATGTTTAACGTTAAGTAAAGTGTTGTCACACGAACAAAATGTGCGCAAATGAGCTAGTGTAAACATAATTACGAAGAACCCCGAGACGGGGGTAAATTAATGAACAGCACAAACACGAAGCTCCGAGAGGGAAACATCCTCGTAATCCAGGCACAGCCTAAGGGATGCTGTCCCTTATTTTACCCCGGTCTCAGGGTTTTTCGCAACCACGTCGTTCCACCACCAACGTACGACGCGGACTGTTTTTCCTCCTTACCTTTGACTAGGAGGTCGTAAGCGTTCGAGGACGCGTTTCTGTCTGTCACCTCAGCTTTTGTAGGAACGCTGTCATCGTTCCTGGTGGCAAGCTTCTTCGAAGACACCTCAGATTCGTTTTCAACATCGAAAGCTTGTTTCCTTTTGCTGCTACTTTCCTGCAAACACGAACACGGGGTGTGAGGGAACGAGTCGGCAAAGACGGAGTTGAAACGCTCACCTTTTTCAAGTCCATTCGCATGATTCCGCTCGCTCCTACCAGTAGCCGCTGGTTGTACGCTGTTGGTTGGACTTCATTAAGCACTCTCCTCTTCACGACCTGCGACGGAAATGTTGTTCCCGAGTTGTGAAAGGGCAGTCCAAAGCACAGGCGGGAACGGAGTCATGGCGGTAAAAAAAGGTAAAAAACACAGGCGAGCTGGTGAATGGTATCCATAATAACCCTGAGACGAAGGAAAAATAAAAAAAACGAACAGTACAACGAAGTCTCTAACACAGCTGTGTTAGAGACTTCGTTGTACTGTCCGTTTTTTTTATTATTCCTTCGTCTCAGGGTTATTATGGATGTCATGGCGGTAGAAATTTGGCGGGGTCAAACGGACACATTTTCAGAAAAGAATGACAAGAAACACAAACAGCGCATTGGAAAACTAGTTTAAAAGAGTATCGACGCGCGGCCGGCGCTAGGTATCACAACGATATTTCTTTGTCCCCGTACGAAAACATTTGCCAGTTCGGAACGCCGAAATGGGCTTATCGCTCCGGTCTGCAGTACCTGGGCCATAAGTGGAAAAGAAAGCACGCCGACTAACCGTTTTGTCGGTTTTCATTCTGCCACGCAACTTCGCCAGGAAAGTATCGCCGAGCCAACTTAATCACCTCCACGATATAACACAAAGAAATAATTTCGTTAACTGACGAACTCGCATCGGGACGCGCAAAAACGATTTGTTCGAAGACCCCGGTACAAGCACTACCCCGCAAAAAAATGACTTCTAAATAATATGACAGTACGCTTTTTGTATAAACAAAAATTCCAATTTAATAATAAAAATACTGTATATTTATTACTTAACTAGATGAATAAAATACTCATATATACTTTTATGCTGTGTGGAAAAGCAGCACCGCAGCAGCGGTCATTATCATCATTATCATCATCGACGTCCTGCAGGGAAGCAAGCATTATGTGGTGGCTGGCACGTCAGGGTCTGAGCAAGTACAGCGTGTTTAAAGTTTATTGCCGAAGAATGTCTTCCACGGGCTTCCTCGTCGATGATCCCAAGTATTCGTTTCTCAAGGAACTGGACATTTCCAGCAGGAACCTGGGAGTCTACGACGGAAAGTGGGGAGGCACCGGCGATGTAAGACCGGCCTGACTTTTCGCATTTTCAAGTAGCAGACCGGATCGGAAGATCCGAGCCCCTGATATCTGGAGCCTGATAAGCCGGCGCGACGTGGTCTCGTCGTCTCGGTTCGGGTCGCTCCAACTACTCAATTCTACTTTCTATTTAATTTTTTTACCCATCCCTTCGAGCTTTTTAAGGTCATAAACTTATTTAGAAGAGTGGCAAAGCTTCTTTTTTTCTTTCTTACTCGCAGAGTAATTTTTTGGCACGTGAGGCGCAGATGATTTCCCCTCTAAGGTCATCGAACGAGGAAGAATTTTTAGGGGCAGCGGAAACCCCAAATTACTTCAAACTTCGCAGAAATGTCTCGTTCGAGTTTTTCTTGCCAGCGAGCACGTGCTTGTAGCTGTAAGAGAGGAGTGTGTACTCGTATGAGCATGTTCAACAACGAACGTCTGGGTTTTCTGCGCTTTTTGCAGTGGTTACAGTGCCGTGCCAGCGAGAAACAGAATATTTTTACCCTCTTCAACCGAACCGAAGATTGTATATCTGTTTCTAAACTTTTACTTGTTTGTCGTAATTAAAAAAAAAAAAAACTGAGTGAGGCACTACTTAGCCGTAGTTAGTTGGAAACATCCCCATAGGACCAGTTCTGAAGCTTGCTTCTGTGGCACAAAGGTTAGTGCGCTTGAATAACAATCTCGACACCGTCGAATATAGAGGTTTGATTCTGCATCTCGGAGACATTTCTTCACATATCTTTTCCTTGGCACATTTTTTAATGTTTCTAGCAGATCTTTTTGTAGCAGTTGTCGACATTAGACATTCTGAAGAACTTGGGGTTAAAACCCAAACGATTTTCAGTCACACAATCGAAACCCTAGAAAGAATTTCTTATTGGCAAATGCAAAGATATCGCATGGATGCGCAGCAAGTGCAGAGCATGCAACTTGTTCTCGTGGCTTCACCCCGCTCACACTTCATAATTAAACAGAACACCAGCAAGCAGCTAATGAAACTCATGCCGCAGTAACAGTGTGAGGGGGCAAACACCTGTTTATGTATGAAAGGCAGAGGCCACATTAATTAACTTGCATGTAAAAAGGTTTAAGTAAGTCATGACTGCTTATGCATTCAAACAGATACCGCTTTGAGCGCACTGCCGCTCACATGCTCAGGACGGATGAATGAATACTAACGGCTCTATACCTTTATAAGGGGCAGTAGCTTGTGCCACCTAACCTAGAAACTGAAAACCAAAACTAGGATTCTTCCCCTCGCCCTTCTAAGCCAATTTGCTTCCCCTCTGCAATATTGTAACTATCACCAGGCGGTGTAATATATCGCCAAAATGACCTTTTGGGGGATCGGGCTAAGACTAAAAACGTCGCCCCCCACCTTCCCCTGGCGAGGGAGTTTCCAATTTTTCTCTGGTCAAACCAAGTCGGTGTTACCCCAACACCTGGTCCACTGGGAGACTGTGTTAAGACTGGGCCGGAGCCACGTGGTGAGGAGTCCCAATTTTCCTCTGTCCCACCTGTTTCCAGCTATTCTAGTTAGTTGTATGTCACTCAATTCTCCCTAAATAATTTTCACTAGTCTTCCAGTCTCCTCTTTGTTATTAAAGTGCACTTACCATCCATTCTTCCGTTCTCGTCTGCAAACCCCTGCACTCCGGCTAAATTTGTCACCCCCTGAGGGAGGACGGGAGCAAGCCCTGTGCATTTCAACATCACCTGTTCTATTGTCTGATCTTCCCCTTAAAATACGGCACACTGCATATCCATTTTCATACTTTGTCCTAGTCCTCAATGCACCTGTTCTAGCGTCAGATAATGAGCTCCCTCGTGAATCGTCATATTCCTCCCTTATTTTCTGTTGTTGCCCCCTACCCTATACATAGTTAAAGCTGACTTTCCCTGCATTCTTTCCTCCCACATTTTTCTCTCAACTTTTACTTCCTTTAATATAGAGGCAGTCCGCTCTGTCCCAGCACTTGACTGCTGGTTTTTGAATTTAGTTTCGGTTTGTCTATTTAGTGTTCAGGCTTTTCATATATGGATGCTTATATACCATTCTTGCCCATTGTGTCTCTTCAACTGTGTCTAGTCTTTGTTCAAATTTCAACTTGCTGATCCCCTCTCTCCCCGAAAAATGTCCAGCCTTTGTCTCCCTGCACTCCTTCATACGGTGTATTCCTATGCGCCCCCAGCGCCAGCCTGCCCACACTCCTCTGCTGGGTCTCCAAACTCAACTCAAACCCAGATTTCATGCATAATACCACATTGCAAAAAGGCACTCCCGGCAACATGATTTCTTTCCATATTCCCCTTGCAACTTTATATCTCTTGTAATTCCACAGTGCCCTAGGCTTCATAATTTCTGCATTTGTTTTTTCTTTATTTAGCATATATTCCTGTTCTTCTAAATATTGTGTTCCCTCATCAGCCATACTCCTAGGTAGATACTTATACTTCTCTACGTGTTCAAATAAAAGGTCTTGAATTTTCACTGTCCCCCTTCTCATCGTTATATACCAGGGGTAGCCAAACCGCGGCTCCCGAGCCGCATGCGGCTCTTTGCTAGTCCAAGCGAGGCTCACTGATCCCTCATAACCCCCCCCCCCCCGCACGCCTTCTTTCTTTTCTGGGGAAAGAAAGATATCCTTTCCTTCTTTCCCTAGGAGATAAGAAAAAGATTTCAGAATAAAAAAACAGCTTGCGCTTTGGCAGCATTGTGCCCCCTAGATACAGTCGAACCGCTTTTTACTCCTATGTTTTCACAGATCCTGGTCCTTTCACCGTTCGTGAGAGTTTACTGGACCTTAGGGGGAAATGCATCAAGGACAGAAACTGTCAAACCATGCATGCACTTTGGCTTGGGGTCGAGGAAATGTTCTGTCTCCCAGCCTTTGTCACTTGCCGGTGATACTTGCCCCCTTTAGATAATGGATGTTGCCTCCATATTGTTTCTTGTTGAAGGCCGCAAAAGCCCGGGTTGACCTCTTTCATAGTTTCCATTAGTCACAGATGTTATGTTCAAGTTCTCAAAGGACCGAGAACATTTTTATAGTTATTTTTACCGGCTTACAGTTGTGACCCGCAAGCTGCTTTTTTATACTTTTTTTTTTGGGGGGGGGGGGGGGGGGGGTGACTAGCCAGCAGTTAGTGAAGGTGCGTCTGGAACGCTTGCATGGAAGGCCAAAAGGGTTGTTGTACATGGTCATGCTTCAATTGGAAAAGCAGGGATGTGTATACGGAAAATAAAAAGTGCTAAATAACTGTCAGCATTCCATGCGAGGAGGTCATCATTTCTTCAGCTGCCTCCACGGTATTCTACACGCTCTGTTGAGACAAGAGGTTAATTGTTGTCTACGTCTAACCACCCTGCCAGAAGCAAGGTATCTCCATGTCAAGCTCGCGGGCTAGAAACTCCTATCCATATTTGGATCAACATACTGCTGCGAGGCGCTGTTCTCAACTATGAAAACGGTGAAGTCAGAACAGCGCGCGACCCGGACGGCCATCTGACTGAGCTGCTCCGGAGCGCAATGACGTCGTTCGAGTCAAACTTCAAGGCGCTTGTTTTACGGATGGGGAAGCCAGCCCAACACAGGCACATAATGAGGAACAGCTGCATTAGTGTAATTCACTGTGCCCGCAGCCGAAATGAATGAAATAAACAAACCTGCCACGCCCCCTTTTTGCTGCGGCTCTTCACTACACTGTTTCTTTTTATGGCTGATTGCATATGTTTCTCAGGGGTGGGGGGCAAACTTTTGTCCAAAGCCTGAACAAAAAAATGATCCTGCCCCCCCGAACCCCCCCCCCCCCCCCCCCCCCCCTGCGGCTCTTAGAAGTTTCGTGGTTTTGTTTGCGGTTCTAAGGCCGGGTCAGCCTGGCCACCCCTGTTATATACCATTATTCCTGACTTGTCGTTACTGAATTTCAGGGCCAGAGAGTTTTTTTCCTCTCCACAGATCTGTATCAGCTCCTGTAACTTATCCTGGCTATCTACTGAAAGTACAATGTCGCCTGCATAGAACATTCCTGTGTGTGCCTGTTGCGTGTGCCTGTTGGAACCCCTCCTCCCCCCACCAACCTTTTTGAATCCTGGCTGCTTCGTCTGCTTTGTGGTGATTCAGCCTGCTGCAGCAGAAGGTTGCCGACCCCTGTGCTAGGGTTCATGCTCGGTGTATGATGCTAACCTGCATTAGCAAATTACAATCTAGTACCAATGACATTCCAGTTAACTCTCTTGCATTCTTCTGTTTGAAAATGCTGAAGTGCTGCCAATCATCATTATCTATTTTGCACAACTTTAGGGGAGTTGATCATTCCAGTCAAACATTATGAATCCTTTATGCACCTACTCCATGGGCTCTTAAACTGTATTCCTAGGAACCCACCAGCTCCTCCAGTGTTCCCTGATGTGTACTTTGAGCGCCCAAATCACCTGAACTTCCGTGCTTCCAGGTGCTGACGACCTACTGCCCGGCCAACAATCGGCCCATTGCGGAAGTGGTGACGGCCACCCTGCCGGAGTACCACAAGGCGGTGGACGCGAGCGTGGAAGCCTGGAAGGTGTGGGCGGACATCCCTGCCCCCCAGCGGGGGGAGATTGTGCGCCAGATTGGAGATGCACTGCGCCAGAAGAAGTCTCAGCTGGGCCGCCTGGTCTCCCTTGAGATGGGCAAGATACTCTCCGAGGGAGAAGGGGAGGTGAGGGTTGAGGCCAGGATTGTGGTGCCTGGAACCATAGCTTCTTATATTTGGGAGATCTTGCGCCTCCCGTGCCGAATCCGGTCACAAAACTGGGAGTGAGAGAACGGCAAAGAGAAGGTAGTATATAAGGGCAGTAACACTCTTGTGAATCCACAAGCACTTTCCGAATCCACAAACACTTTCCATTTCTGGCTTGAGCAGCGTCGCCATCGGCGTAACCGCATGGTGCATTATGGGACGTTTCCCATGATGACGTCACAAGTTGTGACGTCATTATGGTAAACGTTATAATGCACCATGAGTGACGTTACGAATGTTACGACGAAGCTCACGGCCTTCACAGTAAAGGTCACGACGTTCACGAGTGACGCCATGAGGGTCACTAGGGCCACGAGTAAGTCACAATGGAGGAGGGAGGGAGGAGGAGTAGGAGGGGACGAGAACGAGAGGAAAGGCACACAGGCCTCATCTCCGTACCCTCCCCTCTTCCTCCTCAAGACCTGCGCTCTAATTCAGCATTACAGGGAGTTAAAAACGTCTTTAATTTTTTTGTTTTGTTTGTCTTTCACAACATTCAAAAAAGGAAAGAGATGTGGTTCTTCGTGCGGCCACTAGAATTCTCGAGTGGTGCTGCCGTGAAAATAGTCCCCTGCACCTGCCGCTCTTCCTCCCCCTTTTCCCACAACCTGGCTGTCTTGTTCTGGCGCGGAAGGGGTGAGCTTTCCCTCTATATAGAAAACTATGCTGTAATGCACAAAGTTGTATAGGGCAGTTCATGCAACATGCTTCTGGCTCGAAATTTCGCCGAATGCTGTGTCGATGGCCTTTCGTCCCATGTCTTTCTTTGCGCAAAGGTAGTGTTCTTCAGCTGGCTCGAGTTATTTTGCATGGTGATTGAGTGCCAGCCATAGCAGTCGAGTGCTGAAAAGAGCATCGGCTGGTACTCGATCTTGATATATTTGAACCTTCATCGAAGACACCTGGTACCGGCTGCTTCGTCCTTTAGCTGCTAGGTGCCGTCGATTTTGCGCAAGTTGCCGATACGTACCAAAACAGCAGAGGGCATCTGCAGGGAGTCTACCATAGCTGCATAGCTGTGACAGGTTTCCTGTCCAGTGTGCACAAACAGATAATGTATTTCCGCATATTATGGCCCGATGGTTACAATGCAAAGCTGAGAAAGCAGGTTTGAATAGATGTGCCAAAACTCACCCATCACATTGTCTTGCTTTACTGTCAAAATAAAAATAGAATGATAAACAAATTCATGGAAAAAGACCTATTAATCAGCTTCTCTCAGAGTGAGGTGGGAAATCATACTGTGCAAAAGCAAAAAGGCACATTCATTGTTTTGGTGCAAAGCCACAAATGTGTTATGTGTGTAATTACTTTTTTAGTAGCTTTTAGGTGTGCAGTGACTAATTTTCATGAAACAACCTTCCCGTCGGTGTGCACATCATAAACATTTAGAGCAACCTACCTAACTTTCTAATAGCCGCGTCCCACTAGAGCGACAGACAGCAACAAACGACAGCGACACACGACAACGAGCGACAGACGACACCGACAGACAGCCTGTTTGTCGGACTCCGCCGTCCCACCTGGCAGACACGACGCAGAACACGGGGGCAAGGAAACTTGTTTCCTAGTGGGACTGGAGTTGTCGACAAAACACTTCAAAATACACAGACAAACATTGTTTGGCGACGCGGTTTTCGTGTTTTGCTCTTTGGGCATAAAACGAACCGACAAACACGGTGAAAGTGGAGACAATTACTTTATTTCTTGATTAAAGCTTCTGCTTCTATTCATTTGCCGTTGTGGACCTTCCGTAAACAGTCGTGACAATCGACACCAAACTTTTTCCGAGCGAGAAATACCCGCATCGTTCCTTTTTTGGGCCGTTCGAGGCATTCTAGGTGAGCGCCACGGAGATTCACGCTGATTTTGAGGATGTTTATAACTTCATATTCGAATGATCGAGGGCAGGTGCTCTTTGGTGGACAATACGGCATCCCCATCATCACAGAACGTGATGACAAGTTTCTCGTCTGCCGGAATGGCTTGCCGCGGAACGTTGTCCTACTTCGTGGTGAACGGTCTTACTTTGGTCAGTCCTCGCACATGGGTGTATCCATCCTGATGCAGGGGCGTAGACTTCGGCGTCTTGAAGCACCACCTCGCGCACCAAGTTTTCGCAAGAAAAACCAGCCACAGCAAATTCCCATTCGCAACACGACCGCCCGGCGCAAGCCGCGCCCGCGACCACTACGTGCAATCGAGGGACCGGAACTGCGGGGCCGGGAACGACGAGTGGCCGCCAAAAGCTTCTCGTTCCGGGAGGAAGGGTAGAAGGGTGGGAAGGGAGGCAACCGAAGGCACAAACGGGCGAGGAGGATAAGTTTGTCTCCGAGAGATGTTCCTCAGTGGGACTGCTTGCTGTGCTTCAAGTCCAACGACAGACAAGAACTCGTCCGTCGTCGATCGTTTGTCGGCGATTGTCGGCGATTGTCGCGGGTGTCGGTCGTTGCAGTGGGACAGCTTCGGCAACACGGAACTTTGTGGTGTCGTCGGACAAAAACCGGCGTTTGTCGTTCTAGTGGGACGAGGCTATAAGGGCTTACCATTCAGTATAGGTAGTTCGTCGCACTTGTAGAACAATGTTCAGAGGGGAGCCTTCTCCGTGTGCCTAGACACTAGGCATGCTCTTTTTCTATCCATGACATGGAATGCCACCCTTCCATCCAAGTCTCTATAAGAAGCTGCGTCGAAAAGGCGCCAAAAAGGCAAGGGCAACGCAAGTTCAAACGGTGTCTTGTCCTTGTCTTTTCTGGCGTCTTTTCTACGCACGAAGCCAAGCTAACTGGCCCAAAAATCCACTCTGCTCTATGACAAGGTTCCTTTTGTTCGCACAACCAACGCCATTCCCAGGTGCAAGAGTACATAGACATTTGTGACTATGCGGTGGGGCTGTCGCGCACACTGGAGGGCAAGTGGATTCCATCCGAGCGGCCGGGCCACGCACTGCTGGAGGCCTGGAACCCGCTGGGAGTGGTGGGTGTCATCAGCGCCTTCAACTTCCCCGTGGCGGTGTACGGCTGGAACAGCGCCATTGCCCTCGTCTGTGGGGACACCGTGGTGTGGAAGGGGGCCAGCACCACGCCACTGTGTGGCGTTGCAGTCACCAAGATTTTGGCCAAGGTCTTTGAGGTGGGTGCTTTGTGGCATGGCTGCTGTCAGAGTTGTGCGTGCATATCTCGTGAAACTGCAACTTTTGGAGAGCTTCGGATGGCGTTCGGGTGAAGGCGTTACCTTCGTGGCTTTTACGAGGGCAGACATCGCTCTACTCTTATGTTGAGTCCCTTAGATTTGGGAATGCAAAGGAAGGTAATGAAAAAAAACACAATCTACCTGATCAGTGTAGATTTTTATGTGGAATGCATCTGATTGAGGTTCATGCTGAAATGTAACTAACTTCGGGATTTTGATGCGGGCTACTTTTATAGGATCTCGTACAAACTAAAATTCATTGCTGCTGTCCACTTTCCTAATAGGAACATTAAGAGCATACATACAAAGTACTCCTGAAAAGTAAACTTTTAGCCCAGATAATGCTAAGCTTCTGCATTTTCAGTAAATACCGATAAACCCCTATAAATAACCTCTGAAATAGTTTGCTCAGAATCGGCAAAAACTGGAGAGGTTTGCAGCTTGAGGGAAGTTTGAGAACCATGGGGGTCTCTTATCTTTTGTTCTCACTACTGGGATGACATTTTTCAAGTATTTGGGAAACACGGGCATAAGTTCAATGGACCGGGAGCTTGTTTCATTGCAGGCTATAGCTCGGACACAAATAAATATAAACTTTGCATAGCTTTCCCAGTTCTCCCATCACCCCCTCATTGGGCCCACCACCGATCGGTTATAAAGTTTTCTAGAAATCACCCCCAGACAAAAATCCTGCACTGGCTAGACAGTCTCGCCGGGATTTCCTAAGGACATCCGAAAGTTGCAAAACCAACAAGGTCCGCTCCACGCCTACCCCAGGCCAACAACCTTCCGGGAGCCACTTGTGCGCTGGTGACGGGCGGTCCACCCGTGGGAGATGCCATGTCCAAGGACGACCGCGTGCGCCTGCTCTCCTTCACCGGCAGCACCCCCGTGGGGCGCCAGGTGGCCCTCAAGGTCCAGGAGCGCTTCGGCCGACCCCTGCTCGAGCTGGGCGGAAACAACGCCATCTTGGTGGACAGCGACGCCGACCTCAACATGGTGGTGCGGGCGGCGCTGTTTGCCTGTGTGGGGACTGCGGGACAGCGCTGCACCACCACCAGGAGGCTCATCGTGCACCAGGAGGTGAGCGACCCTTTAACCACAGGAAGCACATACGCCCAGAGGTCGGCATTTTAGCTTGCCCTCACTCACCCTCACAGCCACACTCATGTAAGCCCCTCACTCGCCCTCACAGCTACACTTCCCCTCAGCTCCTTACTCATCCTCACAGTCACCTCACCTTTAGCCCTTCATTCACCCTGACTGAACCTCGTGCCCCTCATGCACTCACGGCCCTCACGCACTCAAACCTATCACACACTCACTGACCTCACGCCCCTCACATACTCATGGCCCTTGCGCGCTCACAGACCTTATGCACTCATACCGCTCATGCCCCTCACGCACTCACTGTCCTCACGCCCCTCACACACTCATGGCCCTCACACACATCATGCACACACCGACCTCATGCATGCACCGCCCTCATGCACGCACTGCCCTCATGCACTCACTGCCCTCATGCACTCACTGCCCTCATGCACTCATGCCCCTCACGCACTCGTGGCCCTCACGCCACTCACACACTGACCACCCTCATGCCCCTCAACACTCATGGCCCTCGTGCACTCACCGCCCTCACCCACCCATGGCCCTCACGCACTCATGGCCCTCACGCACTCAGCCCTCACGCGCTCATACCCCTCATGCCCCTTACGCACTCATGGCCCTCACACCCCTCATCCACTCACTGCCCTTGCGCACTCATGGCCGTCATGCACTCACCACCTTCACACACTTACTGCCCTCATGCACTCACCGCCCTTACGCACTCATACCCCTCACTGCCCTCATGCACTCATGGTCCTCATACACTCACTGCCCTCACGCACTCATGGTCCTCATACACTCACTGCTCTCATGCACTCATGCCCCTGATGCACTCATGGCCCTCACACCACTCACACACTTAACACCCACACGCACTCACCACCCACACGCACTCACCACCCTCATGCACTCACCACCCTCACGCACTCATCACCCTCACGCACTCATCACCCTCACGCACTCACCACCCTCACGCACTCACCACCCTCACGCACTCACCACCCTCACGCACTCACCACCCTCACGCACTCACCACCCTCACGCACTCACCACCCTCACGCACTCATGGCCCTCACGCATTCATGACCCTCGCGCACTCATGGCCGTCACACACTCACCGCCCTCATGCCCCTCGCGCACTCAAACCCCTCATGCCCCTCACGCACTCGTTGCCCTCCCGCTCTCGTGGCCCTCCCGCTCTCGTGGCCCTCCCGCTCTCGTGGCCCTCCCGCTCTCGTGGCCCTCCCGCTCTCGTGGCCCTCACGCTCTCGTGGCCCTCGCGCACTTACTGCCCTCACGCACTCACTGCCCTCACACACTCACGGCCTTCACGCACTCATGCCCCTCAGGCACTCATGGCCCTCATGCCACTCGTACACTCACCGCTCTCGTGCACTCGTGGCCCTCATGCACTCACCACCCTTACGCACTCACTGCCCTTACGCACTCACTGCCCTCATGGCCCTCATGCCCCTCACACACTCATAGCCCTCACGTCCCTCACACTCACCGCCCTCACGGCCTTCGCGCATTCATACCCCTCATACACTCACAGCCCTCATGGCCCTCACTCACCCTCACACTCGTGAATTTTTTTGGTTCAGAAACTCGCTCACTTTTACTCCACCCCACCTGTGAAGATGAGAGTGAGTGAGGCTGAGTGAGGGCCCTCATGAGTGAGGTTTGCCGAGGTATGCATGCACCTAAGTAAAAGGGAATAGAAGAATAAAAGTTTTTCCTCAATATTTGTATTTAATGCTTTTTAATCTGGCCAGCTTGCAAACACAAAAACAACATATTAAGACGGCACACAAGCAGAGAGGAAGACAAGACGTAGGACAGAGCTCCAACTCCGAACTCATGTATTGTGAAAGAAAGAGGAAAAAGAAGCATCAGAAATTGATCTTATTCTTTGAACTGTCCCATTGTGAAAAACCCGACCATTGGAGGGCATTCTGAGTTTACTCATTTGGAGGTGGTTTTTACAGCAGAGCTGTCAAGGGCTAGTTTCCCCAGGATTGTGTCCCTTGCAGAGAAATGTTGACACAAAACTCTGGACAGCTACCGCCATCTATTAGCAACGGCGGCAACCAGACAATCGGCTTGCCGGCCTGGCCCTTAGATGGCGACAACCTTTCCAGCCTTTCCACTCTGGTCAAAACCAGAGTGGAAAGGCTGAAAGTCTTTTGTTGTTCATTTTTTATTGAGAATTCATTGGTTATGGGAGTTTAGTTCTGCAGCATCTCCGATTCTCGAACCGTTAGAAAACATACTGATCCACGTCTAGACGAGGTTTTTTTTTTTACCTGGAAGGGGTCCTCTGATTTAAGATAACCTGAAATTCTTTAAGCACCCTTGTCATATGTAATACTAACTGTCGCGTGACAAAACTTGCAAAAAAGAGTTGCCCCTATGGGTTCATTCTTCAAAATTACTAAACTCCAGGTCGTAGCTTTACTGGGAGGTTTTTGTTTTCTTGCTATCCAAATCGTAGAACTATTCCAGGTTCCTTGCCATGTCCCGCAAACAAACTGCGGTGACAGCCGAGGCTCTGCACCCTGCCGGATACAATTACACTGCGACGTTTAAATTTAGCAAGCGGCGTTCATATGACACTACGACGTCACGTGACACTGATATTGTGTGGCATTGTTACGACGCTCAATTACCACTAAGTTTAGCGGAAAAAAGTTTTTCTGATCAATTTAGGGAACAAACTACCTATGATTTGTGTGTCATATCGTAGCACGGCACTGCATGGTCGGACAGTCACGGGGCAGAGATTCCCCGCCAAATTCAGTGGAGAAATTTTCCGGCTAAAAACAAGACTACCGCGCGATGGTTGGGCAAGCTGTCATGACTGAAGAGAATATAACATTGCCCCTACGTTTACCTTCTCTTGTGGAAAATGCGCTGGGTTCTGTGGGTAGCACTGTATTGCACCGTTTTGCACTTTTTCTATATTTTTTTTTAATATTGATTCCTGTGATTCTTTTTTTCTATTGTGGTTGATTTGAGCGGAGGGGCTCATGCCTCTATTTGTGACACTCAAACATTTTTTTTTGTCTTGTGTTTGGCTGATACTGTGCAAGTGTATATTCACCTGTGGGCGTGTGTTTTTGCTTATTTGTACATTGTGTATGCAAGTACCATGTCATCTTATTCGCAAATGTACTATTCCCCCCCCCCGCTCTAATGTCTCTGCCACTGCGGGGTAAACTGAAATAAATAAATAAATAAAGCGGCCAAAACGTACCTACGCGAAACACGTGGGGGATCTGCCGCGAAACCTTGCCAACAACGGCCGTCGCCGTAAGATATTCAATGTATGTCTATGACGTCGCCGTCTTTCGGCAGACTAAGAACGCCCAAGGCCGCACTCACGAGCCCCGCTTGGGTCCCGTCCCGCTCCCAGGTGTACGAGCAGGTGGTGAGCCGGCTGAAGGCAGCCTACGGCCAGGTGCGGCTGGGAGACCCCCTGGAGGCCTCCACCCTGTGCGGGCCCCTGCACACGGAGAGGGCCGTGGACGAGTTCCTCGAGGCTGTAGCCGAAGCCAAGAAGCTTGGGGGCAAGATTGAGTGTGGAGGAAAGGTGGGTCGCGACCCCGTCGTTCGGCCGTTCCGAGTGCAGTGCCCAGGATGCCTCTCCGACCGGCATGTTTGGTCCCTTGTGCGCTGTGCGAGTGTGCAAGCACAAACGCGACGTTGGTGCGCTTTTTCTGCGGTTTGCTCGAACGGAACGTTGACGAACATTGGTCTTTACAGCGCTCAAGACGGCGTACGGATTGAGAACTTTTCACCATAAGTTAGTGGATTGCCGGGCTGGTTGGTGATCAATCGGCACAACAAAAAACGGCGCTGAATGGACGGGGCGAAATCTGGGAGACTCGTGGAGCGGGCGCCATCCTTATCGCTAGTGTGTCTCCGGCGTGTTTCTTTTGCATTGTCTCGTCTATTTTGCTCCGTTTTTCGTTGTGGCTTTTCACCCCTCAAATAGTTTTTAACGCAGCCATTCAATTATAATAAACAAAATCGGTAAAAACCGTCCATTGCTCGTTCAGGCTGACAGTGTCGTGCTACATACGCTGCGAAACACTGCGAGCACAACATGACGTTGGCACTGTTTTGGATTTTGCTCGGACAAAGTATTCGTGACTCCGAATTGCACGACTTCAGTTTGTGCCCAGGATGGGCACATTTAAAGGGAAGCTATGGAGGTTCTGGAAAAAAATTGGTTAGAAGTGAATTCTAGTGTATTTTTACCCCGTGAACATAATACTCAAACCATTTGCTGCGCAAGTATTGTCAAACGTGAAAAAACGCTAAAGACAGTCACTGTACGTGACGTCATCGACAGTTCTTTTGGCTGCCCAAGGCTAGAAAGGCGGGGCTTGAGCCCTATTTTTGAATTGCTCTTCTGCCTCTCTGCACGTCGCATTGAAATATAATTTGAATATCTGTTATTCTATAGGCCCAATATAAAGGCAATCCAAGTGTTTTTTCTCAAGTGCAGAACTGCCCCATCTTCCCTTTAACTATGCCGCCAGTTTTCGTGAGTGCCTTTTCGATCTAAAAGCAAAACAGGAACAACCGGCAATTGCTCGCTTGTGTTTGTGTTGTGCTGTATACTTTCTGTACACTGGGTTTCTCCGAGAAACAAACAAATTATGTTGCGCGACTGTTTGATTGCCGCGATCCTGGCAGTTCTTTCTAGAGCCGACAATATAGCGGACCAGGAGCCTCAGGCGTCCCCAGTAGTACAATGTCTACACCTAGGACTATTGGACTTCCTATAGCTACAGGTGTAGAAAGTTTCAGCTGTAACCTACAGCTGTAGGCTGCAGATGAAAAAGCATCTGCGGCTGAAAAGAAAAGCACCAGGAGGCTGCACGAGAATACTAGTCAGTGTCTCTCTAATTCCGTTAATCACTCGGTGCTTTCATTTGCTTCCCAAGCACGGGGATTTTACTCTGAAAATGACCTCGCCGTAGCAGACTGCCATCGTTGTCACGGGAGTTTGTGCCAAGACACGGCACAAGCTCCCGTGTCTTGGGGCTCGAGCGTCGACTCACCGAATGTCTCAATGGCTGGACATAGTCTGCAAGTGGAAAAGTCCGATAGCAAGCCTTAGTGGACCTCAGTGGCAGCGGTCGACGCCCTTTTGCACAGCGCGTGGACGGGCCTGGCCACTTCGTGGAGCCGACCATCGTGACAGGTCTGGCCCACGATGCCCCCGTGGTGCACCGGGAGACCTTTGCGCCCATCGTGTACGTGCTCAAGTGCCAGGACCTGGACCAGGCCATTGCCTGGAACAACGAGGTGGAGCAGGGCCTGTCCAGCAGCCTCTTCACCCAGAACCTAGGACACGTCTTCAAGGTACACTCCCCGCATTCCCTTTCTTGCTTCCCAACGAAGCAGCTGGCGTGAGCCAGCAGTCGATGAGCCAATGACAAGATTATGGTGCGGCGTGAAGCAACCACATAGGCTACGCTTCGGAGTGACGGCGCCTTAGCAGTCTCGGTGTTTAAGCGACCGTGGTGGCTAGTTGTCCGAAGCTTTATCAAAGATGGCGGGAAACGGTTTCTATCCTCCGGGAATGTTGAAACACTTTGTGGCGGAGGAAAACGGCAACGCTCGAGCTTTCCCGACACCGCATCTAGAGCTTGGGAAGCTGCTTTTTCGAGTCGTAACGATCGCTAATTGCACCCACTCCGCCCCGAACACCAAAATGGCGGCGCTGGCAAGAAAATTAGGGAATGGAGTGTGGATGCTCTGAGCGTGGCTTATTTAGTAGAATAGAAGGGCAGAGCGGTCCTGCGTTTCAAGCCCTCAAAGCACGGCGTAATCTGTGTGCTGGAAGCAGCACCGCCTTGCGCTGCAGGGCTAAGAAAGATGCCAACGAAAAGAGGTCGTTTGAGCATCTAATTACGATCTACGGGGGTGTTGTTCAACCATAAATGGAGGCGTGACCCCTTAGGCTTTTTTTTTTATATAGGTATATTTCTTGCCCGCTCCATTTCATTTAGAATCCAGTTTCCAAAGAATCGCCTGGTCTTTGTCATTATGGCACTGCTGCCAGCTTACGGACGGTAGTGATATTGACACACGAGATGTGGGACCGGTTGTAGCTGATGAAGAGCTACCTTCCTAGCCCACCGTAACAGGGTGCTACTTTGACGAGTGAAGCACAAATCTCGGGAAAAATAATCTGGTTGTTCACTTTTATTTCTATAAAAGAAAATACCTGACTGGTATGGTGGAATGCTACAATGCAATGGTGATTGTCCTGAATAATTGATATGTTGATGATTGCTGTAGGTTGGCTATCCTAGACCTCTTTATGTTGCACGAAAATTTTTCTTTCTACTTGAAGGGATTGTCCGGTCAAACTTTGTGTTCGAGAAAACAATTGAATATGATTGTTATTGCCTCGGAACGCATCGTCCGTGCAATATCTGAATTTTATATGCCCCTCTGCCTGAGTAATTGAATTTTAACTGCTCCAATCGCATTTTAGTGTAAACGGTGCTTTCATTGACAACATTGAAGCTCTGATGTCACATAATGCAAAGCGAGCATTTCCGTCTCGTCGTTTTCCTGTAATTGAATGCCGCAGCGTGCTTTATATTTATTGTTGTGCTCGACTTGTTCCGTGGATGAGTGCAATTTTTATTGTGCGGTTGGGTGCCACAACCACCGGGCAGAACCTGCGATTCGCGAGACATGCAGTGACGAGCAAAATGGATTGTCGCCGTGCGTAGGAAGCACTGGGTTCGGGATCCCGCTTATGCAGCAAGCATTTCGCAGAAGAGAGCTACGAGCTGCGCTCTAAGTGGACAAAAGGCTCATAAGGTGAGGTGTGATGTGCCAACGATATTCAATGACGTCCACCCACTCCTCGCCCAAATTGGGTCAATTTGTTTGATTCTGCATCGAAACCAAAGCCAACAGCTAACCCGTCTCGAAACAATGCCAAAAGTTATATTTAGCGCCCGTGCAGCCCGATTCTGTTTGCCCTCCGTGTGGAAGTGAAGTGTGACTACAATCCACAAAGCTCGTCCAAGTGACGATCTAGAAATGTTACATGCATTTTGAACAATTCGACGTTTGCCTTTGACTGCGGGCATCGCCTCTGAGGGAATGATTTGCAGCCGCATCACCGATCTAGTGGATCCGCCGATATGTGGACCCAGATGCCGCTTCGTGTACCCAGGTGCCGCTTCAGAGGCTAAATCTGCATCCTTTGCTTTAGAAGCGCTCCTTGTCCGATAGGTGGCCGTTGCAGTTGTGCATGCACGAAACGGCATACGTTTGCTCGAAGCTAACGACTGTTTTCGAGTAATATCCTGCTAAAAGAAGAGACTTTTTTGCACATGCTTGGGAAGTGCATTACAAGAAACATATTTCAGTAGGGCTTAAGAGTCTAAAGAGTTTGAAACAAAATATGAGACATCCATCGACCAATGCTTGTTATCCCGGCCATCAGATGATCCTTTGTGTTATGTGACGTCGCGCAGCAGCTACGGGTGTCAGCCATTTACACTGGTGAAATTCACGGTGCAGTTTTGTACACTTGCTCATGAAAGGTTTAATTAATATTGGGACATCGTATATCAAAATGAAAATGACTTTTGTCTATATGAAGGCTCCCTCAACGTAACGAGTGCAAAAACTTAAGTATGTCTGATTTCGAGCGGGAAATTCCTTTAAGGCAAGACATTGCTTTGTGTAATTTTGTAGCGTGAGCTACACTGACCGAGGTTGAGCAGTTTCGTGTGGCTCTTGGAGAGCCGTGCTGCGCATGCACAAGGAGCAGTGACGTCGCAAGGCGCACAGTTGGTGCGCCAATGCCGCCACCGCGCGCGCCTCGCTGGTCTGCACATTTCAAAGGAGTGACGTCATAGCCACGGCAGACGTACTGGCGCCGCTGCGTGCCCAGCTGTGCGCCTCCGTTGCGCAGTAGCCAAGTCTGACGCTGCACCGGAGCCGCTTGATAGCACTTCTTATTTTGTGTGCATAAGCTCACGCTACGTATATCCTGGCATAGCCAAGCTAAGCCACCACATTTTTGTTTTCTCCATAAGTGTGTCATGTGCCTTTGTTTAGCAATACATATTTCCTAATATATAAAAATCCCAGTGAATTGATATTACTTAGAGATAAAGAAAAATTAAGTGTTTCCTCATCCCCCCCTCTTGGTGCCCTTTATGTTTTAGTTACGTATTAATGAAAGGCTACATTAATGGCCAATTTTCAGTATGCGTTACGCTTGATTGCTTGCTGTTGTGCTCCCGCACCTCGCATGTATGTTGCCACTGTGGCCAGCCACTTCTCCTTCCTCGACCTTTCTGATCATATTGGTCGCAACTGTTTCTAGTGGCTGGGACCCAAGGGATCTGACTGTGGAATCGTCAATGTCAACATCCCCACCAACGGAGCTGAGATTGGAGGTGCCTTTGGCGGGGAAAAGGTGGGTGGCGGTGTCACGAGGACCCTTAGGACTGTTACAGACATTCGAATAAGCCAAATGTGTTGAAACTTGTTACGGCGAGATGGTTGCTATGGCAACCGTCTCTTCGTAACGGAGGTCTGTGCGACTCGTCGCAGTGGAGGGCAAGGGGTCCTGACACGATATCTTGCACTCCTACGCAAATGTCTCATCCAGCCTCTAGGACTTGTTCTCTTTGCTCTGCTTTTTAATTGTGCTTGCAGAATTGCACTCAGGCTTAAGCTGTACCAATTTCTTCACGACCGAAATAGTTACTGTATTTCGAATCTTGATTTTGCTGGATCATTCCTGTGGAGCTGTTCGGTTTAGGTCTCCTCGTGCTTAATTGGCAGCTGGTCAGGTCAATGAGCGATTCATTTTAACCTTGTCTTTAATGAGCATAATTTCAAAGAAATGCCTGGTTATCGTTAACCATTTTCCTCTTGCCTTTTTTATGCAAAGTGTTTTTTTGGCCAATTTTTCCAGCAAAAGAGGGCACCTGAAATAAATGCATTGTTCCTTCTGGATAAGAATTATCATTTGCGGGACATTAAGGTATGAGTGCAAGCAACAGTGTGCAAACTATTGTGTAAGGCCCATTCACACGGCAGTGTTTGCTTATGTTATCCTAAGTTACATTTTCTGTCACCGTTCCATCCATGCTTCATTTGGTGCGTGCAAAGTTACTTCTTGAATTGGTTGCGACGCTTCTTACGAACCACGGACGTCCTGGTGGTTCTCAACCTACCGTAAAATCTTGTGAGATAACCCACCTAACATCAAGAGCAAATCGGGTGAAAATATGGGTTGGCTAACTTTCAATGTACAATCAAGAAAAGTTAGAAAAATTGCTATTTTTAGGTCGTGTCCCTTCCGGCAACGAAGCAAAGATATCTGTACTTCCCAGTCAGCAATGTTTGCGTGTATCCTACCATAGCTAACTAGCCGCATTTACGCCGTGGCCATCACTGATCCCAGCACTACGATTAATAGAAATGGGCTATCTTTCGGTGTTTAAAAAATATAGCAAATCAAGCCAAAAATAGGGGTGGGCTATCTTTCGGGGGTGGGGCATCTCTCGGGATTTTACGGTAAGCCCCCCGTAACATAGCGCAATGTAAGAAAACGGTGCAGTGTGAACCAGCCTCTACACTCAAATGGTAATCCCCTTTTTTAAATATTAAACTGACACATTCTACTTCAAGTATTTGAAGGCTATCTTTACAAATAGTCCTTAGCAGTGTCTATAAACTTGAAGAAATATATACCGTAAAATCCCGTAGGGACGCCCACCCAAAATGAAGAGATACATTGGGACAAACATGGGCTGGGCTATCTTTGGAAATGCGACAGCAAACATTTATAAAAAAAAAGTGGCAAGACACTGGGCTATCCTTCATAAACCATATAAAACGGGAGCTGATACTGCGGACATGGCAAATTTCTGTATTTATGATGCAATAAACATGTGGTACTTCGCTACGACATCCTGTGTCATTAGTAATAGGGGTTGCGGATGCAGCAGATTCGCTTTACAATGTTTACACGGTTCTAACGCACAGGCAGATTTAGCTTTCATGTGTCCAAAAAGTAAATTGTGGCCGATTCTACTGCACAGTAAAATAGTGAACATTGAACACATACCTCAAAAAATGGATTTTACGAAACGATATATCCGCTATTTTGTTATAACCGACTTCGGTTAACGAAGTGCAAAAGGGAATGAGAAATTGTGATTGCTTCGCTGTAGCCGCTATTTCGTTATAACCGGTCTCGACAGTAGTATGCTCGGAGAAGTGGCTGACTTTTAGGAACATCTCGGTTAGCCCAGTGCCCTCAAAAGTCTGGGTCTCGAAACATTTTCAGACGTTTCAAAAGTAGCCAGTGGGCACTTATTGCGACATTTTACAGTATAGAGTGCATTACTGCTGTGCATGGCATTTCATTCCATATGACACGATTTCCACCTTTTGTCTCGGTTCGTATTTGCTGCTTGGAATTTGTGCGCGTAACGTTGACGGCTGGGGTCGTTGTTGCCTGTTTCAGCACACCGGCGGTGGCCGCGAGTCCGGCAGTGACTCGTGGAAGCAGTACATGCGTCGCTCGACTTGCACCATCAACTATACCAAGGAGCTTCCATTGGCCCAGGGAATCAAATTTGAGTAGAAAGGAAAAAAGTTGTGCCATACTTACTTGCATGAACGTTGTGGATGATCGAAATCACTAGCTCATGCTCTCTTCTGTACGCAAACAGTGACTTATCTTTTGGTCTTATCCGTGAAACTTTTAGGAAGCACTTGGGAACAATCTTTTGCAACAAGCTGCTCTGCTTTCTTTTGGCTATGGGATTTGTCACTTCACCCCATCTGCGGCTAGCCGTATTGCTTCCGTCTATTGTTTTCTTACGATGTTTTCAGCTACGAACAAAGTGGCGGTAGCACGGTGCTCCAGCAGCTTCTCTTGGTGTGCGTTGTCTGTTTGGAAAGGATGTTGTGAGGTGTGTGCCTTATACAGGGGTGGAGAGAATACTGTGCACATGAGGGATAGAAATGAGCAGCGTAGCTATGTGTGGACAATTACTTTTTCTACATTCCAATGGTGCCATGTCATCAGTGTCAAAGTTAAATTTTTGCTACTAGATTTTTCTACTGAACTGTTTACTGTTGTGCTCTCGGGTTCTCTGGATCAGTATTTTTATTCCGTCTTCTTGGTCTTCGAGGACTTGTTCTGCTGCTCAAAAGGTAAATGAAGGTGCCGAGAGACAGGTGGTGTAACACGATTATTGTATTTACACTGTACTATTTACATGGAGGAAAATGTGCACTGTTCCAGGGAGTTTCCCTCTTCAGCATGTAGCAGTTGCACTTTGCAATAAAACATCTCATTTGGAATACATTCTTCAATATTGTGCACTTTTTTTTGGCACCACTGAATTTCAACATGCATTTTTTTGCTGGCATTAAAGCCGGATCCTCGTTGCATTATTAAAATATTTGATAAGTTTAACATGTTTTCAAACATTTGCAGTAACAATGCAGCTGTCGTTATACACAAGCAAGTAGCATCCAACAAACATTTAGCACACTTGTGGTACTGTTTAAACTGGAACCCTACATGAAAGCAAAATATGGTAAGAAACCTTCATTGAACCCTAAAACCTACTTTCTCAGATACAATGCTGGATATGAACATGGCAGGACATGGTAAGTTCTCTGTCATTCTTCAACATTTCTTGAAGGTGACCTTGCAGTCAGTTTTGACCAATTGTTTCTGGTGACATTTCTTGTGTTTTTTTGCTTACAAATCGAAGCAGTCCCCACAAAAAATCGAGCGTATAAATCGAGCATTTCGGTGGCAAACGGGCATGAATAACATGCAGTGTTCAATTGAAAAGCAAGAAAAATTATAAGAAGCAGGAAATGAAAATGTGACTCTTGACCCCCACATCCCTTTTTGAGCATTCTCGCTGCTCAACCGCTTTCTTTCCCAGAGATTTCCCATGTGCCGCAAGTATGGAAAGGCCTGCCAGGCACCAGCTTCCAGTTACATGGCCAGTCATTCTTTTCACTCCTAACGTTGGCTGCTCGCTAAAAAAAATTGCATTATTCACAAGACATTCCTTCTCTACACGTAAATTAAATTTTCCTGGAACTCCCTGCACAGTAAAGATTATTTTAGGAAAAATATAGTTTTTTTTACTCAGGTATTATGTCTTGAAATTGTTTCCACCTTAATTGGGAAATAAACTAAACATGATTACAGGGTCACTGAGGACATTGTAAAGGATTGTTTCATTTCAAGTAAACTTGAGATCAGAATGTTCTATACGGGAAGGGCTTCTCATGTTGCGCATTTTGTTACGCAACATGACTGAATTTTTTACGTCCCTGGGGAAAGTCATGAAATACTTGGGGGATGACTACTTCTAAAGGCCATAATTCAATAATCTTTGTCTGATCATGTAGACACCAATTAGGGGACAGGCAAAGAACATACTGGTCTCTTAGTTTAAAACATTTTGGAAGGCTGTCTTAATTTGTTTTTCATTTGGTTATGGCAGAAGTGTTTGTAGTCTTTCAAATGCCGTCACACTTTTCCAAGTCTGGAGGTGGTTGGGATGTCACGGTGTCATCACAAATTTACTTTTTAGTACATTTTACACTTTTACATTTCCAATTTACATCACAAATTTCATTTGGGGACTTAGTAGTAAGTGAAACCCCAATATATTGGGAACTGTGATAAGGTTATGCAGCAGAGTTGCTTTGCCCGCGTACTGTCGGTTGTTGTACTGAGGTACTACATTTAAATGGGGACTCGAGTGGTGAGCGTTTGCTATGCCCTTAAAGTTTTGAGGTCTCCTGTTGACTGCTAGATGGGAATGGCCAAATCTGTATGCAAGGTTCTGGGGGAATTGTATCAATCACTGGATGATAATGAAAAACACTGGTCGAGATCTGCACCACAGTTAGTGCAGTGTTCGTCCCGTGCACTGAAGACGAGTTGCAGGGTGGCTTCATCCTCAACTTTGTCCTTTGGTTGGGTCTTGGGAAGTGTCCAGTCCTGATACTGTTTGGGAGGCACTGCTTCGTTTTGTGTCCGCTGGAAGAGTCATTGTTCAGAGAAACTTTTCACTTGGCTGTTGACAACCATTCTTGATTTTCCTTATGATCCAGTAAATTCGAGCAGCAATATTGCGTGTGTCATGTGTTCAGTTGCACCCTGTTGCATAAACAAACTGTTTTACCAAATGCCGGGCAAACTTCTGTGCAAACTAACCATCATGCAGATTTTTTTTTTTTTTCGTATTAGAATTAGTAATTACCGAGGAGCCTATTTAACGAGGTACATGGTGTTTCAGATTAATCAGTTGGCGTGTTTGCACGATTCTAAAGCACCCTTAATTCTAAAGCGCAGGCAAATTTAGCTTCCATATATTCAATAAAAGTAAATTGCTGCCGATTCTACAGTGCAGGTAAAATACTGAAGATTGAACATATACCTCATGTTGAATTAACCTGAGACTGGGGTAGAGAAGAAATATCAAAATGTAGAAGGGACAGAAAATAGACGGGACGACGTCTCAAACTCAGCTCTCTAACTCTGCCAGTCGACGTCCCACTTTATCCAAAACCGCGAAGGTTTGGAAAACTAGCGTGTTTGCCTGTGGGGACAACATTGGACCACAAGAAAAGGGGACCAAACCTGCTTCTGGGATGATCATAGAAAAAATTGTAGGGGTGCGGGCGAGCTGGTGAATATTAACCATGTTGAATTAACCTGAGACTGGGGTAGAGAAGAAACATCGAAACGTTGAAGGGACAGAAAATAGACAGGACGACGTCTCAAACTCAGACTTATACCTCGGAACAATTTGTAAAATACAGGCCAACACAAAAATAAAAACATTCAGCAGAGACACTTAAGACTACTTACATGTAGGAATCCGAAAGCATTCCTACATGCAGCACATTCCTACAAGCAGTGTGCCACGTGTTCCTATTGCACATTTGTGAGCCGCTAGCGATGATGGCGGTCTTATTGGCTCTTGACTGCGCTCTATTCTGTGTCAACGCAACTGTGTGTACAAGCTTTGCGCAAGCGCTCTTCGCAACGTGTCCTCTTGCCGCTATGGAACGCATTGCGCTCAAGTGCAAATGTGCGTGCCAAGGGACACCACGCAGTGGGCGAGGGACGTCACCGACCCGCCAAGCATGGCAGCCTTCCCAAATGTGGTGGATGAGAAGGTCTTGCATACGAGTCGATTTATCCACGAAACTATCTCGCCATTTATAAATTAAATTTAGCTAAAATACTGAAACATACGAGTCCTAAAAGTATAGTTGTCTCATATTTTGTTTTTAGCATGTCTTAACGCTTTTAATGTATAGGCACCATGTGAGGCCTCGCAAAAAAGCTAGCACGGAATGTCTCTGAATGTTGGAGTCCCAGTGATCCAAAGAGCACGTCGGAGGGAGACACGTCACTATACTCTATCTAGTTGCGCGCAGTGCTGTCAAAGCCACAAGCGGGAGAGAGGAAAGTCGCTTTTGTGCGAATTTTGAGTGACGGGCTAATTTTCTACACTCGGAAATAGGGGGTGTAGTATTTACACCTCTTGTCCTATATATAACAGCCCAAAAACTATGATTCCACGTTGAGTCAACTGACGTCGAACCGATGATACCAACTTTCGGAGCGGCTTGGTAGTCGAGTGATACAACTTAGTAAGATAGTTAATGTATGCATTAAAGACTACAGGACGCCACTCAAGGTTTTGTTGGCCCTGCTGCAAAATTTCAGTGTTTTTTTGTGTGTTTTTTTTTGTGTAGTCTTTGATACATCCATTAGCCATTTTGTAAGTTATAGCACGTAGCTATCAAGCCGCTCGTAAAAGTTGGTGTCGTCAGTTCGACGTCAGTGGACTGAACGTCGGAATGTAGTTTTGCGGTGTTGTATATGGGACGAGTATTGTTATATATGGGTGTAAGTACTTCACCCCCTATTTTTGAGAGCGTAGGGGGAGAAAGGCGATGTCTGAAACACACAAACGAATGTCCAAGTAAGAGGGTGCAGTTCCACTTTCCCCTCTTCCCCAACTGCTTGCGTTACGCTCATCTCATTTACTTTTGGGAAGGGTTGTCGCGTGCTTCGCCTCCGTTGCTCTTATTGGAGAATTCTCGGTGACCGCGTTTCCCCCTCCGCTAAGCACTCCGCAACGAAGAAGCCGCTACTGCGCCTGCACGCCGACCCAAGTGGCACGCAATGTTGTGCAAACATTCCTTGGATGTTCTGAATGTTGAAGGAATGTTAAAACACCATTCGGAACGTTCTAGGAACGTTTGTATGCGAACATTCCCTATAAGGTAAGCTCCTCAACTTTCTAGGGACGTTCATTAGTGAACATTCCTATGCACAATGTTCTCGGAACGTTCCCCTTCAAACATTCGTATGCACAACATTCTTGGAACGTTCGCTTGTGAACATGCCTAGAATTTTCGCAGGTAAAGCCCATCTTACGGCAGGGGCGGATCCAAGGGGAGGGGACGACGGCAGCGGCCGCCCCCCCAAACTATGTCGACCCCACCCCTCCCCCCTTGGAGGGCAATTTGACATGGGTAGACCCCCGAATCCTCCAAATAAAACCGATTACCGGCCTGCCATGTGGTCCAAAATAGGTAGGTCGCACCCTAGCAGGCACACTTGTACTCTGAACTTGGAGAACCCCTCCGTCGAATGGAGGAATAGTATCCTTAAAAATTTTTCCGCCTTCCCCCCCAGAACAGAGTTCTGGATCCGCCCCTGTCTTACAGAGCTCTCCCGCAACCTGTGGTTCGAAACACCATCCACTATATGCCACTTTTTGCCAAAACTATGTAAATAAAGTGGAGTTTCTGGAAACTTAGCACAAGGGATCAGTTTCCTTGTGGTCCTCAGAGTCTGTTCCTTGAATATAGCGATGTACCCATGCCACATTCTGAGGAGATTGAAAGGATGCCCCTGCATAAATTTGCAACATTTCAAAAAAGTTACAGAAGTTCTTTGGATGTTCTGAGCACGTTCTTAGAACCTTTTTAGGATATTTGAATGTTGATTGAATGCCCCGGTAATGTGCTACGTCATTCTCAGAATGTTTTAAGAATGTCCCTTAAAAAAACATTCCCCAAATGTAGCGATAAGTGCCTGCGCCACATTCTGACAGTGTTGATAGAATGTTCTTACGTAAATTTGCAACATTCCAAGAATGTTGCCTATGTTCTTTTGGACATTCCCGGAATATTCTCAGAACCTTCTTGCGCTACGCTGGGATGGCCTTGACCGTACAGTTCCGGGTATCGTAGCGGGTTGCGGACAGCGTTGCGGGACGGCGAAAACGCTCTAGTTTTCGTAGACCGTGTTTCCCCCTCCTCTAGGCCCCCAGCAACGAAGAAGCCGCTACTGCGCCTGCGCGTTGATGGCCTTGACTGCACAGTTCCGGGTATCGTATCGTAGCGGGTTGCAGAGAGCCGTTACGGGACGGCGAAAACGATCTACAAAAACTTCCTTGAAGGGGCCGCAGCGTTCGCTACATTTTTTAGTCCAGCATGGGCCCATATAAATTTCATAGTGTACCTTTCTGGTGATTTCCTGTCGGGGCAGGTGCTACCCTGTTGGATCCGGTCCTCCGTATGCTCCTCGGAGTTAGTGCTGCCACGATGGTGTTGGCTGCACGTCCTTTGTCTGCCACAACCTTGGCGTTACTTGACGCACGGCCTGCCAGCTTTTCCTTCAGTTTTGGGATGCCGCTACCCCACGAGTTTCTACGGCGCGCTTTGGCTTCTTCGTCCGTCTCCTGGTTCGGTTGGGGCACTAAGGTGCTCTCTGTGGTCGTCTTCACGATGTCGTTCAGACTGAAATAAAAATTGGGAAAGTCTGAACGATCTGTAATGATAGCGCAGCTTCTGTAATTAAGCAAAGTTTGATTACTAGAGCTCTGACAATCGCGAAACTTGGTGTATATACTAATTAGCCTATGAGCATTCCATTTCAAAAACAACCTACTCGCTTTGTAAGCAGTGATAGAGTGCAGGCGAGCTGGTAATTAATCGACGTCTTATAAACCCTGAGATGGGGAAGGATAAAAAAACGGAGGAACACAACATAATCTCAAACGCAGCTGAACTTTATTGATATGAGCACACCAATTAATAAATAGACCTTCAGACAAATGTAAAAGAGAAAAAGAGAACTCAAACGCATAAAAAAGGCAACTAACGAGCAGTGGCGTCACCAGAGTCAGCGGCACCCAAGGAGGTGGCCCGCAGCGACCCCCCCCCCCCCCCCCCCCCCCCCGCCCTCCAACCCCGCTCCCCACCACCACCGCTCGTCGCCCTCCGCAATACCCTCCTCCGCTCGCCGCCTGCGACTTTCCCCTCCCTCCCCTTCTCGTGGCCCATTGCGGCACCCCCCGGAGCGCTGCACCCGAGGCCGTCCGCGCCCCCCCCCCCCCCCCCCCCGCACCCCCCTTGTGACGCCACTGCTAACGAGTTCGCCCCAGACAGCCCCAAGTTCAACACACAAGGCGACCTACAAACCGCTGAAGCCTAATCTCCATTTCCTACTTCCAAGCAAACGCTTCCCCATTTTCTCCCCGCGCCCCCCCCCCCCCCCCCCCCCCCCAAGTTTACAAAGCCCCCTCGCACAAGCAAAAACTCTTTCGTCCGATTACTGATAACCACGGACGGCTGGCTCACACAATTCTTTAGCTCGCGAATGCAGAGAGTCTATAAACAATTCTTTTTCATTACACAGAACGGAGGTTTCATCCCAAAGAGGGGAACAGAAATTACAAGAACCAACAGGATTTGCCAACTGAGAACTCTGCGCCGCCGTTCACTCTCTTGCGACCGAGTGCGACCGAGAGAGACCAGACCGGTTTTTACGCCTTTTGCGACTTCTTAGGACCGGATGCGCTGCAGCGGAGCTGGTCCTCAGAGATCGCAAGAGGCTTAAAAACCGGTCTGCTCTCTCTCGGTCTTACTAGGTCGCAAGAGTGTGAACGGGCCTTTACACTCCTTTTATGTTCCGTAAAACGGTCATTCAAACAACGCCCCGTCTGACCAACATAACACAATCCGCAGTCAAAGGGGATCTTGTAGACCACCTCTGCGACACAGGAGACTGAGGGATCTCTGTGTTTTTTCCCGCAACATCCCTCGCGTCTGAAGGTAAACGGGGTGAGCTTGTCTAAACGAAAGTCCGTCTTAAAAACCACATTAACGTTAAGTTTTGCACCCGAAGGAATCACAGCAAAGGTTCCACCTTGAACCCTCTCAGCGCTCACCGATGCGCGTACAGGCAGTCTACGTGCACTAGAAACGATAAAATCTAAACTATACCGTAGACGTTTGATTTGAACGCCGAAAGCGTTCCCGACATAATGGAAACAAGATTTCTTCAGTGCACTGCCAATTAGTGATCTCTCTCCCCCCCCCCCCCCCCCCCCTTTAACAAGTTTAGAATGAGCACTCCATCTAGAAAGAACCCTCTTTACGGTTTCCGTCCCATAAGACCAGCAAAGCCCCTTTTTATTCAATAGTTGCAAGTCCAAAAACTGCAACTTCCCATCTTTCGCTGATTCAGAGGTGAATTTCAATTCCGGTGCAGCGGTCAAAATAAAGTCATGGATCTCAGTAGCGGAAAGCTGATTCGGAGCACAAACCAAGATGTCATCAACAAACCTCCGAACCAAAACTCCTTCAACACTTAAAGAGCCAACAAAATCTGTTATTTTCTTGTCAAGAGTATTAAGAAAAAACTCAGTCAACACTGGAGCCACCGCCGAACCAATGCACATACCTTTCCGCTGTATATAACAGTCACCATTAAAGTTAAGCACAGTTGCCTTCAGATAGCACGTCAGAAGTTCCAGTATCGAGATACCCGCTTTGGCCTTCAGATAGCACGTCAGAAGTTCCACTACCGAGATACCCGCTTTGGCCTGAAATGAGACTAAATTTTGTTTCTAAAAGCTCCCTAACCCTTTCGAGCAACAACACGCTATCCAAAGAATAATATAAATCTTTGATGTCCAAGGACATCAACGTGCGTACGAGCCCCGATGCAGGGGAGAAATACCCTCTATTAGTTCCTCCGAGTTCCTAAGAGCAATACTGCCCTCAAGACTGACAAGGCACAAACGCTTTATTTTTGTGTCCTAACCCCTTTAATGAATGGTGTTAGAAACGAATGGACGGCGACACCCCTCATACAATCTATCGACCGTGAGCGTTCGTAAAGGTTGTTTGACCGCACCACATCGGTGTACACGGGAAAGGTGACTTTACAGGAGCTACTACTGTCTCAATACAAAATGTTCCCGATAATTAGAAACAGTGATTTATGTTTTATTATTATGTGCTCCGAGTCTCATACTTTTAAAATCCTCGGAAATATTACGCTGTTTCAATACAGTGGGCAGGAAATCAAGAATAAATTACCCACCTCCGAAAGCTCAATAACATAAACCATTTCTTTTTGTGTTAACTGTTTTGTGTGCTGTCTCGGCTGCTGCTGAGGGGAGATGGAGACCTGTCAAGCAACTGTTATGTTGATTTTTTCTCTGTCTTCCCTCTCCAAATGAAGAAAAATAAAGCATTTTGATTTTGATTTGAACGTAGCGCTAGCGGCCCAGACCAGATGCGAACGTTTTAGAGCTTGCCGTTGCTGTTTCGATAACTAAAAGCGATTTTTGAAAATTTCCGATGAGAAATCTGCAATCGATAAAGCCCACGACTGCATGGAAATGAATGGCGTCGGATACCTAATCAATCATTCAGTGCCAAAATTGAAGATGAAGATGCTTCTTTTTCCAGCCGTTCAAATTTCTCTTTGTATTTTTTTTATTAATAACAAAAATCGTTACTTAGGGATCCAGATATTGAGTTCCCTATGCCCAATTTATTTGCTTTAGTTAATTTACTCAAATCGCTGAGATCTTAAACACATTCCCCGCAATTCGGAGGTGTTTAATACTGCACGAATGCAGAACTTACCTTTTCCCAATTTTACGCACTGTTGGAGACAATTTGGGTGATTCTCTGATGGTGTTGAAACTTCGACTCGAAGTGGCACTAGCCTTCACTGACTTTGGATCCCCTCTTGGTCTTTTTGGTGTTGCCTGCACAAGTGGCAACTTTGAGACACACATTTCATTTCTTCATCCATCTCATTCATTCTGCTTATATCCACGCAGAAAATTCCTCACGCGATAATTTGAGCCCCATTTGAGGAGGCAATATTGTGTTACTGTAAAAATGAGCTCATCTGGATGCTCCAGTATCAACTTGCGCACTCAAAACTTTATGTGAAGTCCTATGTGGCAGGAGCAGAACTTTGAAAAGTGAAATAAGGTTCCCCTGAATTGGGGGCAGAAATATGATTTGAAATCTCATATTGCTGAAGCCTTCGCAACTTCTTCGGTAATGGTTATGCTAGGCACTGCGGCCGTATAATTCTCCAAGAGTGATTTGAGCAGTGGCGTAGCAAAGGGGGGCCCGAGGGCGGGAAGGGGGGGGGGGGGGGAGGGAGGGAGGGAGGGAGGGGGGGGGGGAGGGCATTAGGCGGCCCAGCCACGGGGGGGGGGGGGGGGATCTTTGGCGGCCCCCCTCTTTGTCCCTGCTTTACTGGTTGGTTGCTATCTCGGGGAGTAAAGAAGGGGGGGGGGGGGGGCGGCTACGAAAGACAGAAGGATACCCCTTGTGCCGGATGGTTTAGCTACGGCACTGGATTTGAGCCAGATAAATGTGTGGCTCAAAACCCGTTACTTAAACCCATTGCTTTAACTAACGTCAGCTCAGTCTCGATGCCGTCCCACTTATATGGGGATTGAGACAGGAGTTTGCTTCGTGTCAGTGACAGTGCACGAGTACCTGTCTGCTTTGTTTCCTGGCGTCACTGCTTCCACCGAGAGATTCACGGTCCACTGCTATCGTCGGTGTGACGCGCTGAGGCGTTGCCGACCTTTCGGCACTGTCCGGTGCGTAGCCCCTGCACGCGAAACACCGTTTGTAAGTGATGAGTTATAAGTTATAACTTATAAATAGAGACACATGCCGGGAAAAAGCAAAGCAAAGTATGTGTACAAATACGTTTTTAACTATTTTTTAAGGGAACTTACGTTAGTTTTTTTTTTATATTTGGAGCTAACTTAGGGGCCATGGGGCAATGCAAAATTGGCTAATCAGTTCGCTAATTTTCAAAAAAAAATATTTATTGGCATTTTTGTTTTGATAAAAAAAAAAAAGGGTTTCTTTACCATGTTGAGCTTTTGGGGCATAATGCAGTTGGAGAATCGACGATCGACCTCATTATACTCTAGCCGTTGTGAAGTAATATTTTAGCTAGCGAATTCGTAGTGGGCGCCACGGGGTGAGGAGCGTCATCTTTGTTCACGGTTTCAAACCGACAGTGAACCGTCAAAGAGCGCCCGTGACGTCGATTTCTCCGCACTGCGTCGGCTCTAGGGTGCCTTCATGTTCGCTTCGCATAGGGTGATGCCAACTGCCTGTTTCCCTTTCCCAGACCCTCGTCAACCGCCATTTTGTTTCTCATTGTTTCCTCGTGCGCCGGAAAGTGGCCTTTGTGTCCATCGGTCCTTCCATTCGAGGGGGGAAATGATAATCCTCCCTCTGTGGGTTCCACAACGCTGCTCCGAACTTGTGAGATAAAGTGCTTGTTTCCGGGAGGGTTATAAGCACAAAGATTATCGCCAAGGACCAAAATGGCTGCTGGTTTGTCGGCGAGTGGTATTACAAAGGGTGGCATTACCCTAGCAAAGCGCACATGAAGGCTCCCTAGTCGGCTCCAGAACCCACGTGCGCGCGCCGCAAGTGACGTGATCAGTGCTACGCAAGCGCGAACAAGGAGGGATCGACGTCACGGGCGCTCTTCCGAAGGCTAGTTCTGGCTTGTTTGTTTCGAGCTTGGAGAAGAGGAGTGGGCCTTTCTTATGGCCCGGTCAAGGGGTCAAGTCGCTACCCGGCTAGGGAAAGGGAGAACCAAAGATGGTTAAAACAGATGACGTTCAACGGCAAAATCCCACCTTTCAAGGGCACCGAGTCTTTTCAGGAGGCGCTCGTTTTCCCGGCAGACGAGCTCGTGGTCTCTGACGAGCATCTCCCTCATGTGGTGCATGGTGGCGTTCTCGACCCTGAAGCGGCACGAGAAAACTGTGTAAGGGTCGTCTTTCGCAGAAGGGCAGAACGCCAAGTAGACGATACATAAAATCGGTTATCGTCGATGTGACCATGAGACGGAAAGCTGGCGATCGACATCCTGCAGGTCTTTATTTTTTTTTTATTCTAATTTACCATTTTTGAGGCTCTTTTTAACAGGTCTTCCGTTTCACGAGAAAATGTTGTTTATGTTGATAAGACATAAATTTGTCTTTTGCTGAGAAGAAATAATCCTGTTGTGGTTGACGAGAGGGAATCGCGTTTTAAATGAGAATATATAAGCCTGTTTTTATTGAGTCGAGCTAAGCCCGTTATAGGCAACGAGACATAATCCAGTTTTTGTCGACAAGACAAACTCCTGCTTTTTCTGACTCAAATTAAAGTAATTGTGTTGTGCGTACATGTTTATCCAGCCTAGAACTTAGTCTGCCTCAACGGCGACTTGTCTAAATAATTGGGGTTGTGTGGATATTTATACAGCGTGTAGTTGGTCAGCCATTTCAAAGTTGCGACGAGCCACTCGCTGTAGATGAGTAATTTAGCCAGTACAGTACAACCGCTAGCCTGGGGTCTTTAACGTGCACCACGCAGTAGTGATACGCGACCGCACGCCGCGGTACAATGCTCATCCAGATCGAAACGGCCAGGGGTGGGGATTGAGCCCAGGATCCCTGGGTTCTGCAGCGTGAGTTTTCGCTCCACGTGCTCCGACCTGGTGTGCGCTAGCCCAGTCGGCCACCGATCCCCCCGGGCGACTTGTTTCCCAGCTGTGGATGAGCAATTTAGCCAGTGCAATACAACCGCTAACCTGGCGTATTGATTGTGCAGCACGCAGTAGTGCTACACAACCGCGCGCCGGTACGATGCTCATCCAGATTGAAACGGGCACGGGGAGGATTGAGCCCATGATCCCTGGCATCTACGGAGCGAGCTTCCGCTCCACGTGCTCCGAGCCGGTGTGCGCTAGCCCACTCGAGCAGCGATCCCCCCTGGCTCGAGCGGTTTTTCAATAGATCCTGAAGAACCGTGGCATGCACATGACCGCGTTTGTTTTCGAGAGAAAGTACCGTATTTTCCGGACTGTAGTCCGCAGGGGAAAATTTGGGATCAAAAATGAAAGATTTTGCTTAGATGTACGCACCCGGTTCATAGTCCGCACCTGGTGCTTAGTCGGCACGAAAATCGTCTCATAGACGGCACGCATTGATAAATGTCTGCTTTTTTAGCTCACGAAGAACCTATAATATATATAAATCATCTTTACCATACTCTCTTATTCACAAAATGACAAAACATCTTTTTATTTTTCTAGCTGAAGGGACATAAATCATATAAATTTAAGCAAAACAATTCTCGCTTAAATCAAGTAACCCTGATGTAATGAATAAAAACAAAATCACCATTCTTTTTATCTTGCACTTGCCGTATATAAGTTCAGTTAATCACAGTAACGCGAACACCGGTAGTTGGACGCCAGCGTTCGGCGTTCGAACGCGTTCGAGAAGCGAGTAGAGACGAAGGCAGCTAGCTTTGCGTCGACCCACTAATCCTTCCAGTCAGAGCTCGACTGTGGCGTGCCGCCTCACCTGAGGCTCTCGTTCTCGGTCATGTACTTGTGCAGCAGCGCCCTCTCGTTCCTCGGGTCCCCTTCCTCGGCGGGAGGGTGTCCCTCCCGCATCAGGTCGATGCCCGAGTCTCCGTCGGGGGACACTCCGCCCACGGGGACGATCCCGTTCAGCTGGAGCCTCCCGTTGGTCATCATCTGGGCGAGAGAGCCACATCTCACACAGACCTCTATGAAAACTTCTTGACCGCCGCCTGAATATAATCCGTGCCCTCGTAACAGCAACTTGTATTGAAATAAACAACTTTGATTTTAGCCGGCTAATATCTGGTAGTCGGAGCCCAAGTTTAACAATCGACGATGACCAGACGAATAAATTAACTGACAAAAAATCGCCTCCTGAAAACGTTCATAATTACCACCAGATTTATAAGCAATCTATGATATACCGCGTGTTTGGAAGAAAAATAATATTTTTCTCTCACCAAAAAAGAAAAAAAAAAACGCTTTGATTATAGGTTTAGTCTCCGGTCAAAGTGACGCCAGCAGTTGAGACCAGGCACCAAAGTTTCAGAGCGTACCATTATCTCATTTTGTTAAACATTAAGCATGGTCGAGGACAGAGATAGTGCAAGTGAAAGATGCACACGACACTTGCCGAACAGCAACCGTGAACCCGGCCATACGGTTGTCCTTAGTTCTGTCGATTTCGAGTCGTTAAGCACAAAATTAAAGTGCATATACTTATTATTCTGGACCTCGGTTATCTATTTTCAGTGCCTATTATTCTGCTTGTGACATAACAAAATGGGGAAGTTTGCACTGCTCGTAAAATAGCCTCGATTCATATCTAACCACTGAAAAAAAAAAAAAAAAAACGCTGGCTGTGTTTTTTAGGTACCCGCGGCTTCCAGCACGTGCTCGTTGCCTTCTATTGTGCTGTGGTTGAGTTTGCTTGCTCAAAGCTCACGACACGCTTTAGTGTCACTGAAGGTGGAAGCCTTCAATGACACAAGTACTGCTGAAGGTGGAAGCCTTCAATGACACAAGTACTGCAGTTGTCCCGCTGGACGCGGGACAACTGCAATACATCTCTGCCGTTATCTTTTCAGTTACTATACAATGCAATTTCTTATACTAAACCAGTGGTTCTCAACCATCGCTGTTTCGCGGACCCCTTGTTGATCGGTGAGGGGCAGTGGCGGATCCGAGGGGGGCGGGAAGGGGGGGGGGGGGGGGGGCGACGGGGATGGCCGCACCCCAAACGAAGTCGACTCCCCCCCTCCCCCCTTCTCGGAGGGCAATTTGATATAGGTTGACCCGCCGGTGCACAAGAAAGAATGAGAGAATAGTATCCTTACAAATTTTTCGCCCCCTCCAAAAAAAAGAAAAAAAAAATGGAGTTCTGGATCCGTCCCTGATGAGGGGAGGAGAAAGGTATAGGTGAAATATGATAATAATTTAATAAATGGATATAATTAAGGGCTAGTGTGAAGTAGACCTCTCTTATTGATATACACACGAGAAAACTCGCCCGAAAACTGAAACGTTTCTTCTCGACCTGAGAAAAGACAACTTTTATTGCCGGGCTTGACTAATGAGGCAGGGCTTCGCGGACCCCTAGAATGCCTTCGCGGACCCCAAGGGGTTCACGGACCCCCATATAAGAACCACTGTAAAACTAAACGAAGAAAATAGCTGCCATCATGCACTTACCTGTTGCCTCAGGTAGCTGTTTTCCATCCTCAGTAGCCTCACTTCTCGTCGTAGGCTCAATATGAGCAGCTCTCGTGGATCCTAGGAACACACAATGTTGGTTTAGGAAAAATAGATGTCTTTTGATGTGCTGCGATATATAACAAGGGCCTGCGTAATATGCACAAAAGGTTAAATATTTTTTACGCAGTTTAGCATCATTGCCGCATCCTATTATTACTGCAATGATACTTAAAAAACAAGCGAGCTGGTGATGATTCATGGTAATAAAACCCGAGACTTGTGTTCGTCCCTCTCTGTGTTCCTGGGTCTAGGGTTTTATTACCATGAATCCTATTATTAGAAATATTATAAGAAAGAAACCTTGTTTGGCACCACATATAGGGGTTTATTTCAGTGACAAATATACTTACCATTCGAACCATGGGCTTGGTTTTGACTCGCTTTGCTCTGGAGGCGTATCGCAGGGTGTTTATGGTCTCTGGTGCGTTGGATGCGCTCGGGGATACACACGCCACCTGAAATAATAGCAATAAATAACAAATCACTTAGCTGAAGACATTGATGCGTTTTGCATTTCTCTTTGTTTACTCGGGATGTAATTGTGCGGGTGGGGGCGTAATAAGTGTTTTTTTTAAAAACCTAAATGGGGTCAAGTAACGCTTTCTCAAGCTAAGTTGCTCTGGCAGAGATATCTAATTGACTTCCTGTTAAACTAGATTGAAATAATAGGCAGTCAACGAACCGAACCGTTGCCCAAAACCTAGGCGCGCTAATTGTTTTTTTTTTTTTTACATAGACAATAAGTATGCATAAACTAATTATGATCTGTATCCTTATTAAAATTTTGTTTTCCCAGAAATCACAGGATGATTTCTGATAAGCTGGCGTAGTTAAAATCTGAGTATATTTTTCTCGGTATGAGTGTGTGTGTCCGGCAAAATGGTCGTGGCCGCTATCAGCTCGCATAGTCATCTATGGATCTGCCCAAACTTGAATGATAGAAAATTCCGCTTCGTCAGACTACAGATCACTCCGTTATTATCACTACTACGCACGATATTGTTTTCCACCGGGCTATGTATAGTTGATGCCGCTAGACCATATTCTCGGAACAACGCATCCTCGGAAGACGCCTCTCTTCTGCACCACCCGTAATAGTGCAGTGAAGAGTTACCGAGCAGCCGACACAGATCTGCGCTACGGGCTCAACAACAATCATTTGTCAGGGCTCCTCCAAGCACGCATTTTCTCTTGCCCTTTCTTACATTATCTTTCGGTGCCTCCTATTTATATATACTAATTTACTTCTCACAATACCCCTGGCCCAAGGAATGTTACAGGGGGAGGGAGGTATACACTATTACAGTAACACGTAAGAGGAATATTTCAATTGCATTACACAGCACAGCAGCAAACAAACGAACAAGGCTCATGTTATTGTGAAAAAAAGTGACGAGTAGTAGCGATCTTGACGGCGCAGTCACAAAGTGTGTGGTATCAGTTTCTCTTTCGCAACGTAAGAGACGCGTAGCATGGCTAGTCCCGAGAAACTTACTATCGCTCCACAGTCAATGAAAACGCGGCTGCAGCCAATCTGAACGCAGAAGAGCGAGTCGCAAAACAAAGCAAAACTATGGCTCCAATCTACACTGTGAAGGTGGTTGGACAGCGAAGCTGTAAACGACACCCACTACGATTACCCATTGCGATGTCACTTGAAAGGCGTGGTGACGTCACTACGTGATTTCTACGCTAGCTGTTGGGTACTTTTCCGCTGGTGTAGCTTACGCAACCACAAATGCCCGTTTCCAAACTTGCGACCTCTTAGTACCGGGTTCCTTAAAACCTCTTAATACCTCTTACAACGAGAGGACACACTTGCACCATCTATTGGGTAGGAGTGTAAACTTTTCTATTTCTCTCGCGCATTATCCTTAATTTCTTTATTGGCTCGAAAGACTTTTGTCAACGTTATAAACGAGCCTTTCTTACAGGTATTACGCATATTTGACCTCGGAAATCCCGCAAAACCTTCGCTCATGTGAAATTCAGTTCCAGGGTCACCGCATAGATGGCGCCAGAGTGCCATGCCTGCCTACCAAAATGGCGGTCATCTGGACAGCCGTCGTAGAACAGCGGTACTAGGCTGGGTCTGCGACGCGTTGCGAAAACCCCCTGCAGACTAAATGGCTTCCCTATGGACCCCGTAGGGACTACGCGCAGATCCTGTATGGCTTCTCTGCAGACCCCATGAGGACCCTGTGTAGACCCTGTATGGCTTCCCTGCGGACCCCGTACGTACTCCCTATAGAACTTGTATGTCTTCTTTGCAGACACCCTAAGGACCCTACATAAAAAAATTAACTTTCACAAAGCACGTTTTTGCGTAAAAACAAATAGAAAAAAGTTCTTTTTGTAGAAACCTTTATTGGAGATTAGTACAAAATGACAAAAACATGATGTTTGCATAAAATATTAGCTTATAGGGTTTTGCGGCACAATTAATATTGTTTTTATACAGCCAGGTCTCACCGGTGACTTCAGGTAGCGCGTCCCGACCTGGATGCGTCCTAACTTCGGCGCGTCCGCCTGGGAGACGGGGGATGGCGTCCCTTCTAACGTGTATGTTTCGGTGTCTAAATGGCCGATTAAACTCGAAATAGAAGTCACGCGCTGTCGAAAATCGATACTCCGAAGCCAATAGACGCGGTCGTGCAGCTCTCCGATTTGCCGCTGCGGGAGAAATGGCGGCGTTGCGATAGCAATTAGTTCGGTTCTCGAGTACGGATCGACGCCGCTTTTTCAGAATAGGCTCTTTGACAGCCGCCCAACTGACTTGTTCTAGTAACGTTGATGGGTGCGGATCCCGTGTTTATACCCCTTGCAGACTGAGTGGCTTCTCTACGGACCCTGTAGGGACTCCCTGTAGACCTTGTATGGTTTTTCTGCAGACCCCATAAGGACCCTCTGTAGACCCTGTATGGCTTCCCTGTGGACCCTGAAGGGACTCCCTGTAGACCTCGTATGGCTTCTCCGCAGGCACCCTATAGACACTGTAAAGATCCTATGTACACACTCTATAGAGTCCTTATAAAGTCCAATGGTGTCTTACTATAGAGAGGCTATAGGATGTCTTACATCGTCAATAGTATATAGGACGTCCATAGAACGCCCGTTGGCCAATATTCTATAGGGCAGTCATAGGACGACTTCACAAAGGCAACAGCAGTCGTGGTTTGCCTATAGATGTTTTACGTTCTGCCTATGAACGCTGCTCTATAGAACGTCCTAGGAGTGTCCATACATATTTTTGTAAGGGCAGTCTGTTCTCTCGTCCTAAGAAATTTTAAGAGGTTTCAACAGGTCTCGTCTCTCTCGGTCGTACTCGGTCCCAAGAGTGTGAACGAGCCTTAATCTTTACCGGAAAACACACGCGGGGAGAAGGAACGTGCTTGGCATTGTTCGCGGGCGCCGTTATCATCCATTATGCGGTTCACACTTCACACGAGGGTTTCGAGTGATGTCAACCCCTTTCGAAGCAGCTGCAAACCTAATTTATTATTTATTTATTGCCAATATTACTAACCCCATTCGGGGTTGTTCTAGGGTGGTACAGTTTGAAATATTACAAGCAAAAAAAAATATTCAACACAGAATTTGCAGGTCAATATTCAAAGCAAATATAGAAGTCAAGAATGAAAAATTAGTAAGCAACTTCAACACAATATATACATTTCACTTATAAAAAAGCATAAAATAATAGTTTATGATGAAATGTGGGCACCTACGTAATCGAGGAAGATTTCAATAGAAGAGGAATGAACAAAATTTTGAGGTAGGTGGTTCCATTCGTCAATGGTTCGGGGAAAAAAAGGTAATTTAAAGCAGTTATTATGAGTGACGTCTTCCTCGTAAAGCTTGCCATGGTTGTATTGTGTTAACCGTTTGCTTGTATGGACAAGATAATTTTCTTTTGGTAGGTTGAAGTGATCGTTGGCTAATTCGTATAGAAATTTAAGTCTAGCCATTTTTCCTCTTTTTTTCTGGAGAGGAGAGACCCACTTGCCTGCAAAGTTCAGAGGGAGAGACGTGCCTACTATATTTATTGCAGATAAACCTCGCGGCCATTTTCTGAACTCTTTCTATCTTATTGATGCCGAAAACTGTGTGGGGGAACCAGACGACGTTGGCGTACTCCAGCGCTGGACGTTTTAAAGTTTTCTAGGCTAGTAATTTAGTGGCAGGAGATTTTAAAACTCGTTTAAGGAAACTCAGTTGGTTTAAAGCTTTATTAGTTGTGGAGTGAATCTGTGAGTCCCAACGCAAATTTTGACTTATGTTGAGGCCGAGGTATTTGTATTCTCCGACTTGTTTCAAGAGGTTATTGCCTATCTGGTAAGGAAAAGAGTATTGTTGTCTTTTATTGGTTATGGTCATAAATACAGTTTTGTTCGAATTTATTTCCACCTGCCAATCATGCCACCGATTTATAATGTGTTGAAGCGCATTATTTAGGTTAATCTGGTCATTTGGGTTATTGATTTGTGAATAAAGTATGCAATCATCAGCAAAGAGGCGAATTTTTACGTTCACATCTTTGACCAAGTCATTTATGTATATTATGAACAAAAAAGGGTGCCAGTACTGATCCCTGTGGGACTCCCGATGAAACTTTGCCTCTGAATGATGAGTGCCCATTAATTACTACGTACTGGTAGCGATCTAAAAGGTAGTCTTCAATCCACCTGAGAATTTTTCCTGCTCCTAGTATAGAGTCTAGCTTAAACAATAGCTTTGGGTGAGATACTTCGTCAAAGACTTTTGACAGATCGATGAATCTGGCGTCAACCTGTCCTCTATTGTTTATGACACTAGAAAAATCGTGACTGCTTTCAACAAGTTGCGTCACTGTTGAAAGGTGACGTCTGAAAGCGTGCTGATATGAAGTAAGTATTTGGTTATTCTCGATGTGGGTGGAGACATGCTTTAGAACAATGTGTTCGAGCAATTTACAGCAAGTTCAGGTAAGGGAGATGGGCCTGTAGTTCGTGAATTCGTTTTTGTTTCCAGATTTATGAATGGGAATGACTTTCGCTAACTTTTAGTATTTTGGAAGTTGCCCTTTGTTAAGTGATTGTGTAACTATTATAACAAGATATTTTGTTACAAATTCGGCTTATCTTTTTAGAAATTCATTTGGTATATCGTCCGGCCCAGCACTTTTTTTTTGTGTTCAGGTTGAGTAGAAGAGATAAAACACCCAGTTCGGTAACTACAACGTCATTCACAGCCAAGACTGGGAAATTGGACGCGAATCTTCACCGGAACGCGTGGGAGGGTGTTCCCATTATTTACACGCGCCTTATGATCCATCTTGTGTTTTTTTTTATTGATACGGATACTGAGCTGTGTGCTATATGCCTGATTTCAAAGGAGATATGCTGTTCTGCCTTCAATTGTTCGCCGGGAGTTTTCTGCTTACAACGCCAACGACACGAAAATTTTCTTTGCTGGTAGAGGTATACAGCTTCGCTATAAAAGCGTGGACCGCGCTCTACGTCTTGTAAACCTGTCAGTGACTACGAAAACAATATTCGAGCCACGGCATAGCAAATGTCCTTTGTATATCAATATATTGCCGCCCGCAGGGTCAAAAAGCAACGCTCGGTCAGGGGCTTCTAGAAGATTCGAGTTTATTCTTGCTCCGGACGTAACTTTTATCCTTCATTCATGCTTTCTTGTCCTTGAAAGTGCCTGTTCATTCTCGCCCAGACCGCGCGACGCTCGAAGCTTCTTTGCTAAATTTTCGAGATAGTCACCTTGTCGAGTCAGTCTCGCTCTCACTTGCTGTTACGCCGCCAAATTGCCGCCCGCTTTTCTGCTACCTCGATGCTCGTTTTTTTATTTTGTTTGGCACAAGTTCGCCGATTAAACCTTTGTTTGCAGTTCACTGTTGATCCTCTGGTCACCTTCATTCGTGGTAATATAATATTCTCAGAGCATGCCGGCACAGCGTATACGTACGATGAGTGCCATGCCGTTTCCGCCGAGGCTGTCCGCGAGCAGCTTGGTGAGCGTGCTGTCCCGGTACGGGATGTGGCCCGACCGCTTCTTCGGGTCCGCCAGGCAGGAGATGCAGTTGCCTGGACAGTGAACGGGCATTTCAGCGAGTGAGGAAATGACCTTCGGTGTAGGTGGGCTCACCGACGTTGTTTGGACCACAATGTTTAAATAATCGCACATACATACACTCCGCAACGCTGTTAGCGCGAAGAAGCGATTGCCAGTATTTTATTTTCTTTCAGGTTTTCAAAACCTGAAAGAAAAGAAAATACTGGAAATCGCTTCTTCGCGCTAACAGCGTTGCGGGGTTTGGCATCACAACTACTGCTGTGGTGGAAAGTGTTCACTTGCAGCACTAGCATAAGCGGGAATCTTTGGTTACTATTTAGTTGAATGCGGTTGAAAGCGCGCCGATGTCGTGTTCGCGCTGACAATGCCACGCAGTGTACATACTGCGTTAGTCCAAAATTATAATGACCGTAATATTATGCGCACAAAAAAGTTTGGTAGGCTTGTTTCTCTAAACTCCCTCATACCAACTCGAGAACAAACGGCGCGTCATTCTTCGCTCTCTGAACGCGCGCTAAAGCTCTCAAGAAAAGAAAAAAAAAATGAAAAAAAAAGAAATACGGTCCGCGTTGTAGTCATGCTTACCATTAGTAAAGAAGTAATGTTCATTATTTCCACATGTTGGCTCTTTCTAGGGTGATTTCAAGTAAGACCACATAGGAGAAATTCATTCAGACCTCATTCTGCTTTAATTTTGTTCACTAGTGTCTAACAGCTTCAATAGGGAAATGCAAAGTTATTTTCACAAAAAACATCCGTTTTGTTGCAAGAAAATAATCTACCGATAGCAAATGAGCATGTGTAAATTCTACACTTTCTCTTTCCAAAATCGTATGTGAGGTAGTTAGAACACAATCGTTAATATGCAATATAACATCTCTTGACACATATTCAAAGTTGATGGAAAATATAAAATAAATAAATAATATTCTTGGTTTTTATGGGCAACATATAACACTATAAATTGATCTCAAGGTAACCTAACAATTCCCTTTTATTCAGAACATGATGGTCAGCGTGTTACGTTAAAACTATGTTATGTTTCAAAGCATTATTCATGGAAACCTGTGTTGATTGGTAAGGCGTGCACATGAGTGGTTCACCCAATTTTCTCTGCATCTTAATAATATATTATCTTAAAAAGTCCCGTCTAACATCATTGTTACCCGAATATATCATTATATCTTCGAGATAAACTAACCTGGAGTTGAAAGTCAAGGTCTTACGAGCAATATGGGGAAACAAAACTGGCCTTAGTTGGTTAGGGATCTTATATAACACTTTGAGAGTCCCGTAACGTTTCGGGGCTAGTAGATCCATTGGTACTTATAGAACGAGATAATATTTTTTTGAAGGGGGATAGCTGAAAACGAACCGGCTACCAGCCCCGAAACTTTTTCGGACTTTTAGATCGCCACAGAGGATCCCTTACAAAATAAGGGTTGTATTGATGATGTCTTTGGGCAAGTAGTCGGTTAGCTGTTCTATAAATTTATCATAAATGTGAAATGTATAACAGAACTAACCAACTATTTTGCAGCTATAATAACAATATACATATTGATTAGTTTTTAGTTGTTTTTTGTATTGCAATTTTTCTTTTGCTCCTTATTTTTATCTATTTGCAAAATCTATTTTTGAATACCGATGTTTTAAGGTTAATTTCTATTTTTTTTTGCTTTCATAAGACTATGTTCTACAACCCCCACGCCTTGTGTCAAGCCGTATGGGCTCTTAAAGCATTTAATAACTGATAATGACACCGAGCGTGATGAGGATTAGGTGATTTTCATTCATTGTTGTTCTCACCGAGCACCAGCAGGGACTTGTTGATGTTGTTGGCCTCCGTGAGGGTGTTTCCCTTGCTCTTGGTCTTCTTGGTCTTCTCGGAGCCGGCCAGGTCGACGAGGCTTAGCTTGCCCTGGCGTCGGATGTACGTGTTCGGGTCGTCCGGGTCCTGGATCTCGGACGCGAGGCTGATGCTCAGGATGGTGTGGCTCCGACTCGAGTGCTCGTTCATCTCGTGGCTCCGCACCTGCCGGTTCTTGCGCCCTGCGTAGAAGGGGAACGCCCCACGAAGGGATGCAGCTAATCGTTCGCTCTCGTATCCGTGGTAAGCCTCGATAGAGAAGGGAGAAGGCGAGCGTTGGGGGGGGGGGGGGGGGGGGGGGGTGAGAGGAATCCATCCCGCGAAACAGAGCGCGGGACGACCTTCACGTTAATTACGTTGCGTGACGTCATGGTGTGAGTGATGACCGTCGCGCTGATAACGTTACGTTACACCGCGAAGTCACGTGACACTGCGAGGTCGAGGAACTTGATAACGTGACGTGGTTCTTTAACGACACCGTGACGTCACAGAGGACTTTTGAATGCTATTCATTTGGAGAGACGTTGGAATATATCACCGGAGACAGTTTTTCTCTCCCCAATTACAGACGCTTCGATTTTGCATAATGTATACAGGGCGTTTTTGCGAAAAGTATGCATCGCACTAAAAAAAGGTTTATATCGTGATCTTTGCCAAACGGCCCATTTGGGAAATATGTAATTAGTATATGAATTACTTTCGATTAATTACCTTTTGACTAGTGAATTTAGAGGTTTGATTTCAATTAGAAACTTGCTGAGAATTATCGAAATTCACTAAATCAACTTATTCCAAAAATAAATGACCTTTTCGCCTCCTTTGTAGAAGGGAAGAAAGTGTAACACAATGGCCTCCGAGATTTTTCGCGCGCTCTGCTCCGGCCTGTCCAAACACTCGGCTGTCTCGCAGAAAAAGCTAACCGAGCCAATTTACTAGAAATAGATCTCAGCCAGGTGGCGCTTATAACCAAACCAAAAACGGAAACAGAATTTCCTCAAGGCACAATGCCAAGTGTGAGCCAGCAATATGAAGCTTGTATTTTCATTGCTATCATCATCGAATTAGAAAAAAGGTAAGTCGACCTCTGTTGATTCGTAATTTTCATTCCCTCCTCCGGTCTTTTCGCTGTTTCGCTGGGTGGCACCTCTTTGCTCGACTCGCCCTCCTCTTTTTTACTGGGAAGATTAAACACGCAGTTTGTATGAAAAGAAGCTCGTGGACATTTGTTCCACACCTTTCGAGCTTTGAAAAGATGAGTCTTCAAATTTCAAAAAACTTTTTTCTCCCTTGCCAAAGGTTCGCGTGTTACGGTGAGAGGAGGGGAGCACATTTCGCGGTGCTCCTAAGTTCCGTAGACCGACGATAATATGGAGTTTTCGTAGATCGTTTTCGCCGTCCCGCAATTCTTTCCATAGCCCGCTACGATAGCCGCAACTCTGCAGTCAAAGCCTTCAGCGCGCAGGCGCAGTAGACTCTAGGTTTCTTCTTTACAGCGATAGCTGTTTGTGGGACACATCTCGGGTTCCGCGCCGTCGGCCGCGCTCCGTATCGACGCGGGCCATTTTCGGCACTCCGCCAAAAGATTCCACATTGACGTCGTGCCGCTCGACACGACTCTGATGCCACGCCGCGCATCACGTGACCTGTTACCTGGCGTCAGCTGACACTATGACGTAACCTCGTCATGGCAAGTCACGTTGCACAGTGACGCCACGCGACTTAATGACGTCAGGTGACACCGTGAGTCACGTGATGTCATGACGTCACGTGATACTGTGACGTCGCGTGACATCATGACGGCACGTAGGAACACAAACATGAGACTGCTGATCATGGAAACAATGAAAACAAAGCGTTTTCGCTAATTATGCCGGAAAGATTCTCGGGCGATAAAATCAAAAAGCTAGTTGGGTGCAAAGCCGGCGAAACCACGGGCGTGAAATTCGATGGAGCTACAACGCTCTAAACTTGAGTACACAATTTTGGAAGTGTTCTTCATCGACCGCAAGGGGGTTTTAGTTCGTGTCCAGTAACATTGCACAAGACGTTCGGGCAGCCACATCAATGACAGGGAACGATTCATGGTTGCACATGCAGTTTCGTCTTTTCCTGAATTTAAAACTTGGGCGCGCGATTTTTGAAGTGTTCTTCAATTACGACAAGGACATTCTAGTTTGTATCCAATAAAATTATTTAACAGGTTCACGAAATACTGTTTACTGAATACACCCTCAGTGGTTCCAAAGCGCTACAGCATTTTCGTCAGGTGTGTTACTCGGTTTAATACGCGAAAAGCCCATCCGGACCCTATAGTGCGCTCTCGCACCTTTACCGTTCATTCAGTCCATCTGCTCCGAGATGAGTCATGACACCTTAGTAGCTCTGACGTCACACCTTAGCTGTCCGTTTCATCTTACAAATTACGTTTTTTTTGTCTTGGATTGGTTAGCGTTTCATTTTTGGTCGAAGAAAATATTGCGCGATAAATAATCCGAGCTACACCTTTACCTTCCTGGAGAACGCCGTCAAGGTCTCCAAGGTCTTCGCACTCAACAACGAAGAGGTTCTCCGCGTAAAATCCCTTGTCTTTTGACCAACGTACTGGAAGTGTCTTGGGGGAAGGATTGAGGAGATCGAGAACCTGCGTGGAACATTGGAATCGTTGAACATCCTTAATAATTCGCTTGTTTCAGCCACTCGTTCAAGCTCGTATGTTCTAGTTTCACGTTATACATCCCGACGTATAACATTAGAATGTGTGCAATACACCAACTCAAGTTTATAACTTGGTTTTTACCCTTTTTTGCTTTTCTACAAGGTCAATTGTGTGGCATACATAAGATATCTATCATTGCATACTTTGCTTGCATTCTGCGCCATGCGAAATCAGGTTTGTGTACTTTGTCGTATTTATTATTATTTCCGCACCGTAAAGAAAAAAAAAACCAAAAAAGTTCAACAACAAATGATTTTTGTTTTTGTAATTCAAGAAGTTTCGTAGACTGAACATGGCACATCAGAACAATAACATATGTATTTGGAAATATATGTAGACGCAGGTGCTTCGATGGTATTGGGCAAACCAATAGGTAAGCGGCGTTTGGCAACTTCCGGTTCTTTAGAAAATTTTGTTTCACTGTTGGCAAATGAAGGCAATCAGCTGCAAGCCTGTTCAAGCATGGTTCTGAAACTTCCAGACTGTATTTTTTAAAACCATGCTGAGACAGGCTTGCAAATCATCGTCGTCGCTTGTCAACAGCTAAACAAAATTTTCTATAAAACCGGAAGTTGCCAAACACCGCTCGCCTATTAAAGACAACCCGCTGGCCGCAAATCACATGAAACAACAACAAACTGCGAATCCTAATTATATCGCTAGGAATATAAGGAAGCAAAGTGCGAGAAACGAACGGCCAATCCGCGCTTTATGCACTGTTCACCGCTCGGTTGATAGGGTGGTGGAAGATAAAGTTTAAGGATTGCTACAAACTACGGAGGGTGCTCGGTGAGGGACGAGGCTGCGGTGAGGCTCGGTGGGGGACGAGGCGTCATGCTCAATGCCACAGCGGGGGCTGTTTCTGAGCTCTAAATATACTTTCAGCCCCATTATTCGCCGAGTTTCGTCCACGTAATGCAGTGATTGGCTTTCGTAAGTGGTTTGCGGGAAAGCAAACGCTCCGGGTTTCTTAGATTGCACTTGCTCCTTGGATCGGTCATACGCCAATCTTTCGCCACGTGATGACGCTCCTACCCTTACACACGCGTAGAGATCGGAATCAGGCGATGAAAATCCCACCGCGCTCTCAGCTCAGGGGCGCTGCGGCCGGCGAGCGCTTAAAATAAACCTACGTCTAGTAGCATACCGTTGGCAGTGCTCATTTTTAATTCGCAACATAAAATACGCGTGCCATTCAAGGTCGCCCTCGCGGTGCTCGCTCATCTACAGCGTGTAGGATGTGCCCGGATAGGGGGCCCCAAAGCTTGAAGGCCCCGGATCAGCATCGGATATCACACAGAGCATACGCAGACCTTCCACGCACGGGCAGCACGACGCGTCAAACTGTTTAGGTCACCCAAAGTGTTGGGACCCCCTATGCCAAAACTCTCGGATGTCGCCGTACCTCAAAGGCTGACAAAACTAACGCTAACTCTGACTTGTGACTTTCTTAAGCTCGAGGCACTCACGTGTTCCTTGTAAACTTCCAGGTAGGAGGCCTGGACGACGTACTCGACGCCCTTGCGCAGCTGGATCTCTGCAAACAGGTAGCCAAAGGCCAGCTGCATGATGCCCGGCTCCTGCTGGTTGTCGCCACCGCCTTCGTCGTTGTCCTGATAGGAAAGCGGAGAGACGTTTAGGGAACGCTTTCTGAAACTGTAAACGCAACTCTGCCACTATACCAATGACGGATATGTTATCCGGGTGACTGCGCGTGTCCTGTGGTGGTGCCCAAAAAACAAATGTCTCATTGATCGAAAAAAAAAATTGTGAGCCATTCAACTTTGTGAAGGTGGTTGGCCAGCGAAGCTCCACAGATGATTCATCGAGAGACACACAAAAGTGCTTCACCAATATATACAGTATATTTGCAGTACATATACAAAATTTTGAAACGGTTGTGATAATTGCTTTGTGATCACTTTAACAGCCACTAATGAGTTCCATTACAAATTTGGTGAGATTTTTCGCTAAAGTCTAATCTATACATATACTGCTTTACATATATAAAAGCTCCTGCTTTTATATATGTAAAGCAGTGACGTCATGCGACTCGAGCGGGAGAAGGCCCATTGTTCTCGGATGTATCTCGATTATCGCACGTTTCGACGTCTTTCCTTATCAAAATGCATATCGAGATGACGGGGGGTATATGCATTACCATACAATGGGGCGCTTTTACACGCAATTTCTGACTTTTCTTTTTGCACACGGATACCAAAAATACATGGAACCCTAGCCAGAAACAGCTTTGCTGTAAATATCAAAACAAAGCAAAAAAAAAAAAAGACCAAAGAAAAGCTGGTTTTTAAGGGTATACGATTCCTGCAGGAGCTCCTGATGCGGCAGAAGCGACGTTCAAGATGTCTCGAATAATCGGTTTGAGTCACTGAGAGCTCAGGGAACGCGGGGCGCGACTTGACATATCTCCACGCGCCTCGCTTCCTGATTGGCTCTTCAGCGGTTTTGTTGGCTAATGCCGCACTCTCATTGGCTGCAGGGCGATAAAAAGATGCTCGGGACCCTCCACATTCTGAGCTTCATCACTAACTATACATGGCTTGTAAATGAAGTCATTCAAAGAGCGCTCCGATGACCACCAGAGAAAAGGTTAAGAAGGAGCTCCCCTCTTACCAGGATCCTTGTTTGTGCCTCCCGGATTTGCACAGACGTCGCCATTCTCCCCCGAGAAGGTTATAGAGGATTAGCCCGTCACCCCAAAGTCTTACAAAAACAGCTGCCCTCTCCTCCTCTTACATGGTGGTCAAAGGTATGCAATGTGGCGCCAGTGCAAGCCATGTATTGGTGACGAGATATTTCGGTGGCTTCCTCTGATGGCTCCTACAGTCTAAAAACGTTTGTGCGTCTACTTTCACGCACAACACTCAAAGAGCCAATCACCCCAACTCACGGAGGCAGCTCAGCGAATGACAATGCCGAAACATATGTTTAGACCAAAAAACGCAGTCTGAGTTGTGACATTAAGCAATGCAAAACGTCACGCTTGCATTGCTTAATGTCACAACTCAGACTGCGTTTTTTGGTCTAAACATATGTTTCGGCATTGTCATTCGCTGAGCTGCCTCCGTAAGTTGCGGCGATTGGCTCTCCGAGTGCTGTGCAGGAAAGCAGACGCAAGGGCTTTTTTTAGAGTGTATAAGTGATGTCACGACCAGGATCGTGCATTGTCAATGACAATTCTGATCATGTGCGTAAAAAGCGCAGCGGAAACTTGTACGCATCGCGTCCCGAAACTGATACCTTCAAAGTTGAAAATCTCATATTTTTATTTTTCAAATTACTGAGAGTAGGATTAATCCTACTCAAGACCTCATAGTGAGCGTTTGGTCAGTTGTGGCAGGCCGACCTCAGCGACGCGAAAAAAAAATATATAAGATTCTTATTTTTCATTTCAACTATCAGGTTAAACATCAACTTATGCTTCAGTGTCCCGCGTCGTCTAATTTATCAAAACACGCAATTCTTAAGGCAAACCAAATATATAAATTTAAAGTATTACGAATGATTTATATAAAAAGAAAACAAGTTATATGAAGGATATTAAGAGAGTTCAAATAAACGATTTACATGACGATATGACACACGAAGAGAGTCGAGCATGCGCACACACTATGGTAAACAAACAATTAGTTATCGGGCATCAAACTTGTTCAATCAATCGGACGATTATACCTATTTTACTGTGTCTTATCTAAAATATAAACAACCTACAAAGAACATTCGTATATCGCACAATATCACTTATATGTCATCACAGATTAAACCTGACGACATATATACGACCTCTACAAAAATCGCCTTCTGCACGCTGCCGTCTTTTTCTGCTGGACCGTGGAAAGCCTTCTTAGCATGCGCTGTTGCTCCACAGTTCAGTGACTCAACATTTTTCGCCCGGGGGATAAGCGATGCAAAGGTATGTAATATCAAATGGTTTAACACCTGAGACTGTGGTGCAAAAAAGGAGAAAAAACTTTTAGTTGAAGGATAAGACACAGAAGAAAACTTCCCTGCTGTGTTTCTTCCTTCGACTTAAAGTTGTTCCCTTTCCGCACCACAGTCTCAGGTATTAAACGACATGATTAGCTACCACCAGCTCGCTCGCGCACTTACAGAATGATTCTGCGGTGTGTTTATTTTATCCACAGACGAATGATAAATTCGCCCGTGGATCTGGAATGCGTCTTCTACTGTGCTCTGGGACATGTTCATGCTTTTTCCTCTTGCTCATTTTAGTTTTGAAGGAAATATGTTTGGAATATTTTTTGCCTACCTTTTTGTCGTTTTTGTCGTTCAATGAGTAATAAAATGTATTACTATTATTGTTTTCTTTTAAATTGTGATGTGTTAATCCAGATGTTTTTTTTAAGATTCTGTGTGCGTAATAACAGTCTGCCTGTAGAAGTTAGGGCTGGGAGGAGTGTTACCCTACTGTTGATGCGCCTTTTTATTTCGTCCTATTTATGCTCAAACGTCGTGTAAAGAAAGCAATCATTCTATAGTAATCAGTAAGCTCGTATTAGCAACCACTGAAAGAGTGGTTAGTTCTACATTTGATAACTGACAAAAGGCAAAAAATGAAACAGAAAATAATGCACCCTAATTTCTATATACTGGATCCCCGCGACAGGCGGGTATTGGTACCAAAGGCAAGTCTGCGATCACTTCACGTTTTGTTTTGACGACGACGGGGATATAATGAGTTCCTTAAAATTAAATATTCTTACCATGAATATATGAGTTTGATATAACTTTATTCATACCTCGAGTAAGACTTGAATTCCGGCATATTTACTTTGTCCATCGCATGTCGAATAAGATTGACTGAGAGCATGCTACCTTGGAAACAAGTTGTCGGAGAATTCAGAGCATGGGGCTAGTCAAGCTGTTCTTAGCAGCATTACTTTTCTTGCCATCCGCCAACATGTTTGGAAGTAAAGGGTGCTATAGTATGTTCTATACTCTGAGACACTGTGCAATAAGCCTGTCTTCCAATAAGCCTGTCTTGACACACTCCTCCCTGAGAGCACGGTATTCGACATAAGAGTTTCCGCATCGATATCAACTTCCAGTCGCGTAAACAGTAAATAGGTTCTGAGAGTTTGATGCAGGAGGGGTCAACGTGGAATCACTCACAAGTTCTTCCAGAAACGCACCCAATGTTTTTCGGTGATAGGTGAGTGGCTTACCGGAGGCCCAGTAAGTGTGTAGGTTTTTCCAGCCCCGGTCTGACCGTATGCCATGATTGTACTTGCGAACCTGCGAAAAAGAACTATCGAGATGTAGCTTGATTGAAGGCGGGTTAATCAACAATAAAGCGACATCAGCCCGGACATTTGTCTCAGCTCCGTACTCCTTACTGAAGTTAACGGAAGGAGAAAAGAAGGAAACATAGATGAGAGAGTACGATAAAAACAATGTGATGATGATAGAAGAAACGATGAGGGTGATGATACAACTCACATTAGACAAAAAACAGAATAGATTAGTGAACGACAATCTTTGGCACAATCATGACGTGATGTCGTCCTAAAGCTTTGGTTTCCCTTGCACCCCTGCCGATCTGCCTGGCTAGTTGCACGGATTTGCGAAAGAAGGTTGCATACGTCAATTAAGAATTGGGAAAACATGCGGTAAGGGTGTTTAATTTTAATTCTAGCAATATTTTAAGGGAATGGCCGGTAGAAGAATTCCGTCTTCATTGCATGTCTATGGGTCTTAGCGGATATTAGATGAGAGAATAACCGTCACAATCAGTAGGCTAACTTTATTCAAGCTGTTAGCTAAAAAATAATGTTTTAATCAGCCATTTTCAAGTGTTGTTTGAATGACGATCACTATCTGATGCTAAATTAACCTAAACAATTTACAAAAAAGGCAAAAATTTTGAGTTATTCATCGATCAGTTTTTGCGTTTGTGTTTCCCAATCCTAAAACTGCTGGAGCGACAAAACATATAGCGAGGAGTGTCAAAAACAAGTACGTCACTTTTATACGCATGCTTGTAAAACGTGCTCGTCGTGTTTTTTATTTTTGAAATTGGACGATAATACAGGAAAACGCATGATGAATATCTCTAAGCCCATTGCAATTTCCTAGACCTTTAAATTGGCGGCCTTTATGTAGCTGCCGGCACTGCTGCACTTTCAACATTACCCATCAAACCATTCATTAAATAGTTAAAAAAAAACAATAATTTATCTATTGATTGAGTGTGATGGTTATTGTCCCATTTTATGTCCTCTAAGCCCGATACACATGCGAAGACGTCACTCATCGGTCAACCACCGTCCTTTTAGACAAAAACATATATAAAAAAAAAAATGCCGGTGCCTTACTGCGTGCTGGAAATGAACAGTGCGGAGAGCCGAGGCGCTGCACTCAAACCGCCCATAATCATTCTCCACGCAAATGCAAAATTTGCGAAAGGTGAAAGGTTACCTTGTCATGTGACGTCACAATTTCGCCGCTAGACATAGTGGGCAATATTCTCTGCTAAATCTGGAGGATAATTTGACATTCCGTTACATGAGGTCTCATTGTGGCTTTACACGACAGTGACGTGACATGGTCATGCAACGTTATCTGACGTCGCAGTGTACGTTGACGTCACGCATTTCACGATTTCCCCATTAAATTCAGCGTGGATACGCTTCACGTGACGTCACCATTTCCCCGATAAATTTATTAGGAAAATATTTGTTTCTGTTACATTTAGTGAAGAAACGCTCGCATGGCGTCAGGATGCCACGACTTCCAACTGAATTTAGCGGGGACATTTCTCCGCCGAATTTAAAGGGGAATCGCTTTGCGTGATGTCACACTGTCGCGTGCCACTATGATTCTCCGCTCAATTTAGCGGGATACACCGTAAAACAAACACCCTGTATATTTCGTTGGGTAAGACATGACACAAATAATACGTGATACACAATCAGCGCACAACCTTGGTGGGTATCGTAAACCTTACTTACACACGTCAGGGTCGACAATAATTACACTAGCTTGATCATGCTGAAAGAAACCCAAAGACGGCACACAATGTGTTGTGAATGAGCTGGACACATGCTAGGTGTGTGTGTGTGTGTGTGTGAAGACAGGTTGTCACGTGATATCATGACGTCACGTGACTCCGTAACTTCATGGTGTGGTGTTATGAGTACACTACAACGTTAGGGTGTGAGCTATAAAATAAGTTACCATAGCTACTTTGTTTGTCTGTCACGTTATGTGCGTAAGCGCTGCCGTCACATTTCCTTGGTGAACAATAGTGTCTTTTCTGGAATACAATTTTCGGGTTTGCATGACTGGCTCTGGAAGGGCATCGAGTATGCCCAACCGAAGGGGTGCGGAAGAATTTACGCTATACCGGGAATATTTATCGTGCAACCGATGTCTTGGCTAACTGGGGACATGTGAGCAGGCAATTGCTTAATATTGTGTTGCGTGACGCCAAGTGTCATTTCGCAGTCTTTTTTATTTACATTGAGACCTGCATCGCCTTTCGGCATTATAACAGGGGTGTGCACATAAAACAAATTAATTTTTAATAAAACATCGAATTACAAAAACAAACGTGTATAAACGTCAAACACATTCTTTAATAGCCAAGCTAATTCATTCTTCTATTATTTTCGGAAAAAAAAGAAAAAACGCAAAAAAACATTGGTACGGTAAAAGTAGGGTCGGATTTTTTTCTGGTGGTCTGCCTTCCCTGGTATATAAAAAGATTCACGTAGAAACATTTCTAGACTCATTAGAAGGTGATTGTTACGTATATATGTAAAAAAAATTAACCGAAACATTTTTTGGCATTCAAGTAGTGATTCCCTCTTTAAATTCTCCTTTTTTCAAGGTTGATTTTTTGGTGAGCAGAGTTCAGAGACAAGATTATCGCACTTGATTTAAGGAGAAAACGCTGTTTTCATCTTTGGAACGTCCATTCGACCTGCAAACGGCATCACCCGAAACCATACGACCGTTTCATATTTTTTTTTGTTGGTCTTACGTTCGATGCAATGAATAAAATCCCCAGCCATTTTTTTAAAAGAACGACCTATAGATTATTCCAATAATCGCCTTCTGGGTGCTGCCCGTGTAAGTTTATCTGTGAAACACGTTCTGGGCATGCGCAGTAGCATGTCTTCTGCAAAAGGCCGCGCATCCGTCCGCAGCTCCCAGTGTCCCTACCTTTTCCGTCTGGGTGACAAGCGCTGAAAAGGTCTATAGATTCTTTCAAAGCATTCAAGGTGGTCCGATCTTTCTGTCTGTGTTGAACGAGTGTTTTTGGTACATACATGAAAAGAAAAGAAGGTTCCACCGCAGCGCAAGAATACAGTTTTTGACAGGCATTCGACGACATTTCACAACCGGCCAATCTACATTCATGTACGATTCATGAATAGATAGATGCAATGCACGTTTCCAAAGTTCCCATTATGCAAAGCGACCACAGAAGACGCAGCTGCTGAATATGTCTATTTTGCCTTTTGTTCACTTGGTTGTTCCGTCGGCTGATGAACTACCGCTTTCTACATGTTGTTCGTTTTAGGTTTTCTGCTTGGGGGTATATAGAATACACACAATAGCATGATGAAGGCACGTGACAGCGCACATGTACATATTCCGCATTTCCGACACGGTTCGATTGTGGCGCAAACCTCGAACTGGGGAATGGGCACCGGGGACATGTCAGGCTGTGACTTGGGGCATGATTGAGGAGCCGATTGTCAATCGATATCGGAACTATCGTTCGAATAGCAGGCACGACGCAGATGTGCCACGCCGCTGGCCCAGTGCAGAATCGTGGAAGGAAAAACAATAACATAATTTACGGTAGCGATAGAGAGCATTATAGTTCCGCTTCAAAGCGCACATTTACGACATTCGGAATTTGCATGGTTCATTGTGACGAATTGTAAACAGTGGTGCTATCTTGTGCAAGCATGATATTGCAGCTTTTCTGCAGTTATTTAGCTTTTATGATATATGTTTCTATGCTTCGTTTCAGCTTAAGCCCAGACGCAGTAGAAGCTACAAGGTAATGGGACCAATCAATAAGCATCCTAAGCGCAAGTCACCAGGTCTTATCCGTTTGTGATTATACTTCGTTTCAGCTTCGGTCCAAGCGCGGCCGATGTTATGAGCCGAAGGGCCAATCAAACAGCGAAAAAGGCACAACGTCATGGCGTGCTCTCTGCAGTTGATAGGACTAACCGGCGGAGGAGCACGCAAAGAAAAACGGCGAATACCGGCTGGTCCTATTAACTGCAGAGACGTTGTGCCTCTTTCGCTGTGTGAATGGCCCTTCGGCTCATAACATCGGCCGCGCCCGGACCGAAGCTGAAACGAAGTATAGTTCTGCGATGATAGAACACGAACGAAAGCATGAGGAACCTCATGATGCTACGCTTTTGACGCTGTCCGTTTGGTCGCATGTTCCCATGAAACGAAGTATAAATAGGAAAGTGTGACAAGCATGCTCTTACAGCAGCGATTACTGTAGCTCCGCTTAAAAGCGTACTGCGATGACTTTGTGAATTTTCATGGTTAATTGCGATGTCGTCTGAAGAGAAAATATTTACAGCACTAGTATAATACTTTTGCAGCTTTTTTTTTTACTTATTTAATGTTTATCAGTTGTGTTTCTGTATCTGAGAGTGTGGCAGTGTGCTAGGGCGACTTTGTCACGTTTGGCCAATTGTACGATTGGTAAACGACAAGTTATGTTTACTATCTTATGTTGATTGATTTTACTTCCATAGGTTTTGCTGGTATTTGGCAGTTTTAAGTTGGTTCTTTAATGTTTTCGTGATGACTATTTTGCAATAAACCCCCATAATATTGCCCCATGGGTAAAGTGTGCAAATTTTAATAAACTAATAAATAGAAATATTGTGTCATGTTTTTTTTTTGTGCTGTTACGCTCGCATGCCCGGAAATTTCATGAACAGGACATAAAGAACAAAATACAGGAGGACGCTTAAGCTTCGCCTTTCAAACTGGAACGCGATAGATAAACATATAAACCCCCACTCGTTCCCAAGCCGGGCAAGCTTGTCTGCGTGGCCTAGCAACATCATGCAGGCGCACCATTCGGTGAGCATGTGTTTTCAACAGTGTGACTGTGTCTCTATTCATTTACCAAAACAGGCAAAAAAAAAAAAAAGCGTCTGCGTGGCCTAGTTGACTTCGTGTCTGGCTCGCAACCGGAAGGGTTGTTGGGTTCGAATTCACCTCCCTCTAAAAGTTTTTGGTTT